CTCGACTTCACAAATAAAGCCTTCCTGTACAAGTACAAGCAAGCAGACCTGAGATAACTGTTTCAACTTCGGGCCAGGTGAATAGTCAGTATAGAAATGAAGGCGTTTTCAATCATTCGTGGAACGTTGTGATGCGCAGGTCAATTACCTTCAAAAGTTGGTCACTCACTCAGCAAACAAATGGAAGTGCAAGGCGGTTTTTTTCTAACCTACGCGGGAAAAGTGAAGGGCAAATTGGCAGTCTTGGAATCTTAGTTTCATTTTGTAAAGTCACGTAACTTATTTGTGCGTCTTGGTGCTCTGATTTGTTTTTCTGTAAATCAAACAATTTCCTACACATTGTGCTGGTAATACGTGTCCTATCGGTTGTCGACAATGTGCAATAGAGAAAGAGCCTGAGGCATTCGACGCAGCAGGTGACTAGGAGGTGCTGAGAAAAGGGAAGGCTTCGAGCAGACGCACAGCCTATGAGGAGTAATGTGCCTTATTTCAAAGCTATTTGAGGGCACTTTTGAAACTCACATCTTCCTCCACCCCTGCAGGGTTGGTCAATAGCATGCTCGGACAGACTGAAGGCATCCTTTCAGTCATTAAAAGGTCAGCGTTGATCAAAGTACGCAAGGATGGGACCAGGCGGCGTCTTTGCAAATCCGTCAAAACTTAAGCAAGCGAAACCCACAGCATGTAGGTACAAAAACATTTTCAATGAAACCTTTGTTTGCAGGTAGTTTCCACGTAAACTTGAGGATATCCAAATTCCTGCACTCTCGCAAACATCAGTTAACGGCGTGCTAGTTTGAAACATTCAAATGCATTCAGTTAATTTGCAGTCGACGTTTGTCATCGGTCCGTTAGAGATATCGTGTTCCACATTCAGGATTCTAAACGAAAAGACATTTTATCACCAGACGTCAGTTTTCAGGGTTCATCCAGCCTCCTCCAAAGATACACTCTGGTGGAGAGAAGGCCGTATTTCAACCACATAGTTGGTGCACTGCTTACCAGGAGCTGCCACATAAACGTCTTCATTTAGCACAAGGCACATTTCACTAGCACCCCTTCTTCATCACCCAATTTCTTGAATTGTGGACCTTACACACCTCGACTGGTTACACCATGGCCGAATAGAACATAACGCATCGCTCTGATTAACTGTGCCTGCATATCACCGTGAGCTAGTCAGGACCAGCAAGACAGCCCATCACCCTCTTGTTGGCAGCTCACTGCACACTTCCTCCCCACACACCACCTGCCTTCATCTCTGCATTTACCATGTTAATCATGAGTAAATACGCATGTGCACTGATTCGTCTGGTGCAATGGCATTGGTTGGAACACACCTGTTACAACATTCACTACTCCAGTCTGGTGAAAAAGATGCAACTCCACAGTCCAGGTGCTCCTCCACTCCAATCTAATCACTTTCCTTCTAACTCAATATGTCGTGCCGGTGGGAGGAGGAAATGCCATTCCTCGCAAGCACAATGCTACGCCACAAATGTGTCACTTTGGCAGTGAATGCTCCATGCTGGCGTTTCATTCTGTTGCTCTCAAGTTAATCATTCCACCACTTCGTTCCTACACCTCATGCATAACAGTTACGTATCTAACTCGCTGCAGAATTTCTAGGATCTGCGAGACGCAGAAATGCTGTCACACGACGAATGAGTGAGTCTGTAGCGAACCATTCCTGCCGTGATAGATACATCCACGGCGAGGATTCGCACATCGCGATGCTGGAAAGGGCAGCTCAGATGAAGTGCAGAAAATGTTTCTCATGAGATGAGGATGGAGTATTCCTAGCAGGGAATATATGAGGCAATGTCACAGCGTCTCCGCACAGATTTCAGCTGTCCACTTTCCACTTGCATACCATGTCGCGAGACCACAACCGTGAACTGCTGGAAATTTGGCTACTCCTCAACTCTACCTTGCACCGAGATCAATGTCCTGTTGCTTACACCTTTCTAAGTCAGGCGTCTCTGTGTTGCTGCAATGGAGTAGATAGAAGGAACAGCAGCATGACCTACCTTCCTCGAATGCTGTGCATTCTTGTGATGAACCACTCACAGATCCACCCCGTTCATCAAGGCTTAGCATAAGGGTGGTGAGTCAACGCCTTGACACCCACATCAACTGGGAAGGGGACTGTCACGGAATCTACCATGTGAATGGTCTCCATCCACACACCATGCATTAACGAATGGCAACACGTTTCAGTGACTGCCACTTTGCTTTCCGCTTCTCTCCTGCATGTCTTCACCACGCAACATGCACTTCTCTCTATCTACTGACGGGGCGACCACCTCGTGACGAGATATGGTCTGAGCATTGCAACGTTCTTCAAGGGATTGCAAATATCTCCCTTTTTCTGCATGTGACCCACTCACTATCCACTAAACTGAAACGCAAACACTTACCACAGATCCACCCAGTCAGACGCGAAGCAGATGGCACTTGCACAGAGACAACTTCTTGAGCAGCAGTCGTCATCAGGTGAAGAAGTCTGGAGAAGGTCCCACTTGCAGTCACAAAATGTCTCGTGCCTCTTGTCGTAGACTTTGGTTTGGATGGATAGAGACACCCTTTCCCCACCCTACTTGCCGTATCCCTGCTTGTCACCCTTTATTGGCACCAAGCTCTCACATGATCACTTACTACAAAGGCAGTCGGGATAGCAAAGGAGGTGTTTGAGCTTTCTGCTTCTGCAACAGTGAACCTTATGTATGACTTGCCAACCTGTACCGTCTAATCATGTTATCTACAGGGAAAGTAGGGGAAAATCCAACACCGAGCCGTTTGTTGCACAAGTCGGATCGGTTGGGTTTTTTCAATTATCATAAACTCTGGTAGTGATCGTGACTCCTCTGCGGCTAAGTACATCAGTTACTTAATTTACCTCAGTGGCAAAAACACGATGACACGCAGTGGGCGTGGTGACAGCGATTAGGCATGCGCTACCCTCCATTTTGATCACGTTGTGGACCGCTACATGCCAAAATCTGAAAGACAGATTGCCAAATAACGATTAGTACCCACCAATTTGTCATACCTAGTTAGACAGTGAACTCACCTGACCTTCAATACTCAAACCTGTTACCCATCAACGAGTAGGCTTTGGAGTAGCAAAAAATAACTTTTCACGCGTTGTAAGGCTATATTTTCAACCGCAGTCAGTACAGCATTGCAAAAGAACATCCAACTATAAGAAAAATAAGAATTTTAATAGAAGATCCTTGTAAACATGCAGCGAATAGCTACCAAAAGGGGTCCATGAGATGGCGATTATAGTCCATATTAGGGCTATGGGATGGCAAATCATCCACAAATCTGCAGAGGCCTTTCCATGCATTCATACCTTCATATTTATCAACATACTTATGTACTTGTAAACGGATTTACCTTAAGATAAAATTACTTGTGCACATGTATGTATGCATGAAAAAATGCAGGTCCGTTCAAGTGGAAGAGATTATATATGTGTATTTAAGAGTGGAGAACCTTTTGTATTGGAGGAGGCATATTCGTATCAACGAATTTGTAGGTACATGTGTATGCGTGCGTGGATGGATCGTGCTATTCGAGAAAATGACATCAATTATATACATATATACATATATATATGTAAAAGAATAGGCCTCATCCTATGCATGCATGTGGAAATAGATTTTCGCTGGAAAAGTTGATTGTACTTCCATGTGTACGTATGCAATACGTTGATTGTTTGTTTAACCCTCGGTTTTGTTAACGGGCCACTTCAGGGCTCTGTCGCAGTGCCTTTGAGGGGTAAACTGGCCTCTGGGCCATATTTGAAGCCCCAAACACCACTCTTTGTCGAATATAGTGTCTTCTCTGGTCTACAGTGAGGTGGTAGGGAGCTGTGCATACACATACGTATGTCTGTGTATTTGTGGATGATTTTCGTATTAGTGAGATAAATTCCATACATGCATGCATTTGTCTGTGGAAACAAATGTTTACCAGTTAAATTGGCTTAACCTATCCGTAAAAATATTTGATTTATTTATCTCCTTTGCACAATTGTTTTTATTCATGTGTGACTAAATTTCTTAATCAATTAATTCTCCTAGTGCGATGTTTAACGTCCACGAGGAAGTCCTGTTCGTCGAGAACTTTGAGCAATTCGATGACGAAGGGAAGGTGAGTGTGAAGTCGACGACTGTCCCTACCTTGTCGCTCTGGGATTCCTACCTTTCTGTAGAGATGCAGCACACGTTCTGCTTAATCTACTTATTATTCACCTAGGCTGAAAAGAGTAATACGCGTGGAAAAGTCTTCGAAATGTGGATTTAATGAAAGTGAAGTACAAGGGCAATCAAGCTGAAGACCATGGGTTGATCAGAAACTCGATTGCTTAAAATCCATGCTTCTACAGACGGTGTACATCACCATCAACGTGGACAAATCCAACTCACTGTTAGGCACCCGCAGACTCCTAGAGCTTGTTCAGATCGACCTCAGAAACCTGTAAACAACTTGCAGTAAGGAAAGAAAAAGGCGATATTTTGCTACCTACCAAGAGAAATTGTTAAGTGTAAGACGCAATTTGTGGTAATTTTCCAGCACAATGTCATCCATCCAAACGGCAGGTAAAAGATTGAATTCGCAAAAGTTGGAAACGAACGATTTGGGCCAATTACCTCTTTACTGAGCTTCAGTGGTGTGGGAATCAAATTTAGAAGAACATCAAGGAGGGCCTGTGTAGCAGAGGCGTTTGTACTCACCTACTTTACGAAAAAAAGAATCGTTCTCAGTGTATTTCGACTACTACGACTCGTTCTGACCGTTCTCATCCCACTTGAATAGGAAAACTAGACCGGGAGCGTTGTTGAGTGATTCGGTGCCGCTGGTGCTATGGACGTCGAAGTAAAGAGGGCCATCAAGGCCTACACAAAATACACGCAAAATGTGATGTGTTACGTACTGAAAACTGCCCGGGCTGCTCTCATTCAAGCACCAGTTTCCTGATTCACTGGTGACTACGACTAATCGGCCTGTTCTTGAATCGTTGAAACGATTGTGTGTACGAACGTTGACAGTGACTTCCAAGTCATTTATTTGCAATTAACGATTTATTTTAAGCATTCCCTTGCTACTTAATTTGAGTGACACTTAAAAATTCGAAAGAATCTGCACGAAACGAATTGGGAACTAAATCACAATTCACCTGTCATCAACAATTAGTACAAATATATGATGACAACAGAAGATTTCAAATAGCCCGCCTTCGTCGTGGAGGAGTGTTGTTAGCCACATTACGAACACTACCTCCAGCGTGATCTTGCAAAAAGTGGCGAGGGTTTCAGCGATTCGCTCTTTTTGTCTTTGCTTTGCTTACTTTGCGCACTGGCCTTGCATCCAAACCGAATTGGAGCAGTCGTAGTAGTTGGTTCTGCTCGTGGAAGCGTATAAAGTAATTATTCCCCAAGTGCATACTTTTTGGGGTAGCCCACACTACCGGAACGAAACCTTAATTCCGAATTCACTGTCTGAAAAGCAAAATACTTTACGTAGCCGTAGATGATCATTTAACAAAATAAAGTCCGCGCTTAAAAAACTGCACTAACACATTATTATTCAAAATAATGAGAATCCCACCAGTTCAAGGCTTTTGTCCAAGTCGAGTGTTTCCGTGCCAGCAGATAATGTTCGGTACAGTGTGGTACTGTAGCGTTGTTACAAAAATATTCCTCAATATTTCGGACTTGATCATGATAATGCATGTCAAACGCTTGTGATACAAACAGGAAGTTGACCTAGGCCTCTTAGTCATTCGTCCGACTGTGATTAAATCTGGTTCTTCTTCTACAATCTGGGATCTAAATTACCAGCTGCACTGATGCGAAGTAGAGTGAGAGCAGGATGAAAACCCTTCATAAGAATCAGAATCAGTATCGTCGGTACAATTCAATGTAGTCGAGAAAGTGGTTACATCGGTTGTGTAGATGTCGTGCTGGACTATTCAGCAAGCGATATCGTCTGTTTGTGCGATATGGTAGTGCGTTTTGAGTAGAACTGGACGCATTTTCTCCTTATTTTACGTAATTGAGCAGTCAATTTTCATCAGTCAAGGTTAGCCTATTTCATTTGCTGGAGTTGTATGGTGATAAATCTCTCTTTTGTGTTTCAAATGTAATGCAAGAGGCCAGCAATCGCTACTGTCTGTTGACCATAGCAGACAATATCCGGATTTTGTCTTCTGAAGGATTTCTAAGGTGACATATTACATTTATGGATTTGCAGTCAGAACGTGTGGAAGTCTTGGTTGCAATGTTTTGAGATCAAAGGAAAATTTTTGCCTTCGGATCATGATTTGTACCTTGACTAGCGCTGACTAAGCTACAAACGATGCCTCACATGTCTATTTCTTACTGACAATGCCCCACGCCTCCTTTCAAATACTCCTCACACGCCACCAGTGCTGCTCACTTGAAGAATATGGTAAACCTAGCCACACATGTCACTGTAGGCAAGGCCTTTAGCCTTCTCAGTTTGACATAAGCCAAGAGAGGGTGGTGTGCATCCGACAATGCCCGCCTGCAGTGCCTCCTCTCGCCTGACAATGAGCGCTCTGGATTGCCTGTGGGACGAGTCAACGGTGCGATAGAATTGTGGGACAACAGACAACCGAGAAGTGTGGCAGTGATCTATAAGTAGGCGAAGGGATCTGAGGAAAGCTAAAAGTCTCCGGGGCTGGTAGTGGGCCATCCTTCGCACTCCTACATGGCACCGTCAATGGAGGAGTGCGGTGCTCTCAGTATGTGGCAAATGAAAATCATCAAAATGCTTAATCTTGTCAAATCACTAGAATGAAAAGTAAACGAGCTATTTGTTTCTCGATGTCCCAACTGGTGATACATTCGCGTTAGGGCTATGGAGATAGTAAATCCTCAACTCGTGAATCCGAGTTGATGGAACTTCGCAACAGATTTTTAAAACTTTTTTATTGAATGAGCATTTTTTTTTTGCATGTACTTACTCTTTTAAAATACTGTACTGACTTTGGTTTGAATTATAACCTTACAAAATGAAGAAAGTTTATTTTCAATGCCAAAGCTTACAGGTTAATTAAATGTGAACGGAGAAGAGGGTTGCAAATCAGACAAATTTTATTGTCCAGCTAAGAAGGGCAAATTGGCAGGTGTTAATGGATTTTGGATTTTGCTGGGCATGCTACCACATTGTGGCCACAAAGGGGAGGGTGGGGCATGTTTAATCGCTGTCCTCACGCCTACTGCGTGTCACCGTGTCTTTGACACAGAGGTCAACCAAATTGCAGATGTTGGTAAGCGTAGCGAAGTGAGAGAAAAAAAACCGATCTGACTCGTACAATAAACAGATCGGTGTTGGATTTCTCTCTGGGGTCGTCGTTAACAGAAATACAAGGTCGTATAGGCTTGCAATATTCACATTTGCATTGTGCTTTGATTACAAAGTGAGACAAATTAATCACCTCTCTTTCTATAACACTTTTATTCCCCTACTCTCTAGTTGACAATGTGATCGAGTGACTAATTAGAGTTATGAAGAGGTGATAGCTGAATCCCAGTAGATGTTAAACTCAAGAATCATCTCTATGTCTTGCAGTTCGCGATCCTGTTCTCCCTATATTGCTTGCAAAGAGGGGGCGGACAAATGAAATCCGTGCGGACATGCTGCGGTGATGCAGGATTTGTGCTCTACTAGAAATACACTATCTTCATCGAACACGGAATTCCTTCGACACTTCGCCTGAGCCATCCTCACCACTATTCCGTGGTGTAAATCCTCATCGGGAGTGTCCAGCAAATTATGTACTGTCGGCTACAGACTCACCCATTCGTCACACATAAGTGCTGCAGCCTGTCAACTACTCCCCAGGGCTTGGTGACTTTGTGGTGAGTTAGAGACGTCGCTTAGACACACGAAGTGTGCGAGCATAGAAAATGTCTGGTTAATTACTTTTGAACAATGAAGCCTAACGTCATCTTGAGATGTTCATTCCTAATGTTGCACGTGTTTAATGCGAGTTTTTTCACACCGTTGTGACTTATTTAATTCGAAGGGAAGTAATTATAACGGAGTTGAGGACCACATGGACTGTGGACGTGCATGTTTACCTCTAGACTAAAGCAGCAAATGTGGCAGGTGGAGTCAAACCACTCACGTCGTGCAAGACGTATCAGTAAAAGATGCGATTTTTTCATGCTGAACGCGGCAAATTTAGGCACGATGGCACATGGTGACATCTCTGCTGTTAAGGTCATGGGTGGCTTAGTTGATCGCAGTGTGGAAAATAGGATGACGCATAGTAGGCGCGATGACAGCGATTAAGTGTACGTCGCTGGCTCCCTTTTAAGCATGTTGTTGACCGCTGCACACCAAAATCCAACCGGAATGATTATTAACTCCCACCAATTTGTCAGCCTTATTCACCCAATAAAATCAGTGTAATTTGCTACCCTCTAATCCGTTACTTGTCGACAAATCAGAATGAGATTATGGAAACTTTCTGCCGTGTTGTGAGGTGATATTTAAAACCTGAGTCAGTACAGCATCCCTAAGTAATACTCTAACGTAGAAAATAAAAATTGTTCAATGGTAAAGATCGGCGAATCTACTGCAAGTAGCCATCAACACGGGTCCACAACGTGGCAATTTGCCACTCTAGTGGCACCAATGCCAAAGCATTACCTGCTTGGGAAATCTGCAATTTAGAACTGCGATTCACAAACACCAGAGTCACTCTCACCGATTTCCCTTTGCTTCTAGAAAAGCGGATTTCCCAACCTCTTATTCCACAGGTGTCCTTCTGAGTTGCATCGAGGAGAATGATATCATTCCGCAGGAAAAATATCGTCTGAATGTATGCTATGTTTAGGTTTAACAAATCGACTTAGTTGCACGATACTTGGAGCAGCGCTTAACTTCCATAGAATTCTTGGTTATTTTCTTTTATCCCTTTTTGCGTCATCATGGAGCCACTTCTGGGAGTTTTTACTCTATCAAAGCACAGCGCTTCGTGCTGGCAACCTTCATTTGATTCCAAACATCGTTCTTAAGATTCCCTACCTCCTTGTTCGCTCAGTTCCTCGTGAGTTGCTCATCAAGTTGTCAATGCATAGCGACAAAGAAACTGAATTTATTCATACTTCTGCCTATTCCCTTTAAACAGAACAATTTTACATCCACGGTGATAGCAACGCTTGTCCTCTCAATTGTCAACAAGTTGCAATGGACCGGTAACCGAGATGGTCAATTCGACAAGCAACTACGCGGTGGCAAGACGTGTGAAAGCCGCGGTAAGACGCATCGCCTGTCGTGCACCATGCTTAATAACTTCCAATATTTTGGACTTCTTCCTGAAGTTCAAGGTGACGCACCACTAGACATGCCGAAACTCCTTGCCTTCTAAAATCTTATAAGTACTGTGCAGTGTGATTTACCATTTGAATGGTTATTCTGCTCTTTTGTTGGACCTCGTCTAGGCACATATTTGTGCGACTGGAAAGAGGAGCCTCACGTGACTTACTCACCGCAATCTGACAAATGGATTGCTTAGTTTGCTTTGTGATTTCTACATAAATTTTCCTTTTGAACTGTCTTAGAGACTCTTTCATACAGCATGCAAAACATTTCTAGTCTAGCATCAGTGTTACATTTTGCAGATCTCAATGATTCGACAGTTTTGTCTACCGCCCCATATGGTCAGAATTGGTAGGATTATGAAGAAGGTTTAACGATGTCCTGCAGCATCCCCGCATGGCGTACCAATCGCTGTATTGGGACAAGTGCCCTCAAGACTGAACCACAGAAATAGTGTATCGCAGGGGTGATATTCTACGTCCACTTACCTTCATAAACTTATTAGCATTTCATTGTTGTAAGGTTATCTACCTGAGGTATGATTTGCTTGATGGGACGTTTACATAAATATTTAAGGCAGCTTCGATGAAAGTCGTCCTCCAGTTGTTCCTCAGGACGCGAGATTGGGGTATTTGCTAAAAGTGGATGTGGCTTTGCCAGCCCTTCCCCAGTGAGACGAGGCACATACACCCACATGCAACAAAAGTCTTCCTCTTATGACACTTAATATCATCCAAATCATCAAACGTGATAATTCCCCTTCCTCAGGCTGCTCTCATGCAAATGAAATGATGAATGTCTGGTGTGAAGGATTGTTCATCCTTTGGCATTATTTCCCATGGGAGTCCCTCACCCAATGAAGGCCCCTTTCCAAAGGACGTGATGTTTGTGGAGACCAGTGAAATCCATCTTGCATGACATTTAAATAGGCAGTACTCTCTCTGTGATGCAGCTAAGACAAATCCACCTCCGTGCACCTTGAAGGAGAATTCATGCTGGTCGGAGACCACTGTGGCTAATACCAAATTGCGGTGGACGAAAAATATGTTGACCGTTATTGCAATGTCAAGACAAATTGGAGTGCTACAATCTAACAAGAAGGAGACCACTCTGTGATTTCAGTAAGTGACAAGTAGTTAAGCAGTCGTACCTAGAATAGGCAGAAAAATGTCACCCATGATGAGGGCTCGAATTGTTGATTAGTCTAAAATGATGCTTGAGGGTATCCAAATTCTTGCACTCTCGCAAACATCAGTTAACGGCGTGCTAGTTTGAAGCAGTCCAATGCATCCAATCAATTCGCAGCTGACATTTGTCATCTGTCTGTTACAGCTATCATATTCTACATTCAGGATTCTACACGGCGTCTCTGTGTTGCTGCAATGGAGTGGACAGAAGGAACAGCAGCATGATCCACCCTGTTCATCAAGGCTTAGCATAAGGGTGGTGAGTCAACGCCTTGACACCCACATCAACTGGGAAGGGGACTGTCACGGAATCTACCATGTGAACGGTCTCCATCCACACACCATGCATTAACGAATGGCAACACGTTTCAGTGACTGCCACTTTGCTTTCCGCTTCTCTCCTGCATGTCTTCACCACGCAACATGCACTTCTCTCTATCTACTGACGGGGCGACCACCTCGTGACGAGATATGGTCTGAGCATTGCAACGTTCTTCAAGGGATTGCAAATATCTCCCTTTTTCTGCATGTGATCCACTCACTATCCACTAAACTGAAACGCAAGCACTTACCACAAATCCACCCAGTCAGATGCGAAGCAGATGGCACTTGCACAGAGACAACTTCTTGAGCAGCAGTCGTCATCAGGTGAAGAAGTCTGGAGAAGGTCCCACTTGTAGCCACAGAATGCCTTGTACCTCATGTCGCAGACTTTGGTTTAAATGGATAGAGACACCCTTTCCCCGCCTTACTTGCCGTATCCCTACCTGCCGTCCTTTATATGCACCAAGCAGTCACATCATCACATGCGACAAAGTCGAGAAATTAGAGCAGGATGCGAGCTGTTAAATTTGTTTGTTTACGTAGGCGAAGAATTTTATTAATGTAATTCTTGCAATTTCGCCAAGTTGTCAAATTTATTTAAGCAATAAGATTCGTTTGATCTGCAACCCTGCAATTCTTTACATGCCTTATCGGCATGCATACTTTGGGTTTGAATAGATAACTTAATGCGTGTTTTGAGAGTATATTTCAACCAGTCAGTACAAAATTTTCATAGTACACTTAAACGTTAAAAATAAAACCTGTTTAATAAAAGAAATCTACTAATTTATCGTGAATAGCTATTAATACGGGTCCACAAGACGACGACTTGCCATCTTCAAGGCCCCAATACGAACGCATCACCAATTGGGGGGGTCTACAGAATAATAACTTGTTTCCCACCCATGCGGGACATTCAAGAATATTCACCAGTTCGCCTGTTTGTAACTGCCATATGCCGATGGCACCACACTTCTCCATTGCTGTCGCCACGAAAGAGTGCGATGGATAGTCCACCACCGGCCGTGGAGGCAATCCGCGTTCCACAGCTCCCTTCGACTCTTTATAGATCACTGCAGCAGACTTTGGCTGTCGATCTTCCCACAGCTCCACCGAACCGTCGACTCGTCCCACAATCACGCCAGAGCGCTCATTGTTAGGTGAGAGGAGGCACTGCAGATGGGCAATGTCAGAGGCGTCCGCACCACCGAACCTAATAAGTTCTAGCTCGCTCTTGGCTGATGTGAAGCTGAGAAGGCTAAAAGCCTTGCCCACAGCGACATATGCGTCTAGTTTTCTCATATTCTGCAAGTAAGCAGCACTGCCCACAGCAGTAAAAATAGGTTGCGAGAATTTGGAAAGGGATACGCGGGGCATCTTTAGCAACTCGGACAGCGATAGCAAAGGTACAAGTTTTGATCCAAAAGCAGATATGATCCTGTGGTTATGAAACATTACGACTGAATCTTCTTCACATTGCAGCTGCGTATCCATTGATGAAATATAGGATCTTAGGGCCCCTCGAGAAAAAACGGAATCCGTATATTTCCTAGCAAGTTTAATAGTCCGTAACAGTTGGTAGTCTCTCACCTCACCTATGAAACATAAACAAGATTTATTCCCAAAGAGTTAGGAAAAATCAGACTTGCCTACGTTTTATGTTAATTAAAAGTTTTTGACGCAAAATGAGAGAAAACAGGCCCAATTTTACTCAAAACGCACTATCATATCTAACGAAGGTCAGTCTTCTAGGGGACAAACACAAGATATCTTTCGTTGAATGGTCCAAAGTGGCATCAAGGCAACCGTAGTGATCAAGATGCTGACTTCGGGAAGTTGTGTCAATAATTTTAAATCCCGATTCGTCGGAAGAATTTTGACTCTGCGTCCACTTTACCTCGTACCGACGCAGCTCACAAAACAATGATTGATCTGAGATCATATGAAGTATGGAAGCAGAATCAGTTTCGACCACAGTCTGACGAATAATTGGGTAATTGAAGCCTAACTGCTGCTTATGACACAAGAGTCTAAAATGCATTTTCATGAAAAAGTCTGAAATAAAGAGGAATATTAGCGCAACAACTGTAGAGAACCGCATTACATCGAACATTAGTAACTTTAATGTTAAAACATACCCAATCTCAAACAACGTTTAGAGATGGCAATACTCTCAAAATCTTGTACAATACTCTGGGACTGCTGCTTATTAAGCGCAGTCTTTAGTTTGTCCAAAGCACGTTGCCTGAGTCGCACATCACTCTGTTGATTAGATGGAGAAGTCGGGATACAGGATACATCCCAGTAATTAGGGATTTTAAAGTAATTGCCCTGGCTTGGATCGTAAAAGTAACCAGGAAAATCTAGGACGGAGAATAATTAACACACACGTACCCTTCATACAACACCCTCTACCATAAACACTTGAAGTTTTCTTCAAGGTCAATGCGTAAAATAAACAGCACAATGTCTGCCAATATTTGGAGCCAAAACCATTGAAGTCTAATTCAAAATTACACTAAAGGTAATATAGTTGAAAAATCGTCAAAGGCTGCTTGTAAATGGCAAAACAAACCATGTTAACTTCTTTTTGCACCTTCTATAATATTTTTCACATGGAATAAGCAAGCATCTTTTACTTTATATCAACTTCATAAATCTTGCACAAGTCACATAAAGAATTTAAAGGCACAATAAACCCAGTCATTAGTTGGAAAAAACTTAATAAACTTAATATTGACTTTTTCACAGAATTTAGACAACTTGCATTTGCAGCCGAATTTTGCGCACATTTGCTTGTCCTTCATAGCCTCTCGAGGACAGACCCGTTTGGTCACAACGATGAGTGATACAGGGAACTGGTGTCTTATTGAAAGCGATCCGGGGATTTTCAATGAACTTATGAGTGGGTTTGGTACGTAACGCATTATATCTGCATATATTTTCTGAAGGCGTTGATGGCCTTGATTGCATCGAGGTTTATGATACTCGCAGTACCGATTCATTCAACGACGCTCTTGGTCTAATCTTTTTGTTCAAGTGGGATGGGAATGGGCAGGACGCGTCACAACCACCAAATTACACCGAGTCTGGTTCGATTTTCTTTGCAAAACAGGTCATTACAAATGCCTGTGCTACCCAGGCCCTCATCAATGTTCTTCTCAATTTGCCTCCTGCCTCACTGAAGCTCGGTGATACATTGACCGACTTCAAATCATTCGTTTCCGACTTTGATAGTCAGGTTTGTAAAGTTAGACTTTTATCTGTCGTATAGATGAAAGGCACTGCGTTGGCAAATTGTGACAAATTGCGTCTGGCACATAACAGTTTCGCTCGGTAAGTGTTGAAGTGCTTTGTCTTTATTCCTTTGCCGCATGTAGTCCACAGGTTTTTGAGGTTGATTTGAATAAGTCCTGCAAGCCTGAGGATATCTATCACTACGTTGGATTTGTCCCCATCAATGGTGCAGTTTATGAATTGGATGGATTGAAACCAAATCCCATTCGCGTTGCATCCGTTCCTGGGGGCGCGTCATGGCTTGACGTCATCCTCCCTATCATCACCAAGAGAATGAGTGAATGCACTGATGGCAGATTTAATCTAATGGCTCTTGTACCCAGCCGTCTGCAGATGTACGAAGCCCGAGCAGCCGAGTATCTGATTAACCCACCCGTAAGACCCTGATTACCCTTCCGGTTCAAGTCCACGTATTAGCCTACACATACCTGCATTCTTACTGCCTAGGCGGATAAGGACTTGATAGGGCAGAACGAGTACTGCATCTTTGCAGAAAGGGCAAGAATTGCCGAGCAACGGAGTGAGAACAATCGTCGACGTCACAACTACCTCCCCTTCATCATCGAACTACTCAAAGTTCTCGCTGAAAATAACCTCCTCACGGACGTCGTACACCGTGCCAAGGAAAGATCCCAAAGCGTTCAACCTTCCACCAAGGCTTAACTCCTCCCCTTCTACCTTCCTTGCGTTTCTGCATACCCTAGCGTTTTCCTGTGTGAGTATAAAGTACATGGGTACGAAGAAGGGGCAGAATACTTGTTTATTCACTCAACGGGACTGAGGAAGGTGCGAGTCGCAGGTTCGTACAAATAGGCGGTCGGCAAAGGCTCGCACGAGCAGAGCAATGAGTCCAGTGATAGCTGTGAGGATGATTCCCAGTGCCAGCGCGAGTTTGTCGTTGGAGGGTGGAGCGGAGCGAAAGAGGCGGACGAAGCGCTGATTCTCAAACGGCACACTGCGTACCCAACCGGGGGCAGCAACCGCACCGTCTTCAAGGAAGAAGAAGGAAGTGGCAGTCTCTACAAGACTTCGATAGCACCACGTCGAGCCGTTGTAATCTGTAGAATAGAGTTAGTGGATCCGAAATACATGGGCGGAAGGGATGAGTGAAGGGGAGAGGAGGGCGCCTATGTTGCTGATGGCAAAGATGATGGTGTCCTTTCGCGCTACTTACAGCCGTACATGTAGGTGAAGGCGCCGTAGTCTGTACTAGGGGGACACTCCTTCAGACGATGACCGGTGAGGCCCATGAGGAGATGTGATACGACGTGCGAGACACGCCAACTATGGCCGTCCACTGGCTCATAAGTCTGCATTGGAATAGGGCCCTTAAGACTCAGAAGGAAGTTCACCACCTCGGGCTCCAGGTGCTGCGAATGAGAAGCGACAGTTAGAACAAAATAAGTAAACTGTTCCAGGATTTCGCTGGCAATCTCTGCTACATTTCCTACCAACGTTGAGCGAGATATTCCAGTTTCCTGGAACCTGCATGTCGGACATACGATTAGAAGTGAGGAATAAGATAAGGACAACCAATACCAATCACGGCAACAAAATATCTGGTCGCCAGTGGTGGTCACTTTTCTTCCGAGGTCTTGATAACTACGAATTTGGTAAAGAACACCAAAAGATGGAGATGGGCAAAGTCACAGAAATTTGCAATGGAAATGACATTGCCAATAAAAGAATGATGGCTCGGTAATAACAACCATTGAAACGTCTGCTAACATCGTCCTTTGTTAGTCCACAAAACTCGGCAAAGCCAAATTATGGCATAAATAGGCTGGTTGACTCCAAAACAGTAAAGGAGATGTAGAAAACTCTCGATCCGAGAATAGACACATTTCTGGGGGTCTTGGGCAATGCAGCTCTAGAGAGACTACTCTTTTTATGAGCAGCAAGAGGCGATTTTCGACTCTTGATACCCGGCATAAATACAATGGCTAACCCAGCAGAATCAGTCGAAAAAGAGCTTCGAATCTCGCATATTTCATTCTTCTCGGAAAAAAAGTTCAACATAACAGACAAGTTCTGATTTTATCGAGAGACGTCAATCAAAGGAGAACTTGCCATTCGCAAGAGATTACAGCCGGGATCCTTGAGGAAGCAATCCATCAATTCGGCCGGTTTTACACCGCTTATGGGCTCTGGAATAGGCGACGAATCTTCGGTAATCTCCTTGCAAAAAAATCAAGTTGTTTTATTGTAAAACAAAAAGGAAACTGGTCACATTAGGTCAAATAGATGACTAATTAAAACAATGAAGAGAATGATTTCGCAACTGCTAAAGATTGGGTGAACTCGCCAAAAGTCGCAAGTCCAGCCATACTAATAAAAGCATTTGGTAGAGTGATATCACCTGTGACACGGCTTAACACCACTGTCATCACATGTACAAGAGACTTTAATTCCCCTATCACGAGGATGCACCAAAGCCAAATCCATCACTTACTCTGTGCAGCGCATCAGCAAGCAGATTAGCCAATCGGAGAAGATACTCATTGGCCGTAGGACTAGGTGGCCAACGAGTATCAAGGAATGAGTCGATGAAAGTGTCCGCGAAGGGCGGAGTGGCCGGGCGGTCAGAAATGACGATGTGGCTGAGCGGGCGGCCCTTCCGCACGAAATACTTAAGGAGCGCTTGTGTCGACAAACTTGGAGGCAACAGTGCGGGTGGAACGAGACTACCATTCAAAAAACGGACTGTGCTGCCTTGATCGTCTGCTGAGGCATTCAGAGCACGCCAAATGGATGATGTGATATTCTCCGTCTGGGGCAGGAATGGAATTCAAGTAGTTGGGTAAAAATCTTACACCCCAGTCCATTTTTAGGCTAGTAGTAGGCCATTGCCCAATACTGGAGTGTCCTACTATGACTTCAGGAAGGACTTGGGGTACTAATTCGGCAGCAAGGTAACCAAAGCTGATAAAGCTATGCAACGTCAGAAGATGAAAATATCTGCTTCGGATAGATAAATGAACATAAATGTTGAATGTGTCAGCAAGGCTTTAATTTCGAGAGCTGCGCAGTGACTGATAATGGAACAAAATGGGGTTTCACTGAGTTGAAAGCGACCCTACAGATATGATTACTAAACATACCCGGACACACCGCTTGTAATCTGAGAATATGATATCCCATTTGCTCATATTGCTTTAAGGAGAAGGTTACCACAAAGGTGGGTGAGTTGGCCCCTCCCCCGACACAGCTCGGCTTACAAAGTGCCTAACAGACAGAAATTGCAAAACAAGCCATGACATGTGCTACTGTTCGTGGACTCAATGGCAACTCACCATATCACCTGAAGGGAGAGCCAGAGCGAAACCCAACCACGACATAAGCTAATGTTCGTTTAAATGTATGTCTAATTACGAGGGATACTCAATCTTCGCGAGGTGTGAAATATCTCAAAGGCACGGCCTCCCGGCTACGCCTATAGCCTTTCGACCTTTCTGTCCAATAATTCCTGATCTCATTCGGCATTAACGCTCCTTATTACGGCTTCAGAAAGGACTCGAAGCACTAAAACACCACCACCGATTAAAAGAATATGAATGGTAAAGATTAGATTGTGCTTGGTCGAATAATGCCCCGTATGTGAAAAGGGGTTGACCTCGTAGAAAGATCAAATTCACACACCAACAGACGAAAAAATACGAATAGATGTTTTTATCAGTAGTAGATAAGTGAAGGCACAGAAACTCAAAAAATATACAATTAGCATTGCGGAGCTATTCGATGGGAAAAAATAATGACTTCCAAAAACTCAATTAAGTTTTCTGCAAGCACTTTTTGGTAAGCAAGCAATCAAGAAATACTCGAAAGCAATTCTTCCACTTCCTCAGTCACCTTTTCTATTGCCAATATTAGGTAAGATCTACGAATACAAAACCGCAGTTTTCTGTAAAGTGTCATGTTTTACTAATTTATTCCAAGCCCCATTTTCAGTATCAAATTAATAGCTGTTATCTAAATTTAGGTTCTTGTGTTTGAGCTTCTTTAAAAAATTTCAAAAGGGCATCCACTAGTTTAAAAGGAGAAGTAATCTACTTGGAACGCGTTTGCAAAAAAGTACTAAGTAAGATCTAACATCTTAAATATTAAATAAAAGTACCAGAGACTTCACGCGATAGTCTAACCGACTGGTTATGGGTAGAATACATCGACTGTATTTCAGAGACAATTCAAATGACTGCAAGTAATAATGGTTGGTCATGTGCACTTATGTGCGAATAACAATCCCACGTTGCTTGCGCATAAATAAGTAATAAGGGGTTGGATTTTAATCAAATTAAAAGCAGTAAGATCTACCTGTTGAGCAATACCAGGATCGCAGAGAAGGTAGTAAATGGGTAGCTTCCTATCGTCTTCTAGAGGCAAACCAATACCCGCTAACTCGATGACGGATTCCACAGATTCAACGTTCAGAGGGAGGTCGGAGGCCTGTGCAACACGACCGTGTGTGAGATCAAAAAGGAATCGCTGCGAGCCCATAAAACTCAATGCCTCATTGTCCAACAAGAGGAATAATAAGTTCTTTCGCATTCTGCCTGCCTACAAGACAGATGATGTTAAAACTGACTTCGAGATTTTCCTACTCTGACGTCCAGCTGATTTAACAAATGAACAGCTGCCGAAACCATTACACTGACAGCAGGCAAGACAGCTAATGCGGAGGTCGCTCTGCGATCAAACATGCTCAGAGCGTCCACACGCGAGATCACCAGGATGGTAGGATCTGGCTTTGTGGAGCTGGAGTTGGTCGCTGTTAAGTTTCTAGCCCGAAGCATCAGATTCACCCCACCGATTTGGCTACAAAAAGAAGCTAACTAAAAGTGCTATGACTGTAGCAATTTTGGTCTGTTACCTCTAGATGGTGACTCAGAAGGATTTCACGTGTGTAACAGGTTTGTGAAGACTTCACAGCAGACATGAAATTCCGAATTTCCATAAAACAGCGGGTGTCGTCAATGGGGTTTCGGTTATATGCGTTATAGCAAATGGAAATATTGTTCCATGTGTCTGTATCACTTTCTTCTGCTAGAACAACTGGAAAAGGCCAAGAAATAGTGGCATATTCAGAAGCTTGAGGGTTCCATTTTGAATTTGCATCACACAGTTCTCGAGAGTTATTGTAAAAGGTGAAATTTCCATTTGGACAAAAGGTGTTTTCAGAGAAACCGGAAGGGTATTTGAAAGTTGAATTAGGAAAATTAGGAGAAAAAACGAACAATCCCGCCGCTTTTTTGGAATCCCGCAGAAATGAAATAACATCTTGATCAATAAATAACTGGAGTGGAATGACTATCATCAGGTCTGAAAGACTATTATAAATAGATTCACGCAGGTGCAGTGCATTGTCCGAAATTAGTACTTCGCCAACACTGCTGGGGTATTTTGAAGAACACCCAATATCTGACTCCACATTTAGCCTTCTGGAACAATGAGAGATGGTTCTGTCAGAAAGTTCATGGTAAAGTTCAAAGCTTGTAGAGAAAACGAAAAAACAAAATACGAGTAGCACAGATGGACGGAACATATTTACAACATTGGTGCCTACGACGACGTATGCGATGCAAATTCGAATAAAGGAGAAGCAGATGCAGACAAAGCACAAACATGCCGTGACAGTAACCTTGAACCAATGTCTCCACAAATAATTCACCAAGGCAAATAATGCACATGCCTTCCTAAAACACTAAACACGGTCAAAAAAGTTCTCTACATCAGCAGTATTGAGCATAAAGCACTGTATTTTTAAAATTTTCTAATAAAGGATTATTAAGTGCATGGAATTTCAAACTGACAGGGTCAAAACCCTTAAAAAATATGTTTGGGGGTTTTTACCTATGAAAAATTTATGATTACGTGTACTTGCAATTAAAAATATCTGCATGTTTAATACAAGGTTATTTTAGTAAATGGTTTAACAACATCCAGTGCAATGTTTTAGTGACTAAAATTGCTTTTTGTCTAAACTAAAGCGCAGGCAAAATTGTGCTTATATTGATTGAATTATATGGCCTACCGGGGCGTTTCAAACTGCTTAATATGATTTCGCCTACTGTTAGTAGATCATCTATGTATTCTGAATCAACTAAGTTTGCATTTTCACCTTCACACTATAATGTAAACCCTAAAATTTGTTAATTTTGCACTTATTACGCGCTAGAAGGAATTTTTTTCTAATAACATATGATTGGTGAACGGAAATATCTGCCGTTATTATCCCATATTTACAATCGCATTTGACGTTTTGCTGAGTTCACTCCATATTAAATTTGATTTACAAAAAAATGAGACCGAATTATTACTTGTGTTTTAGACCTACTTTTAGTCAGTTTAATGATTAAGAGTAGAATTTAGCGCTTTGGTCCCAGTCAAACTAGATCGGTTTTCCAAAGATGGTTAGCTCTTTCAAAGTAATAGGTAGAATTGTTTGGCGTTTCTGTATAGACCCTAGCTATGCATTTCATATAGCTATTGCTCCTTGTCTTTTATGAAAGATTTCGAACTTTAATGAATTGGTAAAATTGTCTTGATGGGTTGGTTTTGGAGTTTTCATACGCTAATAAGAATTTTTAGGGGTGTAGTAGTAAGGTTTTAGGACGTATTTGATTTTTAAGCAATTGGTTTACTTTTCAAGCGTTTTGGATGTCAGAATCTCCAACAGCAGACAAGTAAATTCACACCTTTCTTCATACATTAATGCTCCTTTAGCATCACAAGGCATCAGCACCCTTACACTGTGCTGTCCATTATATTACTCTTAATTCAGTGCGTTCTAAACATCCGACATCTCACTTACAAATGTGCACTTACCACCTTCATTGTTGTCCTACTTGTCACCGCGCACGTCTGCGGACTGCCTGCTCTGGCACCACAGGTAGATCCTTCACCTTTACCATATTCATGATTTTCTAGATTTCAGCAGATTTCAATTCGGTTCTTGTGCACGGAAACTTAATGCTTCTTCTGCTGGCATCGTTGACGCATAGAAACGAGTGGCACCTCTACTATTGCCTTGCATTATTTATACGTTATGGCGTGGCAGCAGAAAAGCACTTTCGAGAATTTGATTTCCTCGTCTACCTTTTTGTACTCACTCTCTCCTCGGGTATCATCAGCTTGGCTTTATATCGCCTTGCTTTTCTGATCAGCGGTTATGAAAAATACAACAATGCTCAAATTATGGGATTTTCAGGTGAGTATTAAGACCCTTTGAAACGGTAGTTTGCATATCCTGTCTGCGCACTACGTTTATTGCCTCAAGTTTCCAACATTGCATCTTGAATGATAAGGCCCAAATAAACACTAGCCTTTTGCGTACTACATGATTTGTAATTAGATTTTCATGGCTTTAAGCCTCTCCATTATTAAAACAACTGCATTAATTCTATCTTTTTCAAAAGTGCTGCTTCTCTCCGAATCGGGGATATTGTAAAGATTCATTACAGAAGGGTTGATGATAGGGAAGCATCCCGCTCTAACTCTTCTAAATGAGGGAACCTCATATTGATAATGCAAAGAACTGCTAGTAAAAATCCGGCATAAAATGGTAAATGGTAAACGTTCCAAGTTAATGTGATCTGTAAATACGCACATGCACACATATGGGGCTAGGAATGACGTGCAATGCTGTACGGATGGGATAATTGGTTCGAGTCCATCAGGGGCCGTGTCAGTGACGGCGATGTATGAAGTAGTAGGGAGTTGCAAGCGGAGTTATCTGTGTATCGTCAACTGCTAGCCAGTGGCCGGTAGCGTTAATTGACGTACTTATTGTGAATCATGCAAGATGCTATTGATGGTACCGATGGTGAAAGGTAGTGGTGGAAAGTGCGTACACGAAACAACCAGAGATGATGATGAGGGTTTGTGCAGAAGGATAGTCCAAACCCCGAATCTGTGGATATTCGCACAAGTGTAAAAGCTCAAACCGAGCACAATGCGCAACAACGGTAGCACACGCAGTCACGCATCAATTTGTCGATATTTCAGTAACGCTACTGATTGTTGTGCTTCCTGGCATTTACTGTTCACTGACATCCCAGTCACTCCAGCGCGGTGCGTGGAACGCCTGACTGGCCCATAATTGAAGCAGTCGCGCGGCACAATCGCATGTAAAGTAGAGATTAATTGTTCAGTAACACCAGTAGGTGCGACCATTCATACACGAGCGATTTTTTTGGGAGGGGGTGAAAGATAAGAGGTAAAATGCACTCCTTTAAACAAAATCCCTACCCGCTTACCTCAGGTCAATTGTCTCGGCTTCTCTCCAACACCTCTCCTTCCTACCTTACCAATTCATGCTCTGTCGTCCATTTGTACCGATCACTTTGAACACATTACACATTGTTTCCACTGTGAACTCTGTCAAATACCCCACCACAGAACAGGAACTCTTCAAGTACATTAAATACCGACTTTGAGAGATTGCTGTCCAGTTGACTTTCGTTGTCGGGTTAATTTAAATGGTGGCATTAAGTGTGATACAAAATTGGTGGTTCTTGTAGAGACAGCAACAACACTGGGTGTGCTCTACTGCCTCAACGCTCATGGCATATTCAAGGAATTCCACCTACCTTCGGGCCATCATGTGAAAGTCACTAACGGCGTCCAGCGATGGCTCTCCTTCTTCCTCTCCGACATTCAACGACTGCTCCAATTCCCCATGGGTAAATGCTTCCAAATTGGATCCTTTTTTCCCCAACTTTCACCGGCAATACCTCCTGCATTGTCTCCTCTAGGCCCTGCGCTCCATGCCCTATGCTCTGCAAAGTGGTTGCATTCATTTCTGGACGTGTTAGTAGCATTCTCTTCTGCTCTACTGTATTTAACTCAGCCAGTCAGGTGCCACAAGTGTCAGTGTATGGATGATCTCAAAAGGAATTCCATAAACACTTTTATCTAAGGTTACTTCTTACCTGTATGATGGCGTCTCAGATTCAGCTGGTCCCATTTTGGATGTAACTTGGAAGTCCTTAGTTGGTGTGGCCCTGCCGAGGCGTTGTATTACTTGAAACTTGTGTTTTGTAAGTAATGAAAGGAGCAAAGGATGGTCTCTTCAGGCAGCGCTTTGTTGAAGGCGTTTCTTGAACTCGAAATGCTGCTTTGTTTTAAGAGGAGACAATTCAGCGCGTTGAGAATAAGTTCCAACTCCAGGTGGTTTTAGGTTACCTAATGTAAACAGACCATGAAACCACCGACACCTGAACTCCGACTTCGGACTCGCATCGCATTAAGTTGATTAGCAAAGACTAGGTGCAACGCTAGGTGTGTGCAGTAGAAATGTGTCATCCAGATGGAAAGGCAGTACCATCAAATGTGTGATTCTGAGGTGGAAATAAGCTGTTCGCTCATCGTTTCTTTCAGGATTCCTCAATCCCATCATTGCTGGTCTGGCGTGCTGGCTCCTGTTCAAACCCTTGAGGTGGTCTCGACATCGGGTAACCCACACTGAGTAAATTTACGCCTATTACCTCAAGCGGAGGTAGAACTATGCCTCACACTTCCACATATGTTCCCCTCTCCCCCGTCTTCTCGCCTTCCCCTTTCCTCTTTCTCAAACTCTTTTTTCTTCGCTCCTCTCTTCTATTCCGACCATCGCATTTGTCAGCAATTTGTGCAGAGGGTGGCCACCTAGTCGGCTAAACAGTTATGTCATGTATTGCCGAAGTGGTGGGCTTTGTCAGGATGCCATCGTCTTACGTGCACGTAATCCGCCACGACTTCATGCAAGGGAATAAACTGGTCAAATTATTGACCTTTTCAGTTACTTATTTATCTATTTGTTTTTTTTCACTTATTTGGGTAGTTATTTAATCAGGGAAATGTAAAGAATGCTAGAGGGGTTAGTGCTGATGCTGTTGAGGGTGATGATGTTGATGGTGTTGGCGGTGGTGATGATGCAGATGGTGTCCCCATGGTGGATGATGTGCATGTGATGCTCATCGGTGATTGGCTACGAGACACAAAGGCGGCATTGTTACATTTTGTGACAAAGCAAGCCTCATTCTGAAAGGAAGCCATGTCGAGGTAGGTTAAGGCGTGGCTACAGTGGCGATGACAACGCTATCCCACTCTTGGTAGTGCTGGCACTGGTGGTAGTAGTAGTAGTAGTAATGCTACCGGTGGGTAGTAGTAGCAGTAACGGTAACTTGCAGTGGCAGTGGTGTTGGCGAGGCATTGTGGTAGTCTTCCGAGCAGTATGTGGACGTTTTAATCGGTCCACCGCCCCAACAGCTCCTAATACTGTTCGGTTAGGACGCCACAGTGGCTCTGTGATCGTCACTCCACTCAGTTGTTAATGTACCCTCCTCCACCTGTCTCCACCTTTTTCTCCATTCCCCTTATTTCTTCGTCTACCTCCTAGTTATTTACTCGCATAATTGCACATATCTGAGCATGTTCCCCCTTTTCGTCACTTCGACGCCCTACTCACTCTTCCCCCCCCCCAAGATGTGATTCTACAATTCCCCTTGTTTAAGTAAGTGGAAAGCAGGGTATGCAAATACTACACGACCACCAATCGACTGTTTCGTTGAGATGCAGATGTAGTAGGATCCTCATTACCGATTCACCTGCCCAGTCAACAATTCAGGGTGGGGTGGATGCCTATGCGCCACCCCTCAAGTGACCGCGAGGCCGGTGAACAGTGGATGCTAGAGTGCAGACGATGGCCCATAAGTAGGTCGTCCATTGTTGATGAGCAATGGCAATTAAACAGTTTCATGCCTGCGTCGCATGCTACAATCATGAGGGCGGACTCATGGCAGACTCAAACTGTCCATGACAGGTCATACACGTTGGTGACATGTGCCACTGCACTGACGTGATTCCGTCGTGAGGCTTGTTTGTTGTATAACTGACCTGCTAATTGAACTGTTAGAGCAGCTGCGCTGTCAGGAGAGGCAATGTGACTGAGAAAATTTAATGGTTTGAACCTCTCCATGGTTTATGGGATGCATCAGTAAGCAAGCACCGTTGAACCATCAAGGGAAGCAGTTTCGTCGTGAGTCGATGCCTGGACCACCTATTATGGCAATAAGTTGGGTTGTGGATGGGGTCATTCAGTGACCTCATTTTTACCCCCAGTGGCAATTTTATACGGCACCTCAAGCATTTAACGGATAGTGTCCTCTCCACAATCCACGCAGATCGGCACATTCTCCTGTGACCGGTTCCAACTCCCTCACGTGCGTGCCGTGTGCTGCCAAGGTATGGGTCGGTCAGGAACTACGGTGGCTCTTTTAATGTTCTCTCCCAATTCCCTCCTGTCTTGAACGCGCCAAAATCCTATGACTATTAAGCTTAATGGAAGAGATGTGTCTAATTCTAGCTTGTCTACTTCACTAACCAAGTCTAACCCCCTTCCACTGTTGTAGAGGCTTCCTGTAACACTTTTGTATGGCGTTGCACGGCGCTAAATGCTGTTGGGGCACAAAAGTCAGCTAATGTTAGTGCCACTTTTAGGAGATTGAGACATTTCTATGCTTTAATGGGGCATTCCGCAGAGTCCACAGTGGTAACAATGTCTAATGTGTTCAAAGTGACAGGTGCAAGTAGGCTGCGGAGCATGAATTGGTAGGGTAGGAAGAGGATGCGTTGGAGAGAAGCCGTGATACTTGACTTGAGGTAGGCAGACCAGGCTTTTATTTAAAGGAGTGCAATTCCCCTCTTACCTTTCACCTCCTCCCAAAAAAATTGCTTATCTGTGAATAGCTACACCCACTGATGTCACTGAATAACTGGTCTCCTCTTTGCGTGCTATTGCGTCACGCGACGGCTCCGATTGCACACACCACACTGGAATGACTGGAGTGTCTGTGGACTGCCGGTATTGCCACCACTCGACTGCCTCATGGATGTGTGGACGCGTGCTACTACTGTTGCTGACCGTGTACGGCTCAGCGCATTCTTCGTTCCTTGTGTAGACATCCACAGCTTCGAGGTTTCCGATCTTATTCCACACCAATCTCCTTCATCACCACCAGTCGTTTCATGAACGCACTCACCGCCGCCACTGTTCGTCAGTTACCGGTCGGCGATGCGCCGTATGCCCCACTTGTAACTCGCCCCTACTTCGTGTACCGACGCCACGCGTCAACGTTCTCTGACAGACGCCAGCCAAGTGTTCCATCGAAACCCGTTTGCCCCGCGTTCCAAGCTCACTGTGCGCATATTTACAAGTTGTGCCAGATCAGTACAAGCGGATCTCCACACTGACGATTTGAGTTTGTACAGCGCCGTGGTGGAGGAGTCAATCTCTTGCATCTTTGTTAGCCGTTTCGCAGATCCAAACAACCTTCCTCCTACAACGCCTCCGGTTCAGCGTCTAATCGGCTCATGAAGATGCAGACCTCCTTTGCAATGCCAACAAAAGCATGTCTTTTTCGCCAAGAGTATCTAGCATATGCCCAAAGTAATCCTTCATAGTTGACGTACGAAAACCGGCAGAAGGTATGACATGGCCATGGTCTCATGCATTCATAATGAGGAATGATTTGTAAGGTAGGAAAAAAAAGTTCTTTAAAATCGAGCATACTATTCAAACTGGCACTCACATCCACCTGGAAGTAGAACGTCAATCCAATGAATGTGAAGTTTACATTGATCAACTCCAAAGAGAAATTTATGTACATGGCTTTGGAAGGAGATGGTCTCAAGGGCAATTCAGGCAGGTAAGAAGAGACTCAATCTTGCCGACCACGTGTCGTCCCGGCAGACGCGCCAAATCGACCTTGCGGAAGATGAACTGGCCGCGACCAAAAGCACCGTCCTGTCCTGCAGTTGTGGTAGTGAGGGTGAACCGCAACAGCTCTCCATCACTGGCCAAATTCGTCAGTTTGCTTTGCGTAGTCTTAGCAACCAGGAACTCCAGACCTTCAGGGTAGCAAGTGCCACCTCGGATACAGACAATTCTGAAAAGTTGCCGAAGGATGTCAAAAATATCCATGGTTGCAAAATGATCTCTAATTTTATACCTACCAAAAAGCATGCTACTTTGGCAGTAGTAAATGCCATGTCAGCTTGATTATCCGCTGGTAGCCGGCGTACAAGTTGCTGATCAAATCAGACACCGGAGATTAAGAATGGAAGACAATGGCAATGATGAGTAGGTTCATGTAACAGTGTAGTGGATGATGAAGTTTTATGTAAACGAAGAGGTACCGCCCGAATCAGCAGATATCTACTCGCACAGAAGACTTCAAGCACAGTATGACGGCTTGACGTTCAGCAATAAGATGTGGACACTGTATAATCTCAAAGGCGCCCATAGGTCTATCATGGGAGATCTCTGATGTAATAGCCCCACAACGCAGCAATCCCTTGTGTGGACATTCGGTAAGTGAAACGCCTAATCGAAAAAAACATTTTCACAGTCTTCCATTTGTTCATTCTTTGTGGACTCCCAGAAGTCCATACCAATTAAAGCATAGGAGACTCCACGAGAGCAGCCTTGAAGCCAATATTTAGAGCATATTCTATGATGAATTGAGGCCCCTGGAAGGCATTATTCTGACTATGAAAGGCCGTTCTCTAGGCTTGCATACTTAAGTTCATCTTAGAATGAAAACTCATTCTGAAGCGCATGCCCTACAGATTGGCTCAGCAGAATAGGAGGCATGACACGCCTAGACGTGAATAAATGCTACCCCCTCGTCCAAACTTTACTGTTTCTAGCGCAGAAAACCTTTAACCGCACCCAAGACGAGACCTTTACTGTGTTCTTTTCCACGTTCAACTTACAGATAATTTATGACAATCACCCATAGGACATTGGTCGACTTCGTCCAACGCTACTGCAGGACCTTACACTCAAAGATCTTGGGGTCACCACCCAAAATCCATTCCTTTCTCTGATGGAAGTGAAAAACTACGGCTTAGAATTCGCTTACAAAGCAAATAATGCAACAATTTCACAGCTGCCTCTACCCAAAGTCGCCCACTCAAGCTGGTGGAAGGACTGATGGGTTATCGCGAACATGAATAGAATCAGTAACCAAATCTCTTGATTTATGGAAATAAGAGACTGGGCAACCTTTTTAACACCCCCTATAAAATTAACCGTTTAAGCCTCCGCACAAGCACTCGTGAGTCCTGCAAATAATTCTACCTTCCAGATTGAAGCCAAAACAATATTATCTCCGTGTCACTCCCCTGTAGGCTAAATAAGGTTAACTGAAAACTTGCTTACCGACTACCACTGTGAGAAGCCATAAGCAAAGCGCTCAAGGGATTATCCACGGAGGGGATGGAGGAGCAACCCAGTTGAATCCAGCCAAGAAACTTTGAGGCGATACCTTGTATAGTGAGCATTTGATTTCTTAGCTCCTAAAAAATAATTCATAGGGACGAATATTCTGCTTTCCTACCGATCTGCCTGCAACGCCAACTGTAATTACTTTCCGTCTGTTTTAAGTATGCAGGAAAAAGAGGTGAAGGCTCTATTGTTTTCTGTGAAGAGAAAGTGGATGAGTAACAGTCCGCAACATATTTCAATCTCTCAAACACTACATGTTGCGTCGCCTGGGCAACAGAGCTGGGCATTTGAAGTGGATAAAAGAGGGCTGTGCAAACAAGGTTACTCTAACAAGAGGACATGGCAAAGGGAGAAGGACGATTATTGAAAAACTGGGCCATCAACACTTGAATTTCCATCTGCCAGTCTTTTTAACACAAACAGGCAGTGGGTGAGGTATAATTAGGTAAGAGGCAGCGGCTTAGCACTTAATCAGTATTCTTTTCAGGCCATGATTGGGTCGGAAAAACGAAATGCTGTTCCATTGGATAAAGAAATTGCATTAAAGACCCTTGCAACCGTTCCTTGAGACCGTGAAAACCTATTGTACATCAAAAATAGACAAAGAATCGGCGAGTAAATGGCTGAATGAACAGCCAAGCAATTACACGCTTTTGTTCAACAGACTTTGACGAACTGTTGGAAATCTAATTTACCCACCAAAACAGTGCTACTCATTCGACAAATTAGTAGACTGGCATGTAAAAGTTAAAACAACCTTGACAAAAACGCAAAAGATGACATCCATGGTGGATCTAAAGGCTGCAAAAACATAAAAATCCCTTTTTTACAACTTTAGAGACGACTGAAAGCACTACATGAAAACATATGAACCAGGGAATCCAAAAAATGCCTGCGGTTTTCGAGATAACTCGACGTAATAACATCCCGAAGTCTGTAAGGACCCGTAAAATCCAGTGTGTTAGTTATATGCATGCGTTATAAAAGGCAAAAGTGTATCAGCTTCTTGTCTTGAACACGCATGCGTACAATGACGGTGATTACCATCTTTTCTTGATATTATCAGTCGACAATGAGGTGCGAAATGGAATTGTCGGTTCGCTAGGATACAGTGTGGGATATAGGTGAAGATAGCTAGGGCTTGATTTTTTTCTCCGCTTTTGGAAAAAATGGACTTATAGAAGGGGAAGTTGCGACTAGCTTATGCCTCGTTTGGGAAAGACTCATCGATTGCCATCGAGAATACTTCAGCAAGCAAGGTATTTAAGAAGTCTTCTAGAATCGCTGCGCCCCTATTACGGGAAACCACAGGACGTTTTTCGTTTCTCTCATATTTATAATTATAGTCCGTAAAAATTCCAAAACATGACCAAATAAATTCATTCACAAATTGTAAACAACTCCCAGTCACCAGTTCAAATTTCGCATGTATTCAATGGCAGATGAAATACATTGCCTGTCAAAATTCTACAGGCGGCGAAGTTTTCCTAGTTCTAAGAGCAAATTAAAGTGTTCAAAGGGGCCTTTCACATTCAAGGTGACCTTACGAGCTAAAGCTTCTAAATGATGACCAAGTGAAAGACTCGACGGACATATTTTGGTAAGATGAATAAGTTGAAAAAGATAGATGGCCATTAACAATTGGCAAGGGAACTTATTTATTCAACGAACTTGGCCATAAGGAAAAAACAGAACTAGCATTCACCGTAAAAGTAAGGGATTAGACAGTTACCCAGTGCTAGAGTCTACCAAATCTGCAAATTCGAACGAACGAACTAGAAAAAAGGGAATAGGTAAGTGGTGTGAGCTTAGTAGGATGCAAATATCTAAGGGCAACTAAATGTGCTACCATAAGACTACCTGAAAATCAAAACAAAAATTTACTAGCTAGTACCTGAGTTAGACCCACCAAGAAGCAGTCACAGGGCGCTTTAAAAGGCGAATCCTCGGGCAATAAAAGTAAAAAACACCAGCCGACATTAGCTAGAATGGATAAACACTAATTGACAAAAGTTCCCCTAGTCGACTGAAGTCGTGAAGGGCATAACACCCAGCTAACCAACCTTATGAAATTAAGCAGGTGAAAGAACAGCAACGGTAGAGGGACCGGATGGCACATCTGCTTTCAGTATGTTTAACAGAGGAGGCAATGTTTGGGTTGGAATGGCAATGTGAACTACTAAGACCAGAAATTCAATTATATAATACACACCTGGGTTTTCAGAATTCGCAGTAGTTCACTCTGCACGTCTGCAGTAGCAGGAATCGTGAGTGATTGGGCAGCGCCACACACTCCGTAGATTGAGACCTCGTCTACACCCACACACACGGTCAGTCGAGTGCGAAAACTTGAGTAGCCCACCGAGTTGAAGGTCACACTGACCCCAGAGGAAAGGGGAGAGGCGATGCTATGCCACAAAGTTGTCACGCACATTCCTACAGAAGCTGTCACTGCCTTGTCGCCACCACCACGAGCAAATTGTGTCAAACAAAGCGCCACCCGCTGTCTCAGCACCCTATGCCGCGCCAGGCTCACTATTTGCATTAACAAACCATCTCCTGAGCCGAGTATACAGGCGATGGCAGCGGGAGATGCCTGATTCAATCGTAGCGCGTGCTCCAGACCACTCAATGTCAACCCCGAGGTAGTGACCTCATCTATCGAAGCTGGTACCATCTGATGGTGCTGCTGTTGTTGTTCGACGTATCCACTGCCCCAATCGTTAAAGTAGGTGTAACGTTCCTGTCCTACCGGTACAGCGAAGGGTTGATGATGGTTGCCAGGTAACGGCCCGGAGGCAGAGCGGAAAGCCTGGCTCTGCGAGGTCATCCAAGCGGATGCAGCCGGACCACCAAAGCCTGCGACACAGGCAGTGATTATGGGCGTCCCACCATCTCCGTTCCGATTTCCCGTATTGCGAAGTGTGATTGTTGCCCCCGCAGCACGCAAACGGCGAGGAACTTGAACCGGACCAGTGGGGGGGTTGGGAACACTGGCGATGTTTGACCAGGAGTGAATATGCTGGAGGAAGATAATACGTTTTAGCTGGGTGCTAAGTCCTGGATGCTCTTCCTCCTCCTCTTCATTACAATCACCATCTATCAACCTCTCAAGGCTGATTGAAAGTTGGACTCCGGGAAACACGGCAGCAACGACCTTTCCCTGAAAACAAAACAAGAACAAGTAGAGAATTGGAGCTATGAAGTACTAGTGACAGTGTTAACCAACTAACGAGAGATGAAAAAGCCACCAAGTCGCTTTTCGTCTCATCCATCCCGATTATTGACGCTTCATAGGAGAGAGTAGACAAAATTTCGCGACACATGAGTAGATTTTGGGCTTGATACAGTTTGTCACTCTGGGACTTTGGCAGAGAGTAAGCACGCGGTGCCGCAGAGATCTGAACACGTGACCTCAAGAACTGGTACCAATCGTTAGGATGCTTTGGATTCAATCGCCTGATTACAACCCGAAGACGGCCAGTACAGAGATCATTGGTGAGCATTGACTCCATTGTACTGCTGAACTTCACCTACGCAACAGATAGAATGACTTGGGAACAATAATCCAACCTTGACAACATCAAAAGAGCCATCGGAATCAGATTTTGGGAAATCAGATTCAGAAACCTCAAAATTGCCACCTTCTTTAGCACGAGAACCAATACAGCGGAGACTTGCATCTCCTAAAATGACATTTTGCCCCAATTTGAGACGCCATGACCTTCGCAGCTGCATAAGTCCTTCATGATAGGAGATAGATCTTTGACCATCTGCGAAGCGTTGCTCAGCCTGAGCAATTTCGAAATACCTTGAACGAAATCGTTCCGCTCCTTTTAGGAGTATACCAGCAGCGGCAGTGAGAGCCTAGTTAAGAGAATAATAGCATTCGCGTTCATACAAACCATTTTCTTCCCACCGAGACATGTGATAGTGTGCATGCCAACATTGCGTCCTGAAACATCTAATTCTCTGTCCTGATCACCAGAGGCGACTTGACAAAGGGAGAGACATTTAGTCTCCTTCAGGACAGCCATAAGTTCAATAAATGCACAGGCCTCCGTGTAAGCATTTCTAGCAGTTTACACAGCATTGAAAGCTAGTTCAAGAATACCTTATTTGATCGCGGAGAAGCATCCACTTTTGTCGGGAATTCTATAACTGGCATCCTTACCCACTGCCACACTTGCCCCCTGTTTGCCAAAATTCTCGTCAGAAAAATCAATGCCATTCACGATTCTTTGAAAATTTTCGGCTGCAGTCAAAGGCCTACAAGCCGAATAACTGAAAACTCCATATCAAACCTTTCCACAATTTCCTGTCCATCATTTAAAATCTCGTAGACTTTAAATTCACAGAGAGCCTCAATAGGCAAATAGTTTTTGCCTCTACCTTGCATTTCAAATTGCTTGGTTAGACAAATCGGCCCCCAATCTCAAGCGTTAATCAAGGACGAATCAAAAACCGCCGAGCCATTCAAACACGGCGCTAAAGCAAGCAGAATATTAAACAAAAAAGCACGAAAGTTCTGCATCAGATGTATTCTGCTTAGCGAGATAAAATAATGTTGCGATATTTCGCCATATTTTTTTCGAGGTTTTGCTGGTAAACTTAACAAGCGCGTAATGTATGACTAATAATTATGCTTAAATGTGGTATGGATGACCTTCCATAATCTTGATCAAATTCCAAACCAAGTTTCTTTAAACCTTTCTTATTACGCAAAGAGCAAAAACCTATTGTTTGGAAATATGAGTCTTCTGAGCATGGTGATAGCCATAAAAGCAGGTGCGCTATGTAGCAATATTTTGGTCATCGTAAGTCGGTTTTGGTAACGGGGCCACTTTGAGCCTTAGCCCTTGCACCTTCGCCGGGTGGGCTGGACTCCGAGCCATGTCGGTAGTCCCTGACCCTATTGTATGTCGAATGTGTGCATTCCACCTGAGTAAAGAAGCATAGCTTCGTGAGAAGCATGTAAAAAATAAAGCGACATTGTAGAATTTTAATTCTTTTATTTAGTTGTATGGTTAACCTCACGGTCTCTACGGAATCGAAGAACTCCTGAGACACAAAATCCGCTCAGTTATATTACTCGAGTTAAAAAATTTGTTAATGGCCTGTAATAACTTATTCTTCTCACATAAGAGGTTCATCAACAAAATATTTGTAGATTTGAACCTATGTATTGAAGTGGCTTTTTACTGGAATTTCGTAACGATTTTCAAACCTGTCCTTAAACGGATCCAATTCTCTTTATTTTATACCAGCAAATAGATTTAAGAATTTGTTTTACTTAACTGATCTTGCTTTCGCGCAATCTTTTAGTTTATGTGTTTGTTAAACCAATAGCAAATTTATCAAAAGGTCAATGCACTTGGAGCCACAGATCTGCGCTGTTCGAAATGGACGCTTTGGCCAAAGTCAATCGTATAAATCTAGTGTAAGATAGCATCCATATAAGCTTACAAACTAGCTCATCACTTTCCCCAAATGTATTCCGTTTTACGCAAAACGGTCGAAGATGTCTTTTTATCAGAAAGTTGTCGGATGAGTTTATAATAGAAGATCTTCAAGATAATGATGAGATAAATGTTATCGTAATCACAAATTGCCACATTGACACTCCAAAACTCTCAATGAAGACACTGGAAAGCCTAGAAATATTATTTATTACCGAATGTCGGATGGAATTCTTGCCTTTGGTTGAGAATCTTTCGAATTTAACATACTTGGACCTCTCCTTTAACTCTTTATCATATTTTCCCAGCGACATAGGTTCACTGCGAAAGCTTAAGGTGCTTAAATTGTCTGGCAATCGGATTACCAACATTCCGTCTGAAATAGTCTATCTTGAGTTCCTACAAGTGCTTGACTTAAGTCATAATATGATATCCCACCTTCCAAGAAAACTTTTTTCCCTTCGCAGTCTTATCCATTTTGATTGCAGTTCAAACACATTATTTAGACTTCCTGATAATATTTCAGAACTCCTTTACTTGGAGGCGCTCTTTTTATCCGGAAATGTGCTTACCACTCTCCCTACTAACTTTTCCTTGCTAAAACGGTTACAACGCCTAAACTTAAGCGGCAACCGTTTCGAGTATATTCCATTTTGCATTTTTCAATGCTTCTCTTTAAAAGAACTGTTGTTTTCTTATAACCAAGCATCAGGCTTCATACCTGACAATCTTTGCCGACTAGGCGATCTGGAGATTTTATCCCTGGCATTCAACAAATTTACAAAGTTGCCTGGAAAACTATCGAGCCTTTCAAAGCTAGAATTTTTCGACATAAAGGGCAACAACATTGGGCGCATTCCAGAGGAAATATTTAGTAAATGCAAGAATCTAAGGCATGTAAATTGTGGGTCCTGTGAACTGATAGAAGTCCCACCTAGTTTGGGACTATGCACAAACTTGCGTGTGCTTGATCTTTCAGGCAATATGCTTAAAAAATTGCCCTCTGAGGGCAAAGCTTTAAAGAATCTTATTTCCCTCTTTTTAAAGAACAATAAGATCTCTGTGCTGCCACAATGGGTTTGTGATTTGGAGCACGTGATTACTATTAATGTGTGCAAAAACCTCCTACAAGACTTTCCAAATGGCTTCTCGAGCGTGGCAGAAAGGCTTCGCATGATTAATATATCATACAATGAATTTGAAGTTGCTCCTTCCTGTTTGTTTTCGACTAACTCCAAACTTACCTACTTCCTCATGGACCACAATCCTGTCCTACAAATTCCACCTGAGATATGTAATTTAAAGCTTTTAACCCACCTTTCAATTTCGCACTGTCCCTACATCTTTGAGTTACCCGATGAATTAGGCGGCTTGCTTAAGTTGCGCACCCTCAGGCTTTGTGCTAACAGCCTCTTGAAACTGCCACGGACAATGCATCGCCTTGAAAACCTTAACTATCTTGATTTATCTGACAACAAGTTTTCATGCTTTCCCATTGTCGTTTGTTACATACCGCATCTAAAAGTTCTGCTCTACAACAATTGCTGTCATGCGTGCACCTATTTGGAGCCTGATCCACCTGGATGGTTTGATAGAACGGACCTTATAGATCCGGATGCATCAATGGAGAAACTGGGCAAAGATTACATTGACGAAGTAGAATCGTTCGCGGCAGAAGATGAGAGACCGCCCACCTTGGAGGAAGCTCTGGAATTTGAGAAAGAGGCTGCAAAAATTCCCAGAATAAAACACGACGAAATTTCAAATCTTGTCTTTAAACGTAAACCCCACAAGATTCCCAGGCACATCTATTGTTTAAAATTTTTGGTGCATCTTTCCCTACAAAACAATGGTCTCTATTTTCTGCCTAATGTATTTAACAGATTTAAGTACTTAAAGCGCATCTACTTGAATGACAATAATCTAAGAAAAATTCCCTCATCTATTGCTGCCTGCAAAACGCTGACTGATATTGACTTGAGAAATAACAAACTGTCGGAGATCCACGGTGAACTGCATAGGCTTCCCAACCTTAAAAACCTCGAATTAGACGGGAACAACTTTCCACTGTGCCTGCGTGAAGTCATTAAGCATTCCGATTTGAAGGGCCTGTGTGCTTACCTCGACGCATTAAACCAGAATAGGGGTAAGTTATCTTTTCCTTGTTCAGTTACATCCGGTGTATTGCATAAATGCAATGAGAGGTGTTGAAATGAGAAGCACATATTGTTAAAGCAAACCTATGACCAGCTGCTACTTAAGTAATTTCAGTAGGTTACTATCCATAATTATCGACTAATCATGGGCTCAACCCTTATTCTTCCGTCAACTAGATGCAAGCTATCTTTTTGTCCCTATAAGTCAAAATAACTATCGTGTCATCCTAAGGAAATGATAATTCTATTAAATAATTTTTGTTCCTTCCAAATGCCAAGAAAATGTGATGATCACTCAAAGATTGTGAAATATCACCAAGGGCATTCAAAGGATAAGTTGAGGTAGAATCCTCCACCCTTCTCTCTTCCTTCTTCCTAACTAAATTATAAAGCCTCTCACGGTCGTAGCTAGGGACAGTTTGAGACTATCCCTAGTCTCGTTAAGCTAGCTCTCGTGGTTGGCGTCTGATAATAAAACGATCTGCCTTCCACATATTTAGACTTCATTCTGCGTAGGATGTGCGAGAGGTTTATCGGGCTTGTGAGCCAAGACGACTGGGCACAGATCCTACAACGCCTTGGAGTGTCCGAGGACACCCTCGAACACATTGAAGATGAGCTCCCTGGCGGCTATAACTTCCGCCGACGTGTGACTCGGGCCCTTGAGTACTGGAGTAGGATGGATCTCTCTACCAGAGCCACCAATTTTGAAATACAGTCACCAGGAGCTTTAAACACGGAGGCATTAACCACTAGCGCCGCTGCCATCGTCAATACCACCGCTACCACTAACACAACACCAAGTTTTGAAGATGAAGAAAATCTCTCAGAGGAACGCAGTCAAGCACCGGCTCCCGAGCCTTCGACGATGCTCGTAGGCACAGAGGCGGAAATCTCGATATTGCAGCCAATCACGCTGACTTTTACGCCCCTGGTGTCGGGACCAAAAGCTACACCGGCTAGGCTCATTCACGTTCTCAAGCTCCTTGATAAGAAGGAATTAGTAAATGCGATGACAGAAATTGTGGAGAAGCTTCATGTTCATCAAATCTGAATGAGAATTAGAGATGATTTCTCGTTAAAATACAAAAGCAGACTTAGAAAGTTCTAACATTTTTAAAACTGGTGCCTCGTGGCCACTTTGATGTCTCCTACGATTAGTATTAAGTGTGCGCCCTACCAGGCACATATTTCGCGTAGAGTAGTCACATCTGTCCTAACACCGCTAATTGGTTGACGTGATTCCAGCCATGGAGTAGCACGAAGTTTTTAGGAACCGTTAAACCTGTATCTGCAGTGGTAAGTAGAGTGAGGGGACGCTCACCTACTCATCGGCAAGGTGTTAGACTTAGATCAAAGGCAAACAGAACGACAAGATGTCAGTGAAGACCTTAGGTGTGGTAGTTTCAAAGCAACAGCCTTGGTAATTACTTCCGTAAACACTCACTACGTGAAATTGATGAGACGGAAAGCTAACTGGAGGTAAAACCTTTGAATAAAGTAATTCGCTGCACAAAGTGCATTTCGACATTCACCAGAGGAACGCAATAAATGCTGAACTGAGCCAGAGGAGAGGGGCAACAGGAAAGGTCAGGATTTTTTAATTGTATCAATGCATGTGACGGAATCGGGGCTCTCATTTCCCTCCAGGCATAGAACTTCCACCTGCGCAGTAGAAGTTGGCAGGTTAGCTACTGCCAATAATAGGGTTAAGTCTTTTCTCGTTTCTTTTTGAACGCTTCGAGGTTAACCCCTTTTCTTCAGCAGGATTGGACGCCAATTTTTACATTGATTTCATAGAATTTCTGCTAAAGGTGGCGTTGAATCACTCAAAAGAAGACTATGTTGACAATATCTCGCCATCAGTTACTCAACCTTCCCTGTTCCAGTTTAAAATGTCGTTAGTAGGTGTCAGAGGCTCAATTCAGGGGGTGAGAATTGAAAAACCTCGAAAAAACCTTTATTGCGAAACTAAAATTCATTTATATCACTTTCAAAAAATAAGTAGTTTTCCGCCTAAAACGCTACAAAATTTTAAAGTAATCTCAAACCACTTAAATGCTTTGTTGCTATTTCTCTGGCGACCCCTGTTACTGATAATCAAAATCTGCTAAAAAATCTAGTAGGGGTTTAGGATGTTTTCAAAGTTCCATTTTGCATATCGTCAGATCATGGGCCTTGAGGGACACCAGTTGTCAGCTCCTCAATCTGTTGACGACCTTTTTCCAGGTGAAACTATGACTATTGTATCATCAACTGAGTAGTCACAGGTCATAACGGTCAGAAGATTCGGCAAAACACGCGCTTCTTCCGAGAGACATCTCCAGAATTTATCAAAACCGCGAGACTTAATCCGATTCTTGGATTTGTTTGAAAAGTCTTCACGGGGGCTAATCACGTCTGCTAAAACACAACTTTAGTTTAAATACACCTTTAGGGTCATCTATGCTAAGCCGCCAATTTTTTCAAAAAAAAAATTTAAATTTGTCTTATATACGAAGTATGGTAGCTCAATTAGGCGTTCGGCTGGGCAAACTGTGGCGCGCCGAGTTGAGTCCGAAGTTGTAAACAGCGCCAACGACGGGCTTAGCCTGAACACTGCAACGCCAAGGGAGACCTCATAGCCCGCGTTGTTAGGTAAATAATTAAAACGAAATTGTAAGACTGTGTAGACTTATCATCCATAGATGCCTGATTAACAAAAATCCCTTCTTTTTCCTCTTGGCACACACATCGTTATCCCCAATGCTCCAAATAGGTGGACTCTCTCCTTCCAATCGCTTCAAAAGTGCGTATCGATTTCCAAGGTCATTCTGGCGGTCTGGATTCCACACCGGATGTTTACATCATTTAGCCAGAAAGGCTATGCAAACACACCAGCTTTGTTTATAAAGCCACCGGCAGGACCGCTAAACGCAGTCACGAATGCGGCAATGTCAGTGTTCAGGGTGCAGCCGACACCCTTAGGTAGCCTCCTTTTTGTCCTCTTCCTCCTCCACTCGCAGCTGTGCTTTGCAGCTGTTAATAACCCTGCCTGTGATGCCGTACCAAATCCCAGCCGTTTGGACTGTCATCCTGAGCCTATGGCGACGGAGGCAGAGTGCCTCCATCGTAACTGCTGCTGGAGTCTCGTTGATCACGACCGCACAATCGCCTGCTACTTCCCAGCCAACTATCCCACTTACAAACCAACTGGGAAAATCTTCAGATCTGGTTGCGGTTTTTTGTTATCTGCAAAAAGATTGCCCGGTGCTTACTCCGTGCCTCCGGAACCGATAGACGAAGTACAGATGAATGTTGCTTTTGAAACAGAAACGCGCGTTCGGGTGCGCATTACCGACCCCCATGCGGAGCGCTGGGAACCAGATTTGGAACTCGATCCACCAGATTCTCAGTGTCCGAGAAATATGAAGTACTCCGTGGCTGTGGATATTAGTAGATTGGGCTTCAGTATCTCACGTGTGGAAGACCAAGGTAAGGAGGTGGTTCTCATCGACTCCACTGGGCTTATGGCCAGCGCTTTCGTCTATGCGAATCAGTTCCTCCAAATGGCTTTTAAAGTACGCGCTATTCATGGTTATGGTCTGGGGGAGAGGGAGGACTCTTTCCCCATCGACATGCATGACTGGAAGAGGATGGTATTCTGGGCTAGAGACGATATACCCCGACCGAATGCCAACCTCTACGGCGTTCACAACTTCTTCCTTGGATTGTCTCCTGATGGCACGGCATTTGGAATGTTCTTCTTAAACAGCAACTCTATGGAGGTGACTAAACAGCCTCTTCCATCACTCACCTTCCGTACAACTGGGGGAATCCTCGACTTCTTCCTTTTTGTCGGTCCAACACCGAACGAGGTCGTCGCCCAATATTACCAACTAATTGGTCACCCGCCGGTGCCACCCTATTGGGCTCTTGGTTTTCAACTCTGTCGTTATGGCTACACAGGAGTGGAGGAGATCCGTGAGACCGTTGAAAGAAATCGCAAAGCAGGTATCCCGCAAGATGTACAGTGGTTGGATATCGACTATATGGACGTCTATCGAGATTGGACGCTGTCGAAGAAGGATGAATTCAAGGGCTTGGCACAGTTCTTCTACACTGAACTACGTGAAAAGTATGGTCTTCGGACAGTGATCATCGTCGACGCGGGTATTCCTTCTCAGGCCGGCGATGACTACGCACCGTACCAGAAGGGTCTAGTTGCTGGAGTCTTCGTGAATGACAGCCGGACAGGGAAGCCACTTAAAGGACTGGTATGGCCAGGTGAGACGGTGTATCCCGATTTTACAAAGAATGAAACCCTCCAGTGGTGGTATGAATGTGCAAGAGACTTTCAACAACAGCTCCCATACGATGGTCTCTGGATCGATATGAATGAACCATCCAATTTCATAGATGGCTCGAACCAGGGTTGCGACCACTCTAGTCGACTAGACTACCCTCCATACACTCCACAGGTATCCGGAGGTAGCCTCTCCTTCCGAACCATCTGTCCATCGGCTCTTCACGCCAACGGTGTTCCACACTACAACCTCCACAATTTGTACGCCCTCGATGAGGCTAAAGCCACCTACAGAGCACTACAACGCATCTTCCCGGGAAAAAGAACTTTCATCCTCACTAGGTCCTCGTTTGCAGGAGCGGGGAGGTACACAGCTCATTGGTCTGGTGACATCACTTCAACGTGGAGTGAGATGGCTGCCTCAATTCCTCAGATGATCAACTTCAACCTCTTTGGCATCCCATTCTTCGGGGCAGACATCTGTGGCTTCGTCGACAACACCACCGAGGAGCTCTGTATTCGCTGGAGCCAATTGGGTGCATTTTATCCCTTTTCACGGAACCACAACACCCTTGGAGCGCGACTTCAAGATCCCGCAGTTTGGTCCACTCAAGCTCAAAAAGCGATAGCGAAAGCACTCGATATGCGCTACCAACTGCTGCCTTATTTGTACACCCTCCTTCATGGAGCAAAGAATCATGGAAGAATGGTGGTTAAGGCTCTAGCTTTTGACTACCCCACTGATCTGGCAACTCATCACAACGCCAAACAGTTCCTCCTCGGTTCTTGTCTCAACGTGGCTCCGGTTCTGGGCGAAGGGATGGACTTTACACCGCTTTATTTACCACAGGGAGAATGGGTGGAGTTCTCAAGCCTAAAGCGTTATCAGTCCTTGGGGAAGTTCTACCCCGTTCCTGCACCACTGGACAAAATCCCAGTCTTCTACAAGGCTGGCTGCATTCTACCAATGCATCCGTCTGGGCCAATAAACACTCAGGAAGCTAGGAAGATGGGCATTGGTGTCACTGTAGTGCTACTAAATGGGACGGCGGGCGGAGAAATGGTGTGGGACGATGGGGAGACGGAGGATGGCGAAGTGTTGAATGTCACCTTCGGTGTCATACACCAGAAGCTAACGGCAAATGCGATTATCAACAAAGGAGGCAGAGTCGGTCCAGTAGGGCCAGTGCCACTGGCTTTCATTCGGATAATCGGTATCACACGAAAACCTTCAATTGTCAACCTCAATGGCACAAAGTGCGATTTCACCTTCAACTCCAAAACCGAACAGTTCACCGTGACCAAATTCACCCAGCCCATCGATTTAAAAGATTCATGGGACCTCACGTGGGACTGGTAATTCATTTCTGATGGAACAGACAACCTTCTCCTCATTTCTCTCAATGATCTGATTCAATGTTGCACATGACGCAGTTGAGAAATAAAAAAACTCCTTAAAACAGATTTTTCGGAGAACACCCGAAAGGTGGAGAAATGGCAGCAGAAACCACATCGATTAAACACACCGAGACCGAAAATGTGAAAGCCGTATTGTCAATGTGAAACAATTTATTGAAGTGCGATTTGCTAGGTTAAAAACATCAACCCTTGAGCGAGCTTAGACCGGCGCGCATAATTTCGTCGACGAGTAAGAGGTTGGTGGCGATAACAGCACTATAAATATAAACAATCAAAATAAGTACTAGCATCAAAAACATGGACCAAATTAAGTGACAAAGAGAATCAGCTTACGCGGATCCAACCATCTGCTTCTTGACGTTGTAATTATCTAAGATACCCGCCCCGGCGGGTTCCATAACCTCACCCGTGGCCAAATCCAGACCCACCAGTTGCCTTGAAGTACCTTTGCGTTTTTCTACTTGAGAAGCCTCTTCTAACAGCTTCACAATCGTCTCCTGGGGATCGTGACCCGAGTTTGTAGCCAAGACCTTGGGAATGATGAGTAGCGCATCGGCAAATGCCCTAACGCCCAGACGAGCACGTCCCTTAACGGTCTCCTCGAATTTCTTCAAGCCCCGGTGAGCCACAATCTCAAAAGCGCCGGCTCCAGGTACGACACAACCTGAGGTAATAACAAACCTATTTTACTTATCAACGAGCTTTGTAAATGTCATCCCCGCCAGCCTATTACATACCATCATCAAAAGTATTCTTTACAGAACGAAGGCCATCCTTGAGCGCGTCCTTGATCTGAGTTATGGTGTATTTGTTAGGACCCCTGATAAGAAGAGTAACAGACCGCGGATTCTTGCACTCCTCGACAAATGTATACTTTTCCTCACCCTTAAAAAGGGACGCATTATAAAATCACGAAGCTGGCGCTTACTAAAACATATTCATAGACTAGACCAGCGTAGCCCAAACAATCGGGAGTAAGATCGTTCAGAGAATTGACCGCATAGCCGCCGCAAGCTAGAGCTAAGCGTTCCATGTTGCGGCGTTTAGCACGACGAAGTGCCAAGATGCCCTCCCGAGCAAGAGCGTCGAGGGAGATAGGATCGATGCCCTTTTGGTTCATGACAACGAAACCTGGTTTTGAGTCACCCTTGCCAGCATCGATATCGCACATATTTCGCTTCAGCTCAATGATGGCTTGCACACGTTTATCGATGAACTCGCGCTCAGATTTGACCATCTTCTCACGCTCCTCAGCAGTCTTATAGAAGAAGCCAGAGTTGATTTCGCTAGAAAGGCAATAGGAAGTAAGAAGTAACCTACGTCTTCTCATACTCCAATGAAACATTGCAGGTAAGAATGTAGGCGTTTGTGACCCGTTTCGGCATATCAGGATGCCTACCACCATGGTCCATCACAAGACCTCTAATAAGAGTGGTGTCCATATCGGTTTTATGGCGCATTTCCATGATCTCTATCCGATGAAGATCAAGTTCTTCGTTGGGCTGCTTAATGGCAAGGACAGCATCAACGACCGGCTCTACAAGGTGATCCGCCAAATCCGGGTGCAGTTTCGTGCGCAAGGAAGTACCAGCGACTGCAAGGAGAATGGCCTTTTCGGGCATATCCGAAGCAACATCAATTTTGCATTCATCGAGAAATTCCATGCACTTTTCTCTGGCAAGATCAAAACCCTCTGTGACGAGTCGAGGATGCAGGCCCTCGCTAATAAGAAGTTCAGCCTGTTTTAAAAGTTCGGCAATAAGAATGACAACTGATGTAGTCCCGTCACCGGTAGAATCGTCTTGAGAGGTAGCAACCCGGGCTATCAAGCTTGCTGTCGGATGTTGAATTTGCTAAAGAACACCAATTATAAGACCGGGGTATTACCATTTCATGAAGAAGAACATTCCCATCCTTTGTAATCTTAATATCACCAGCACCTGACACCAGCCTATGATCGCATCAGAAGAAAAAATATTCGACGTACATCTTCATGGTACCCTTGGGTCCAAGATTTGTCCTCAGCACCTCATACAGCCCACGCGCGGCTGTAGTATTAATTCGGAAGGCATTTTGAGCCTTTGCGAACTCTGCTTTTGGGTTCAAAAGTGATATCGAGGCCATGTGGCGATTATGACAGCAGTAAGCAGCGCGTAGTTAGCAAGGCTACGGCAACACAGTACAGTCTAAATCGTGATTGGGTGACTAATTCAGCTTTTCGCGAATACGGGCAATTCATTGGCTAATTACCGCTGCAGTGCATTTTGACACACACATGCACTTACACTAGGGAACTGGGACCCTTGATACGGCTGTAAGCCTAGGTAATGGTGGTTTATAAAGGTCGAATGACTAAAAGATCCAGCAAAGGGCACTTTTTTCCCGAACGACCACAAATAAAATTATTGTTTACAACGAAACATTACTAAGTTTTATTAGTTGTGAGGGATAAATTGGTCACATCGACGATGTTTAGACTAATTATTAAAAATTATGAATTTCGTGCTACCGTATAAACCTGTTTAGTAAAATGAAACATCAATTAGTGGTTTTCGCTTGAATTTTTCGTTGTAGCTCTTTTAACCAATTTGCTCTAACTTACCGACATTTTAGCGAAGCATCTGGCCTCTTCCACAGCTCCCAGTGAATATATAACAGGGGACATATTGTGGAGCGAGACTCCTCGGTCTCCGCTTCCCAATTCCTAGCGTTCCTAGACAAGCCCGGTTGGTTTGTTTTGGACATCTTTATTAAAGACGACAAGATGTATAGGGAAAATACGATATTCAAGAAGGAGGGAAGCCGCAGTCACTAGGTAAGGTAGGGGGCGATCCAGTTACAAGGTTCGAATTTTCTGCTTGCCTCCTCCCTGAAAGGCACATTAAAACAACATAAGTATTACAATATTGTAATACTTATATTGTTTTAGTATTTCTTTGAGAGAGGAGATGGGCAGACAGGTCAAACCTCGTGACTGAGGCGTCAACGTCCTGCAACCCCGACAACGGTTTGTGTCCACACCTCTCCAAATGCTGTACTTGCTTCCTCCATTTACTTATCTTAATAAACATGTCGAGGCCAAATCATTCAGTGTTCCAAGAGTATAAGGATCTGAGAAAAGGAGATCTACGAGTCTCGTCCTACAATATTCCGGAGTTAATTTTTTGAATTTTCCGTATTCTGAGACAGATTCCAATAAGCATTTGGGGTTCCTTTGCATAATTGTAGTGATACGGTATTTCGCTTAAGCCCGTTTTTAAGTTTTCAGGCAATTCAGCCTCCGAGGGTGGTGCTTTCATTCTGATTCCAGGTCTATCTTCTATGCTAGTAGCCTTCCAAAGCCTAATTCACGCGCTGGTGAACAGTATATTTATTCTTTTTACCATAATTTATTACAACTTCAGCAAAGACTGAGGACGACATAAATTTGTTGCAATGAAGATCTTTGTTTTTTGCCTGATCCGTATCAAAAATGTTGGGCATCAAGTGGTAGATTTTAAAAGCCCCTACTACGCCATGATCTGCCCCTCATGTATAGAATGTACTTTGACCCATTGCACAAGAAAATTTTAAACAGGCGCCTTGAAAAAGAGTGAATTACTTATTATGTTGCGAGCATATAATTCGTCAGTCTTTTGTAGTTAAGGGATTTTAGCTAAAAATGCCCCATCATCATGAAATACTAATTGTTTGGTGAGATTCAACCCTGTCTATTTTCTGAACCGGGTTTAGACTGTTGGTATGATAAATAAGTCTGTAGGAGAATTACCTGCGTACTTTGAGCACAGCACTAAGATCTGAGGAAAAAAATTAGCACAGATTTCATTAGATACCTAGTCTTGCCGGGAAGCATTAGATCCTTTAGTGCAGAACTTGCTTGTTAGGATGCTGTGGGATACTGCTCCACCCCATTAAGCTTAAAAAGAGATTATAGCTTCTTCTTGACGTCAGTGTTGGATAATCGCATGCAATATTAAAAAGCCGACAATCAACTGGTAACTTTTTGAGGGGACGAAAAGACTGGCCAAAAGGAAACCCGCAGATCTTCGTCACCTCTCTCTTCCATTAGTAGACTTGTAAGAGTAATGTCCTAACATAGTTTTATTTATAGTATTAAAATTTGGAAAACTTATAAGCATCTCTTCAAATAGCAAAGTCTATGGTACAAAGTAAACAATTTGTTTCTGGAGGTATTCCTGCTGTGGAGTGTTATCTAAGAATCACTCCCCATCTCCCCATCTGGGTAGCCAATCGACCAAAGACCACACTAACGGGTGAAGATACGGCGATAAATCTGCAGATAAAACAATCGAACTCACCAACCTAGTGACTACGAAGAGAGAAAACAAATCAGCTTAGGTATGGTCTAAAATTCCAAATTACTAAGTGGAAAAGTTGCATGGCATCTTTGAATTTTTAATAAGCTACGTCAAATGGGCAATGAAATTGTTTCTCAATCTTCACGTATAGCATGTTTTATTGTAGTGTGCACCTCAAGCTTCAGGCAGCCCGCTTAACACCACCCTCATAAAAAAATGTAACATCCTCGACTTCAAATGATGAATTGAGGCCTGATCCTTTGTAAACTTTGATATTCTGCTCAAGTATAGGATTGCTTTATCGAGTCTATCAAACGGTCAGAAAAACTTGATGAAAGGGGAACATTCAGGAATGTCCAAAAAGTTAGAACCAAAGCAAAGATAAGGTTGAGACTCAAAATTTGCACAGAGCAAGCACTTTGTAAGAACCAGTGGGGTTTTGATTAATTATTGAACGGCTTGTAAACAATACGACATCCTGAATTTATTGAGCTAACTGCTTATTTCTGTGGCATTTAAGAGTCCGACTTCCTTCTTCTTGTTCTCTTGTTCTTAACAATTTTTTTTACAGCCAATTAAGTATTTCAACGGAATCATTAAAAATTATTTTAAAGAAACTCGTTCATTATTTGAAGTGACTGATTTTATCATTTAATATGTAAAAAATATCAATAATGCTTTATTTATAAACAACCGCTTTTTAAAATCAAATTATTAATAGCCTTTGTCTGTAAACTATATTTTGCATTCAAATTTTTTGGATGTTTGTTTGTTAAAACTGACCATTCAGTCTTACAGTGACCTTAACGCGCCACAGTCAGGTGGGGGTCTGCGTGTCGTATCTTGGATGTCTGCTATGGGTTTTGACCTGTAATCACTATGGCAATGAACATTCCTGGTGGAAATCCATGGGGTCCAAGGGCAGCTGGTAATCCGTTCCTCGCAGGCACCCGACCGGTGATTGCGGACTTAGCTATTGCGGCACTTAAGGATCGGGAATCAAAAAGACGTAGGAGGATTTGCCCTCAGTTTAACCCAAACCGGTCGCTTTTTCTTCTCTCGAAGAGAAATCCTATTCGGCGTTACTGCCTTATGATTGTTGATGCCAAGTATCCTTTAGTTTTCAGTATTTTGATACAAATTTGGGTTGTCAATGTAGTAATTGGAATCGCTAAGTTGTTGCTTAAAGTAACTTTGAGCTAATAAATTTAGCAGCTTTTTTAGTTCGCCATTGTCGTTTTCTGTACTGTGCTGGGATCTTTTTCGACGCACCGTTCTTCCTCTCTGTGTCTATTACTTGGGCAATTTCAACGTAGGGGTTTTTGTTTCTATTACAGCTTTGAAATGAAGGTTCTTCTTTGGATTCTTCTTCTTTGCCATTTTTTGACTTGTTTTCTTATCTGTAGCACAAATTCATTGAAATGAGCCCCCGTACTTTATGGATTTTATGGAACACCTTACAGTCCATTACCCATAGTAATTTAAGGAAAAAAAGAATTGTGCTTACTTATCAGTAATATGCCAGCGAAGATTCCGGTTCATTCTTCTTCCATGCTTGCTTTCACCAGATTTTGTTCCGCACTATGACTGGCACATTAGAATCGGACTCCTCTATTTACTTTACCAAATTTGTCTTAACGAGACAGCACTCCTGTTTAGTAAGGATTATTCCGAAATTTTATATTTCTTATTTGTCTGATTTTATTCACAGCCATTTTTTACATGGGTCATTCTGGATTATGATGATTTAAAGTGGCACATCGTGGTTATTTCAACACGTCTTCCAGCGTCATCTTGACATAACTTTTTTACTCTTATTTATTATTCCGCATGGAAATTTTGCTCCTAATTAAGTAGAAGCTGTCCTACTGGTGGGCCAACTTTCCTGTTCTAGTATTAATGCAGGCAGTAGTTTGATCGGGCTGACACTTGCCTTCGCAACAGATAATTTGATGTCAAATGGAGTCAGTAAAGCATAATTGACAACATATGCTTGATCAATAATTAAGTGAAATTCCTCGTGGCACCGTCAATGCCACGCTCGGTCCCTTTAGCCCGCACGCGCCCACCAGCCAATCGATAGTCGCACCTCGCACACACGCGCGCACCTACGTGTGCGATGGGCTTCCTGCGTGCGAATGCCCTCGCACGTTCGCACTTGCGTGCTTTGGGCCACGTTTTGTGCTCCCTGCGACACGTACACCCCATCTAGCAGGGCAATGTCGCTGTGACACCATTCTCTGTGACAATACCGCCCTCTTTAGCGCACCCAAATATGTAGCCGATGTCCACCTCCTTGCCGTCCTGTTGTACTTTCAAATCATGCATTTTCAACTAACCCAAGAAGGCGCCTTACCCCACCAAATGGACGGAAGGGGAAGACCAATTGATGCGAGGAGCCTGTCTAATTTTTGCTCTTTAAAGTGCACTTCTGAACCCTAGGTTTTGTTTGACCTTAGCCTTAATTCACCTCCCCTCGTAGGTCCACTGTGTACGCTCTGCCGGTCAGTTTGTGCCCCTAATTTGCTATAAAAACTTACCGCCTTGCCTTTCCCCCCCCCCCCCTCTCCGAAGTTGATATGCCTTACGCTTACTTTTTTCAGATTTCTTCAAAAGCCCATCCTCTACCACAAATTTAACCGCGTGTAGACTGTTCGTAAAAGGAAGCAGCAAATACCTCTAAGCGTACCTTCTTGGTGGGATTTTAAACTTTTTCTACTTTCCTTTGGGCTTAGAAAAAGGAGTTGATCTACTCTTGACTCCTTTTAGTAGACTAATTCTTTACCGAGTTATGAAGAAGTCGCGGCTTTCTTTCGTTTCCAACCTCACCCGGGAATGAATGACTCTTTGAGCGCATTCTCCGGACTTCACCATCTTTGAACATCCCTAATCCCCAGAGGTTTTGCTATAATTGGCCGCGTCGAAACTGATCGTGTATTTCCTGCAAAACTTGAGATTGGTATCGCCCCTTATCTTGGTGACAGCTGTCAACTGGGTGATGTGTAAGCTCTTGCGCAAAAAGCAGGGAAGATCGGTTTTTGTATCTTAAAAGACATTAGCCTACCGATCAATTAGATTGTCGAAGGAAATAAAGCTCTTTTAGGTACCGACTCATCAAATAAACCGGATTTAAATAAACTTCGGCCAGACCTCCTTTTTTATAAATTGTTGATTGGGGCAAACCTGATGATCTATGGCTGCTTCCTTTCTAGTCGTCGGTTGTTGCCTCCGTGTTGGCCTTAACTGCTTGCTTTTTGAAAAGACCTTTTGAATTCTTCATTCTCGCAACCATTCTTGCCAATTGCATTGCTCTGGCCATCAATCACCCCTACCCCATGGGGGATTACAACGCCACAAATGTTGCGCTGGTATGTTGGTCTGTTCCATTACTTCCACTAGCATTTACGGGTTGTATTTCGTATTCCCCTGTTCTCCCTTGTGTGTTCACGTGTATATGTGTACTTGTGTTTACGTTTCCAGGAGAAGACAGAACTGGTCTTTCTCATCATCTTCACGACTGAAGCCGTGTTAAAAATCATCGCCTACGGCTTTGTTCTACATCCAGACGCCTATTTACGAAATTTCTGGAATGTTCTCGACTTCTCTATTGTTGTGATTGGGTGAGTTTCTCCCGTCTTTATTACAGCTTCTTAGTTTACTTGCCGTCTTTATAACTTTCTCCTGATGTTGCACTCCTAGACTGGGCTCCAAATGTCTCGAAAATACCAAGTTGGATGTGAAATCGTTGAGGGCTTTCCGTGTTCTACGACCACTTCGACTGGTGTCGGGTCTTCCAAGTACGTTTTGTAGCGCGTATAATGATGAGGCAGCTTAATCTGCGCCCTGTTTACGGGTGGTAATGGGATGCCGAACTCTCTGCAGGACGTGACAAAGTGCTTCCAAAAACAATCGTAGTCGAGTCTTCACCCACTTCCATTAAGAAGTGGTTTACCTGATGACTCACAGGTTGTTCATCTGATTGGTTATAGCAGACACCCTCAGTGCGACCAACTGACCAGGTCAGTTGATGTTACTGTCATGCCTCCAAGTTTCGATCCAGGCTCAGTCAAACTGTCATAGAACCACTCTCGTCACGCATATGTGACGCTGGTAGCAAACGGCCTTGACGGGCAATATGCGATTGAAATCGATTGGCCGTGGCTTCTTTCTTCTTCTCACAGGTCTGCAGGTTGTGCTCAATTCGATTGTCACTGCCATGGTGCCATTGTTTCACATCTTCCTCTTGGTGATTTTCCTCATCATCATTTACGCCATCATTGGACTGGAGTTGTTCCAGAGCAAGCTGCATGCCACTTGCTACCTTGTTCAGGAAAATACCACCTGTAAGCTTGCTCGTTTTTCACTTCGTTGAGCTTCTTGTGTTGCCTCACCCCCTTCCAATGTTATTCCATTTTATTTTTAATTAAATCCTGAGCTTCACCGCGCTTTCTGATTGGCTTTTGGTGTAACAATCAACTAGGTCTCTTTTTGCGAGTATGCGCATGTGAGGTTTCAGGAACTCTAATCCTATCTTCTTATAAGGAACAAGGTAGGAGGTCTTTTAACCCTGAACTCAGCTTTTCTACTTCTAGATGGACTGAGGAGCATTACTGAACCCTGCAGCAATTGCTCGCTCACCCCTCCGAAATATGTTTGTGCGTTGGACGGTCGGCTCGCAATTCTGCATGACTTGTTCAGCTTCGGGGTGCCTACTTATCCGCCCACTTACTTACTAGTTTATCCCCTGTTCACCACCGTCACCTGCATCAGCATCTCTGGCACCTGCATGTCGATTATGTAGACGGTCGGCGAAAAGAAAATTCCTGTTACTAATTATTAGCAGCACTGGACCCACGAGTAGCATATCCATGAAATGCAGAGATTACTTTTTCCCTCGCAAACCTCTGTTTTTTTCTCCCCCATCAGACACCATGATGGACAATCCACGGCCCTGTTCAAACAGCTCCTACTCTATGGCTTTCAATTGCTCTGAGATTGGACCGAACTACGTGTGTCGAGATTTGCCACCCGAGTTAGGTGAACGCTATGTGGGGCCTGAGGATGGCTTGGTGAATTTTGACAACTTTCTCTACGCCATGCTCACTGTTTTCACCTGTGTCACCATGGAGGGTTGGACCACTTTTGGCGCCTATGTGAGTTTTGAGGGACACTGAAGTTCATCTACTCGATACATTAACCCAAGAGGGTGTAGGAAGAATCCCTTCTCGGGAAATAGCCAAGATATGCGAATTGATGCAAGGAAAGTCCTCATTTTGATGCAAGATCTTATTACCTTACCTCCACCACGAGATTTGCGCCTGAGTTAGATTGAGGTGGGAGATACCGTCTTACCCCACCCTCCGTATGGCATTTTCCAACCTCCAAGTAGTTATCGCCCTTTCTTGGCATGAGTATTTGATAACCGAATGTTAAGCAGACTAAACAGTTCGTTTGACAATATAATTGAGGTATTTCTGAGTTCAAAGGAAATAACATTTGGAAAGGGAGAGTTCCCAGACCTGCTGAGAAGGGAATGTTTGCTGCCAAACAAGTTGTCTACCACAATAAGCGTTCTTTCCTATTTCCCTTTTTATAAAAGGTGTCACGTATGTTTGACCCTGAAGGCAAGTGTTGAGAATCATACGTCAGGGGCGTAAGCAGATTAGTCCACTCTTCCGCAATCGGTTTTACAGGCCCGTCCTCATCCAGCCATCCACAAAGTCAAAATTTCCTTTCAAATTAAAGGCAGATTTTGGCTTCCTGCACGCCTTATTTCTGCACTGTCGCTTCAGTCTACACAGAAGTTGTTTAATTCTTGTGCACGCTTTGCAACTGCATATACAGTTAGCTTTCTAGATAAAAATGGCGTGATGCCAGGCTAGTTTTTGTCTTTCCGGACCTAATCAAAAATAATGCGGGGAAACCTGCCTCTTCGTTTCCTGATTGTTCCAGTCCCTTCAAATTGTGAACCTACTACAAGCAAACGATTGGAATTCATCATAGAGGTTGTTCCTCTATTTTGGCCTACCTATAAAAACACTTTTTTGTTTTCCCTCCTCTGGCCGAGCACAACCCGCACTTTTTGTACCGATGCAGTGCTTGTTCCTGTAAATCCAAATTTCCCGGACGAAGGTACCAGAAATGCCCCATACTACTTTGCCACTTACCCCCTTTCAGTTTGTGCATATTTTGACTCTTCTTGCGAATTAAACCAGCACATAGGCCCACACAACTGAAACAGTTAATCAAGTCGCTTGTTTTACATGTTTTCAGATAGCTGCCGCAGTCGGTCATTGGTGGCCATGGATATACTTTGTCAGTCTCATTCTTCTGGGCTCCTTTTTTGTCATGAATCTCGTTCTTGGTGTCTTGAGTGGGTGAGTCATCGGGGAATTTCGTCTGCCCTCTGGTGGTCAGCTCTCGGTTGGCCCATAGTAGTTCAATGCGGTTCTTTTAATGTTAAGCATAGGAATTTTTTAATATTTTAGAGAATTCACTAAAGAGAAGGATAAGACAGATCGGAAGGAATTATTCCGAAAGGAGCGCCAGCAAAAGAGGGAACAACAGGACTATGAAAATTATAAGGAGTGGATTGAAATTGCAGGTGCGATTACTGTTTTTGCTGAACTTAGCGCAAGACACCTGACTTGGCTCAGCTCATTACGTACTATCTCGGATATTTTGGATAGCGGTTGTGTATTTAAATGTCCAAATATTATTCACAGATGTAAGAAGACGAAATGCTTGTTTTTTTTCCCCCATTTTAATCTACCAGAGGACCTTTCGGAATCAGAGGCCGAGGCGAAAAGCAACAAAGAATTGGAATCTGGTACGTGAAGTCTTGTTAATTACTTTCAACCAATCACATTCCCTCTCCCTCCACTATGACCTTGGCTGCCGCCTATGAGTCATTCCCGTAATTAATTAAGTTGGAGAACAGGGATGTTTAATTTTACCAAAATGAGTAAATCCTGTTATTTGGAAAATTTCCATCTGTCATTTTTGTTATTAAAAGCTGTTGAAAAATTTTTGTCATTCAGATGAAGTCGCAAGTACTACTCGTAAGTCTGCTTCTTTTCCGAATTGGGTCATTGCAAGTGGCAATTAATTTACACATTTCTGTCTAGAACACAAAACTCGGAATGTTTCCTAATACTTGTCTTTTCACCTCTTACTTTACGAAGAAAATAAAAACTTATCTAGTAAACGTGGAGGAGGAGCAGAACATTTGTGATGGTCTTCTCATCTCGAAAGTTTTTCTAAGAATGATTCCAAGATTATTAAATCAAATCCTGCTGAGAATGATGAGGCCATTAGTGGGCAGTATTTAACCAGTTATTTTACCAAATAAGATGCAACGATGTCTCTTTGAGTTCTTGAATATTCGGTCCACCTGCTTGTTTGTTTGTTTGAATCTCTTTGATTAAAGAAGATATTGGACGGATGCATGCGAAAATTGAATGTTTCTTGCCGTTAATTTTTAAAGCACAGTAAATTGTCTCCCATTTACACAATGCCCCCTTCTTCGTCAAATTATTGGCATCCAGTAAAGGGAGAAAAATTCGGAATTCTATCCATTATTATTGGTCGGTTCTCCCCAGAGCTTACCGCAAATTCTAGGCACTTGTAAATTGCATGCAGTGATTTGTTTGCATTTATCGCGAACTGATGTGTCGGTCCTGCCGTACTGTTGGTTGTGCTCTTCCCTGTTCCCCCTCCTTTCTTCCAAGATTTTGATTGAGCCTCTCCGCTTGACGAATTTTATCTCAGTTTCAAAGCTACAGAGGCCTTCTGCGATACTTAGGGCGTGACATTTGGTAAAGATACAGGACGCGGTAGATGAAAAAAGCACAAGGAGAGAGCAGATTTGGGTGATTACTCATCCAAAGTTCGGTGTCTCAGACCGGACAAAGTCATCTGGTCTTGTCTTGTGCATTAATGACTCTCATGTCACTGCTGACACGTTTGAACAATTTGTGGTTAGCACGGCAAGAACAGCTTTCGTCAATGTTGAAAATAACGTAGGTGATGAAACAATTGGTTTGTGCCTGGACCAACTGGGAATAAGAGGGAGTTCCAAGTCCGTCAACAGATGGCAACAAACTTCGGAGGCTAACAGCTTATCTGTTGTCACCTCTTTTAAACACACTAAAAAAGTCGCCTTTATTTTACATTGTTCGCTAATTACTTGAACGACTGGTGATGAAAAATGACTTCCGTGACTTTTTATTCCAATGTTCATTAGATGGATGAGCATATCATTGGTTGGTTAGCCTCAAACAATTTACTCACTTCACCATCTGCTACCCGCCATCCAACTCACGTTAAATTTCCAAGATACGCACCACTCGCACGCAGGTCCCGTGCCCCCTCCCAATTGACCATGCCTCCTCTGTCTGTCTGTGCGTGTGTGGGTATGTGTAATGAACTGCGGATAGGATTATTCGCTTTCCGAAGGGCAAACGCCAATCGCACCACACACAGGCAGTGTGGCAGTACAACTCGAAGTTCTGCAAGAAGGACTACTGAAGCAACTGACCCTTGCTAGTCCAGTAAGGAAAGCCCTATTCTCAGTGATGTGAGACAACCCAGGTTTTCACATCGCCTCGCCCACCACAAAACTGTGCCGAAAGAGGTACTGCACCTCTCTAGGTAAATGTAGGGAGGGAGCTAGTACTTCATCTCATCCCCATCCCCCCTATTCTCCTGATGATCTTCCCCAAGCTCCAAGTGGCGGTTGTCACCTTTCTTTGCCGCTGTCATTGACCATTCTATGGTCACATCTGCACTGGACCTTCATTCAGCAGAGGAAGTGAACTGACCTTGCATTGTTTACTTCTGGAGTCAAATTTTCGTCTCCTAAATGTGGCTCTCGCGGATCGTTTGTGTCCCGCTTTGAGTTGATTGTACTGGTGCCTCACAACTTTATTGCGCTGGCGTGATTTACCATGTCCTTCTTCCATCTCTGGTGTCATTTCTAAAGAACCCACGACTTTGTCCAGATCTGCTGCATCTTCCCGGAAACTGTCGAAATTGCTTTTTAAACGTTATTGGTTGGTTGGCTGGTTGAATCCCCTACATATCTCTTCGTCTTATCTTTGGTTTTTCGTTATGCATCCTATGCGGGAGGCCCACTTTTTTGTGTGTTACTGCTCCTATCAATCATCTGCTGCACATCTGAACATTTGTGAAGACCGAAAGACCACTTAAGTTTGATTGATTGCTATCGGGAGATGTTGTGTCCTTGATCTCCTCCATGGACAGAATGTCAAAATTGCATCCTTGATGGTCTGTGTGTTAAGTGAACTCACACATTTGACCTTTGTAAATAAACCCAAAATAATTGTAAACTGTTTTGCCGGGGTTTTGCCATTAAATTAAGCCTATCCCCCAGTTCACCTAAGCAGATTTGTAACACGTTTCCACGATCCGGGAATGACTGGGTAAGAAGTAGTAAATGGGAATACTTCTTGTTTGGACTTTCTCATTAAGGTCTTATGGACGGGAAAATTGTGGAGGATCAGGAGGCCACAAACGAGCCAACCGCCAGGTCCCAGTGCTGTGAAGGAATGCGGTAAGAAAGCCAAGGTCATGCACTTTCCTCTCCAATCTAAACATCTCTTCTAGCTTCCTCCTTGCTCCACGATAGCGTCGGTGTTATTCATCATTTTGTCCATGTGGAGACAAAGGACTACTTGCTATCTTTGACACGAGAAAAGGACATGTTTTTAAGTAGATGTGATTATTTTGTAGGAGTGGTGCAGCATTGCCATCGAAAGCCTCAAAAAATAGCGTTAATCGGTATTTACGTTACTTTCTATGTGCCCAAAATGACAGTGAGTTGACAAGGTAGTCACCAATAAGTGAGGACGAAAGGGGGTCATGTCTCTGGAGGCCTCGATTTCCGTCACGATTACACAAATCCTACGAAGGACTACTCGAGTAAAAATGCTATCCTCCTTCATGTCTGTCTCCTCGTTCACGTACACCACGCCGAGCTTGAGACGTTTAGTGCCAGGGTCTTTGAAAGAAGGATCGGCCACCACCTCTCAGTTGTCTTGTCGGACTGATTTGACTCCAACACTCCAACCTGTTTGCGACAATTTGGTGGCGCTACTCTTCATAACGCGGTAACGACCAAATGTCACGTGTTTGTGACATGCGGGCACAAATGAGAAAATTAAGGGAGGGGACTCATGGCGCATCGCCAGGGACATCATTGCAGCACCAATATTGTTGACTTGCTTACTTAGAAGGTGTAGGCTACCTTCACAACCAACTCGCTGCGTTTATCCTCCGAGCAACGTTTTTTTCCTTTTGTATCCTCTTACATCTCGTGGTGAATACATTTGGAGAAGGCAATATCACCGCAAAAAGTGCCCTGCTGAGATTCATTTGTGAATTCAGCGCTTTCCCATATTCTCAAATGATGTACGAATTCCTTCTTCAGTGAAGAGTCGTTAATTTGATACTCGTAGTTACACCGAGGGATCGTACCATCTACCAGTCTGGTTGTTTGACCTCAGTTCCGCATGACCGCAGAGTTAAGGTCGCGTAATCAAACCCATCAGTCTATTACATTTGCACTTCTAGGCTTAGGTTGGAAGTCTGTTGGCACGGCCAGATGTCCGTGGCACCAAGGTGGTGGTAGAACTCGTGGAGACTGAAAAGCCCATGAACAAGTTTCGTTCTTCTGCTCTTTGGGGTTTTCCTTAGCACTCCTCGTAGGTGCTTGTCTCGTCTAGTTCACTCGCAACGAGCCCTCCCCGTTGGAATCAACCGTGATACGGTGTTGAAGGTGATATGATAAGCTGAGATCATAGGGAGAGAACTGCCAATTTGGCTAGGGTACCAGGGCATTATGCCCCCTGTTCTCTGCATGGTGAACTACATCGGGAGGGGTTGGTTTGGTGGCACCATGAAATGCTTAAGGATGTTCTATAGTGTGGTAGCACCTTTCCGAGTGGATCACAAGGAGGAGGATTGTAATACAGTCAGGCCATGACCTAAGTGGCTCTCTACACGAGTATAACGTAGAAAATAGATGCATATTTAAGACTGTGAGTGATCCATTGGGACCTGATTGCGCCCTATTAATGGCGTGTGCAGGAGGGGAAATTGAGGGCTTCTCAACGTTGTCGACCTCGGCTCATGCCTTTAGCAGTGAGTCTTTGCGTGTTCTGAGATCAGGATTGTAGAAGGTTATTTGAACGAGGATTCGCTCACCACTCTCACCTATTTAGTACTCCTAAAAACGGCTGGAAGACCACAATCGTGGAGAGGAAATTGCGAGACCCGCGTGGTGAAATATCCCACATGACTTTCCCTAACTTTTCACAGCAGAAAACCGCTTAATAACTCTACCTTTTTTCTCAGTATGCACGATGGGGAAGGTCAGGTGAGATTTGGCCATTGTCTAAGTCTATCAAATTTCCACTTGAGTAGTAAGGCGATTTTTGTTCATTATTCTGTCACAGTCGATTGAAGAAGTTCCGAAAACGCCTTCGACGGGTGATAACGGCGTTTGTAAAGAGTCGCCAATTCTTTGCTCTAATCCTCACCTTTGTGTTTCTCAATACCATTGTTCTGGTCACTGAGCATCACAACCAACCACTCTGGCTCAATCAATTTCAAAGTAAGTCTATTTGTACCTGTCGACTCATCCGAACCTCATTTCCACAAAATAGAGGCTTTCAGTCCTACATCTGCATTCTTTCCCACGTAGATTTTGCCAATGTGCTGTTTGTGAGCCTCTTCACTCTGGAGATGATCATCAAGATGTGCGCCTATGGCATTCAGGACTACTTTGCAACTCTCTTCAACCGCTACGATTTTTTCGTCGTTGTCGTCTCCATTCTGGAGATTATCCTCACCTATATAGGTGTTATCGACCCAATGGGACTCTCGGTGTTGCGTTGTGCTCGCCTCCTACGCATCTTCAAAATCACCCAGTAAGCATGCCAATTCGCCCTCTACTTGTCTTTGCATTGGCCAACGAGGTTAGACCCATTAACGCGGCTGCAATGCTCTCCTTTTTATTGAAAGACTGCATCCGAATGGAGGGATGATCGTCAATGTGCCGAAGGGTTGTTAGGCTACAAGCACGATTGGAGTCCCATGTCGTCCGGTTACAGTACAATCTAAGGAGACTAAGGAATCCATTTATTTAGAAGTACACTTAAACTAATGTTAAGTGATTGAGACGCATTGGGAGAGAAATGATGGTAACATGTTTGGAGCTTCGTAATCATCTCCCAAGTCTGTGTTACCAATAGTAGCATGAGCTGAATGGGTAGAGTGCCATGAGTTTGGTGTGGGGACAAATTTCTGGTGAATGCACTCCCTTTTGTGATCGCTCATCTTTGCCACCTAAATTACATCCTGCATTGAGAGCGGTCCGTGACTGTCGCCGTGGCTACTCCGCTGTATCAGCAACTACCATCGTGACGTATACCGTGGCTTCCTGTAGGGCAAGTCTTTTACCACTCCTATTGACAAGGTACAACCCTTATGGTTAATTGGACGCTATTCAACAGAGACTGCTTTTCATTTGACACTCGCTTCTCGATCAGGTCTTCTATGGGTGGCTTCAGGTTATTTAGTTCTGGTTCCACCTCATTACCAGTAACGTCACTTACTTTTTTGTCTTCTTTCTTCAGTTACTGGGCTGGTCTACGGGGTCTTGTCAACCGTCTGCTGAAATCGATAAAGTCGGTTGCCGGTCTGCTGCTTCTCCTCTTCCTCTTCATTCTCATCTGCTCCCTTTTGGGTATGCAGTGGTTCGGTGGTACCTTCAATTTTCCTAACACCGACAAACCCAGAAGCCACTTTGATGGCATCGCCCAGTCCATGATCACTGTGTTTCAGGTTAGCACCAAGTAACCGCATGACTGATCCCCTTTTTGAATGATTATGTTCACTGTGTAACACGATGTGCGTTACGTATTTGAGGTAAAAGGTTCCACTAATTTAAAAATCCAAAGTAGCCTTTGTTCTCTAATTGATGCCACCTCATGTTTGGAACTGGCGTTTTGGGACGTGAGCTTGGATCCTGTCGAACTTCCAACCAGAGGAGTCAATAGGACAGGTCTCCATTGCAGATACCTTTATCCACCTCCCACGCGTAGGGGAAAGAAAAAAGGCTGCGGCATGCGTGTACACGGCAATCGACTCGCTAGGAGACAATGCCGCTGACGCCTAACGAACACTGCGTAAAACACAAGAGCCTATTTTTCTTTCCAAGTCCTGTGGGACATATTTCCCAACTTGCTCTTCGTAGTGGATGTAGGGTTAAACGAATTGCCTCCCCTCTCGGTAATGTTAGTCTCGACAGCACAACTGATGAGTTTGGATGAACTTGATACACCCGCCTTTGAGCAATTCATTGGCAGGTCAATCTGTTTCCGCAATCCGCCTTCTCTCCGAATGCCTTTGTTATAGTCTACTGTTCAGTGTGTGTAAGCCTGAATCTGGTTGAGTCTCCAACCGAAATAGCCAGAGAGATGAGAACTTGGGCTGGGTGGTGGGGTCTATCCCTGTGCGTCTGCTGTCAACACGAGGTAGCGCTCTCCTCCCATACCTGTAGTACTCTGATTGACCTCGGGTAACTGGTCGAAGACGTGCTCTGGAAGCTTCAAGAATTCGAAACGAGATAGAGGAATTCCAAAAACTCAAAAAAGGATCGTTTTCTGGAGTCTCAGACATCCAGACGTCTCTACGGCTTTCCCACTGAGTTTAATTTTTTCCACCAGCCAGGATTGAATCACATCAGCGGAAGTTGCTGCAGAATTGAGCACTCAGTCTCGTTGGGCTGGTGCGCACATTTCACAAGACCAATTCAATCATATTTCACGAGGCCATTCCATGCCGTACTGTGACGGTGTGATGAGTTCAATGGCGTAGACATCTTTAAATGAATAAAAAACGTTCGGTCGAACAACTGGACACCAGTGACTGTGCTAGCTGCGGTGTTTCACACCGTTTCCAGCCCACAGCCACGCGCCTCCGCGTGTGTGACGCCTCACCTTGGACCCTTGATCGACACGACGCATAACGTAATGCCACGTCGCACAAGCATGAATATTCTTTTTGTGGTAGTGGTGAACCTAATCCTTCACAAACACAGTGAATACGGAGACAGATTGTCCTCCTTGAACAACGCTGCAGATTCCTCTAGAAAAGGCTCAGAAGTACTGGCAAATCGCACTGTACCAAAGCTTTCCGGGTGTTAGCTAGATACTGGAGGATAAGGGTGGAAATGGAGCGGGGAATTCGGTAAAAGGGTGAGTAATTTTCTTCTCCCTAGATGTGTCTTCACTTCCCCGCGCAGATTAAGATACCAGTGATTTGATGTACATTGTTATACTTATTCTTGCCCCATTCAGATGCTGACCGGTGAGGATTGGAACGCTGTGATGTACAATGGGATGCGTGCCTACAAAGCTGATGGTCCTTTGTTCGCTTTCGTGGTTATTTACTTCGTCATCGTCTTTGTTGTTGGAAACTGTGAGTTTCGCTCACTCCACCGTCAAATATACCACTTGTAGTAAATGGGATCATCAAGCTTATGTTTAGCTGTTGAATAACGCAAAAAACGTTTTTCTAGCTACCGGGATCTCAAGAAGATCGACCACAACAGTCTAAATTTTGTATTCGTATAGTATAACAAGTAAATGTAGGAGGTGTAATTTTATCAAGCCACTATTATTATTCATTTTTAAATATGAATTCAATAGAGTTGTTTGCGGTACACGACTCAGCACAGCCACAGTTGCCACAACTGATAAAGAGGTCCTGTGGCGTATATGTGACGCTAGTAACTAGGATCTTAGGACGAAGTCAATTCTTTAATCACTGTACTTAGTAGCTAGGACGACAGGAGTAGTAGTACCCTTGTCTAAAGAGGTTTGCCAAAATTGGGTCCATCTGTGACTAGGTTTTTTTTGAAATTAATCCATCTCAATTTATCCTTTTCGGAATGCCGCCAGAGTTCACCAAATAAATTACAAACTGATGCGAGGGTTTCAAATGGGTATAATCAGGATCTAGGAAACATAAACCTTGTTTGAAATCTAGGCTGAATTTGGGTTCGCAAAAAAATTACCCTTATATGAAACTAATTGCCATCATGGTGCTTAGTTTGATAAGTATTGTCGACAGAATTGTCCTCAAAATTAGTTTCGAAAAGTTATCAAGCAGGACTTTGACAACTATTATACAATCCTTACTGTTCAGATATATTTTACGGAAACCCGAATTTTCCTCTATACGTATCAGACTCCCTCTCTAGATGTTCTTAGATTCTCCTTTTCTTGTTAACACTTTCTTGCAATTTTTCTTTTCTTCGCAAACACACTTTACTTCCCAAAACCGTTCCTGCCTTTTGCGCTGGAGGTGTAGTGAAGCAAATTCGGTGGCATTATCTATGTGATCCGCCGTTTTTAGTCTGAGCATACCTTGGAAGTTGTTTGGAGTGTGCATACTTCCGCCAATAAATACAATTGGGTTGACTCACTTAGAGTATCTTTTCCTGGAATTGCCACATTTGCTGTTGATGCTGCAGCTATGTGAAGATCTTATCTTATCTGCACTCGCCGTCACGCATTTGTGACTGCTCTTCCTTGTCGGTTTGTGCCAACTAGCTGCACCAAGTCCTCTTAGCTATTGTTGAAAACGGTTTTGAAGGGAGTCTTTTTAATGTTTTAAAATATGGATGATAGTCAATACCCATCAACTTCTCGCTTCAGAATTCCAGCAATGTCATTCTTGCTTGAGATTTATCAGAGTCCTCTATCAACTCTTTTCCCTTTTCAACCGCCGTGATAATCTTCAACGTGCATAACTTTTCCTCTTAAAACATTTGAGTGGCAATTACACTAAGGTAATCTCTCTAGACATTCTACTGAACGTCTTCTTGGCTATCGCTGTGGACAATCTGAGCGATGAAGATGAAGATGATGAAGAAGGCGGGATGGATGACGACAACGACGTTGACGATCATCCCGGATCTTCTGCAGCTGCCAAGAAAGCTGCAGAGGCGTAAGTTGACGTCTATTTTTCTGCCTCTCTGAATGTATTCTCTTAAACAGCTTTAATATGCAACGCGTGTTGATTGTTGTCTAGAGCTGCTAACGCGAAAGGTCCATTAGATGGTGAGTTTTAACCCTTAGCGCGAACGACAGCCTTGGCAGCATGAAAGGAATCGCATGAGAAGAGAAAAACATATTTTTTCGTTATTTCATTTAGGTAGAAGCATCTTTAAAGCCACTGACTCATGTTTGCACACTTTTAGCCTACATGGAGATGAACTATGAAGAGGTATTTGCCGAAGAGGAGGAACCGGATGATGGCAATCTGGCCTCCAAGTTGGAACAAATGGAGATAAATATGGCAAATCCGCAAACAATTCCTCCCTACTCGGCATTCTTTATCTTCGACCCGACAAACAAGTAGGCTAGGGCGTTTTAATCAGAACTGCTTTAATTTTCTATTCTAATAGATTTAGGATCTTCTGCCACAACATTGTTTCCTCGCCAATCTTCACGAATCTTGTTCTCGCCTGCATTCTCATCAGTTCAGCCCTACTTTGTGCTGAAGACCCCTTAAATACATATTCGTTGACTAATCGGGTGCGTTGTTTTGCATGCATATTACCCACATTTCCACTTTCTAAAGACTATTTGAGTGAAAGCTGACCTCCGCATTTGCACTTTCAGATTCTAAATTACTTTGATTACTTCTTCACAAGCGTCTTCACAATTGAGATCACACTAAAGGTTAGCGCTCTGAAGCAAGTTTTTCCGCGGAAATGTATGCGTTGCAGTGCTTTGGTTAATTTGTGCATCCCATTTTTGCGTCTGTTGTATATATCCTTCTGGCATTATTAAATCCTACCGAAGTTTTAACGGTTTCTAACACTCATTTAAGCTTACTCCCAATTTGATTTCACCAATCATTACTTACTTATTTATGCCTAAAAAATCCCAAAAAAATTCCTGTGGAACACTGGAAATCTGTAAGTGGTATGTCCATGCCTTCAACGTGCTCCCTCTTTATACTCATAGATGATTGCTCATGGTTTCATAATGCACGAAGGTGCCTTCCTGCGAAGTATGTTCAACCTTCTCGATTTGATCGTCGTCTTTGTCGCGCTAATCTCCTTCATGTTGGAGTAAGTTAGCCTTGATGTCAATTTGCTCCACAGTCCATTCATTTGACTGGTTCAAGTCGATGCCTCGATTATGGAAATGCCATTGTTGGTTGATCGAAAGGTTAAAATGTTTGAAAAGGAAAAAAGCTTCTCCATTGTCAAGTAAAAATATCTTTTACGGCCTTCCAGTCTCCAATATCGTCTCAGTCGTCTTGTCTCCTTCTTTTCCCCCATCTAGAAATGAGGCAATTTCGGCGGTCAAAATTCTTCGGGTGTTGCGTGTGCTTCGACCTTTGCGGGCCATTAATCGAGCCAAGGGTTTGAAGGTTTGTCTCTGTTTTAAAAATTCTTTAGCATTCTTACAACGATCTCTTGTACCCTATAGGGATGTATAGAATGCCTGCGTTATGAAGCCTGGACATGCTTCTTTTAATCGGCACGATACTCTCTAGCAAGCTTTGTGCTGCTTTCTCTTACCCTCCTATATCTTGTTCAAACTTGATGTGATTCGAGCTTGCTTACTTGGGAAGCCGAGGTTAATTCGTTTTGCAGAGGTAAAGAATTGTCTTGTTCACTTCGTTGTAAAGCCTTTGGAGGGAAGACACAACTGCAGAACACATCATTCAGAAATGGTTTTACTAAGCAACTTGTTTCTGGTGAAGCGAGTGATGGGGCAACTCGTCCATACCATGGAAGTAGCCTAGTGAATGAGTTTCATAGTCTCACGGATTCAAGTTATCTTAAATTCTTTGTCGGCCTACTTTTGGTGGAAAAATGGCTTTCGTATATGATTACGGCATTAAGCAAGCAAACGTACTATTGGTTGCCCCCCAAATCGTCTACTCATTAGCCACTCCACCTCTCCAAGACATGGCTAAGCTCACTCTGTGCGCCCGTATGTGCGTGTGTGTTGGACCGCAGAAGCGGGTTCCCACTTGCTGAAGCCCAAACAACAGCTTCAACTAGGATGTGCCTATTCGACACAACCCGGTACGGCTCAGAGGTGAGCAAAAAGAAGTCTTCGTGCGAAAGGCAACCCAGAAACAGTCAATTGGGACGGGGTCGGGGTGGGGCGGGGAGAAGGTTTTTACATCAATCTCACGAGTTAATATACGATCTCCTACTGCAAAATTTCAACTATTTCGGGTCTTCGCTAAAGTTGTGTTACATCCTGGTCATGGGGAGGAGCATGCTGCTTACTAACTTATGAGTAGCATGCTGAGAGGATATTAGGCAGTCAGTTTTTTAGGGGTAGTTGATTGGATAGATGAAAAGGTGAGTTCATTACTTGTACTTTGTGCGAACACCTTCCTATTTCACTGAGTTAAGCCTTACCTTCCACAAAATACCGTTTTACCCAACGAGGCACCTTATTGTTGGTTTTCCTGACAGAACGTGGTGCAATGCGTGGTCACAGCCCTGAAGAGCATAGGCAACATTATGCTGGTGACAGTCCTCATTGAATTTGTCTTCGCAGTCATCGGAGTGCAGCTCTTTAAGGGGAAGTACGTCTCTTGTAACGATCCCTCCAAACTCACCGAACAAGACTGCAAGTAAGTCCACAGACTCAATAATAGATCTTTTTGTTGAAAAGAAAATTGATATGGAGGGTGGGGGAGAGTATAATCCCAATTGTCTTCATTTACCAGGGGCTTCTTCATCGAATATGAACACGGACGACCAGCTGATGTGGTAGAGAGGGTGTGGACCCACTCGGAATTAAACTTTGACAACGTCGCGAATGCCATGTTGACCCTCTTCGTGGTCCTCACCTTTGAGGGATGGCCACCGTGAGTTTTTGTTTCCTCCATTAACTTTGTTATATCTGCCTGAAAGATTTCGAGTGAAAGGTTCCTTCTCAACCTTGATGCTTCACCTTTTGATACTTTCAAGGGCGAATTTCGACTTAATTTTTGGTTTAAACATCCCCCTGGACCCAGCCTACGTCGAGTGTTCATGTCAATCTGGGACTACTGAGTCGATGAGGGACCTTAAAATGTCACGGTTCAAAGGGCGCAAACTACAAAACCAAGACTTGTCATTGTGTCCGAGGCTTTCCTAGGGAAATCTACTGTGCCGTTCAAGGGTGCAAAGTTGTCCTCATGTCATGTGTGTAGGTGAACGAAGTGAGGCATCACACACGCGGAGGGTCGCTGTTCGATTGAATGGCTGGCGCGGCTGTGGGCTAGAAACGTTGGGAAGCACAACGGCCGGTTGTATTCACGTACTCACCCCTTATCAGTGGCACAGTTGCTCGGCATGTGAACAGTGTCTGGCCAGGTCTGACCCAGGTCTTCTGGTCTCTGTGTTGCCACCATCTAATATGGAGGACGTAGGAGCGGCGAAAATTGTTACCTCCAAACTCTGAGATTTTCGTCAATTCTAGATATTTAGACGCTTAGTTATTAATGTGAATAAATATTATTACCCCTTAAGTTTTAAATTTGACAGATAAAAGGGTATGTAGAGTGAATATTTCATTTATCTCCCTCTCCTTTTCGCTGCAGAATTCTCTACGCAGGCATTGATTCCAACGAGGAGGACATGGGACCACTACAGGATCATCGAAAGTACATTGCTCTTTACTTCATCATCTACCTCATCGTTGCCTCCTTCTTCATGGTGAATATCTTCGTCGGTTTTGTCATTGTCACCTTTCAACGCGAGGGCGAACGCGAATACAAGAATTGCGAACTGAACAAAAATCAGGTTCTCAAAAGTACTTTTACTTAATTTTTTTCAATAGCAATTATTGTATGCATTTTACTCCGGTTCCTTTAGCGTAAATGCATCGAGTACGCGTTGAAGGCTCGACCGCGGCGGCGTTACATTCCCAAGGGCCATCTTCAATACAAGATCTGGTCCATGGTGGTGTCACGAAAAATGGAGATCACCATTTTTACGTTCATCTTCTTGAATACAGTTACGCTAGCATGCAAGGTCTGTCCCCCTTTACCTTCATTAGTCACGCAAGGCGGCTTTTTATACATCATTCAATGTAAACAACCGGAGTTGAAGTAGTGGTATTAGTCTTAGCGGCATCCGCGGTAGCCAGAGACGTGGGCTTTTGCTGACAAAAACAAACTGAGTTTCTTCAATAGAAAAAAGGACCTTTTTCCTTATATAACATACCGTAAATTAAATAGGAGAACTCCTACCCTTTCAGCACGACAAAATGGATCCAACCTTCAGTAGCGTGTTGGACAATTTCAATTACTTCTTCACTGCCGTCTTCACCGTGGAATTCATCCTCAAACTATCTGCCTTCAGCTTCAGAGTGAGTTATATGCTCAAGTAGGGGAGGTGAGGAGATGAAAGTTGGGATTTTAAAGTTATTTCAACCAATAGGCAATTTGACCAATTTCACAGTATTTTCAACCTTCAAAATGAGCTTTTAATCGGGCGAAATTCCTCCACTTTTGGTGGAAGCATAATATGCATATAGAGGTAATATAATGGGCTAAAAAAGTCGTCAAAATTTCCTCCTCTTTGGCTGACGAAAGAGATAAAATCATCCCTTTCCATGCATGGTTATTTGAGAGCTCTGAATGGGAAATCATTTTGCCTGTCCTAAAATGCCCTTTCCCTCGTCAAAATACCCACCGCAGGAACCAAAACACTTACACTCCCAAAACCTCTGTTCAAAGGCAATAGCCTCACATTGTCTGATGTCATAAGCAACAGCTGTTCCTTCACGGAACTACAGTTTCTGCTTCTTCCTCTTTTTTTCGCCTCTCCTCGTCTGGTTCTTACAATTTAGCAGTGTTTGTGTGTTAGGGGAGCAGGGGCGGGGGATGTCTGAACCCCCTGGTTTCGTCCAGTCTGGGTGCACTCGTACTTCGGAATTTGAAGATGATGGGCTATTAAAATTGATGGCCTGTCTCGTGTTTTGTGGTCACTTTGCGACTAAATTTAATGTCTAACCGTGGAAAGACTAATTGATGCTTCCCTTGTATATTTATAGCACTACTTTGGGGACCCCTGGAATGTCATCGACTTTATCATCGTGCTTGGCAGTTATATTGACATCATTGTTAGTAAAGTAAGTCAATATTTTTATTCTTATCCACAATAGTTAAACGCTTTTTAGTGGCTCTGATTATAGAATCATTTAATCTTTGTTCAATCCTGAGGCCCAATTTTAACCCCGGATCCATTATGAAACGTACTGGTGTGTTAGGCAGAGGACCATGGGTGCGACTGGTACTGGTAGAATTTGCGGTGAATGGAAAGCTCGTAAACAAATTTTGGTTTGACTCTGTAGCTGTTTCCTTCCTATGGGTGTCTTCTTTGATACTTCATGGTTGCCTGTCCCGTCTGATTCGCTCGTAACGGGCCCTGCGCATTAGAACCAACTGTGGCGCGGTTTTGAAGGCAACATGATAAATTGCGATCATAGGTGGAGGACTGCTGATTTGGCCAGGGCACCCGGGTATCGCGTCCTCTGTCCTCTGCATGGTGAACTACATCAATGTTTTGCGGTGAAATAGCACTTGTCCAATAGGTTCACAAGGAAGAGGGTTGTCATGTTAGCAGACCATGACCTAAGTGATCAGACCTACGAGTGCAAGGTAGAGGACAGATGAATTTTTAAGGTTGTGACCAACATGTTGATTCCCGATCGCGCCCCATTACCGGAGAGTGCGTAGGAGGGGAAACTAAGGGCACATCAACTTTGGTGCCTTCCTTTAGCAGTGAGTGCAGATTTAACCAACCGTGAGAAACGTCTTCCTCCTTGGAAATCGGGGCTGTCGGAATTCGCTTATCGCTGCCACCCCATGTGACGCCTTGAGGTATGGCTGAAGTCGTGATGAACTGGAGTTGTTATTTCATATGAGAAAGGATGTGACTGTCACAGGCGTGGCGCCAAGATGGTGAGCGAATTGCACAATTATTATCTCGCTTTGCCACGGCTGCTCACTTAGCAAACTACCCCGCTCCGATTGGTTGACTAAGAACGCTTTACAGGCCCCAAATAAGAGTCTCTCTCAAGGATATCCTGTCCGACGCTTTAAACGTTTGAATTGCGGAAAATGCAATCAATTTTCCCTACGTTTGAAGCTAATAATGCGACCACAAGCACCCATTGCTCGTCGTGCGTTGACGTTTGGCCTTCCTCTAAGTGAGTCATCTCCACGCCAAGGGGCGAGAGAAGGGAAAGTGATTCCTTTGTGTAGACATACCCATCTAGTGCAAAATGACCTTGAGAGTGAATCTGCAGCCTGGTTTTTTTACCGCACTTCAGACTTTGAAGTAACTCTCTCAGAATTAATCAATTTTAAGAAGTTCCCTCCTCTGATGCTTCCTCATGTGTTCACTCTCCAGCACCTTGAAAATGGGCAGTAAATAAGCCACTGGCATGAAGGCAAATGCGTTTACTCGATGCGTTGTATTTGTCCAGGTTAGCGAAGCGAGCAACCGAAACCTACGTGGAAGCAAGTGCACTGTTAGGTAGCTCTCAACGGGAGCAATGGAGGCAATCGGACTAGGAAGCAGTCTATTTGGGACGTACTTGCCCCACATGCCGTGGCAATGACGATGCAGGGGACTTGCGTAAGGTAAAGAGGCCTCACCTGCAGGTGTGGTCACACCTGAGTCATGCACAGTCTGGGACGTCTGGGCTGGCAGCCAGGGCTGCGGCCACGTTTCAATTGCTTGTACGGTCGTGTTGCCCCATCCGCGTGATCGATCCCCGCGGTCGCATCTATGGGAAGCGACAGCAAGACAGCGGTGATCCAAACCAGAAAAGGGATGAGTCAACACAAAAGTGACTGATTGTTACTGTAAATGAGCCCCAGTTACTGTCATGGCACCATGGCACGTGTCGTTGATGCTTATTTCGTTCTATGGCATCGGTTGTCGTCAGCGCGTTTTTATAAAAACGCTCTTTAAACAAATATTAAAAAGTTCTTTAATTCCTTTTTGGGACACCCTTGTTACCTTTCCAACCATTTGCCAAAGGTGAGCCCTGAATTGACAGTCGTGAGTCATGGCCACCGGTAGCCGCTTCGTCCGAATGATATCGATCCATGGTAGACAATCTCAAGTTCGCCTGCCTTTTCTTTGCCCAAATAACCCTCTATTTCACAATTTTGATAAATATTCTCATTTTTAAATCACACAGTGTAGCAAAATAAATTTTCGCCTTCAGTACTAAGACATTTAATCTATTCTAATGCATTATTTTTAAAACCCTGCACTTGCATACACTTAGACAAGCCTGATTTTATCAGAAGAGTGTTTGTTTGCTTTGGTGGGGGAATGAACTAGATTCAATTTTAAAATAATTTAACAGAATCAGTGGCGTTACATCAACTTGACAACAGCACACCAATGATGGTGTAGTAAAAAAAAAACAGCATTCGCAAACACTGACATGGTGTAATCAACACATGAGCCAATTTCCTGCCTTCTATTTTCGCATTTTGGCGAGTTAAAGAGTGCGCAAACACCGGCGTCACATTACCCTCGCCCACAATGTTTGGGCCGTTTTGACTAGACTGGGAGAGATGGTTCGGAGGGAGGAGGAGGAGGAGGCATGCTTTCAGTCCTTTGATCTCCCTTCCTCTCTAACAGAAAAGGGAAGCCTCGGATGACCTCACTGTCGGACAGAGGGCGGCGTTTTGACTGTCGCGACATGCCACAATAGCCACTTAAAAGTGTAGTTGGCGCATCTGCGTCGATCCTGGCGGATAATTGACGTTCATGGTCCACGTATCCCCCTGTTCATTCATTGTGGGACACGTATTTGTGATCTGCGGACTTGGATGAGTAAAAAAGTGGGGTGTTGCATGCATGTGATATATTTCCGATTTCTTGTAGGCCAGTTCAGAGACCACGCTGAAATTTAACATCAACTTCTTCCGTCTCTTCCGTGTAATGCGGTTGGTGAAACTCTTGAGCAAGGAGGAGTCTATCCGGAAGCTTTTATGGACCTTCATCAAGTCATTACAGGTAGTACTTGGTTGATTTATGTCCTGTCAAAGTGATCAGTGCGCTCGGGTTTGAGCCGAGTTTATTGTAGGACACAATTTCAGCGTTTATGCACAAAATTGCCAAAGGCGGAAGAGTTGAATAAACATTGAATTTTGTCAGCAACTGATAAACCGTTTGGTGCAGTGCATTACTAATTGGGGTGTAGTAAACAGTCCAAATTAAACCGCAGGTTAGAGGTGATTTCGTAACCCCTACTCCTATCAATTAGTTATAGTGAAAGGTTTTTTTAGTGTCTCAGATACGGGAGTACGCATTGGAGTTACCACGGGCGAACTTTTTCCCGATCCTTGAGGTTCTTTAAGTGCAATTTTGGAGCATTTACGGGTACCCATCTGTTGTACCCTTAGTAGGTAATCAAAGCGTTCCTGGGGTAAATCACTCTGTGGGCAGTTTTTTGGATGTGATAGGGTAATAATAAAGTAGCTCCCCTGGGATTCGTCTCCTATTCCGTTTCTCCTCTGTTTCTCCCTTCCATTCAACCATACCTCAGCGAATCCTTCTTTAATGAAGCACTTTGTTTCTAGAAGCAGGCGACAGTCCCGACAACCGTCGCTTCTACCTCACATTTATCTCCTTATGAGCCGTGTTTGACACGCGTTCGTCTAGGGCTCGGAGATGATTTGACAGAACTCGGAAAAGCATTACCAGGGGAACGCGGAGAGTAAGGATAAAGTGAGGCGGCATTTCCCACCTTTATCCTAAGTGTGAATGCGTTCACGGTTAAATTTAGCGGTAGGTCTCGCACTGTCGCGTGAGACTGAGAAGAGGACTTTCTTCCCACCCCACCTCATCCCATCCTGACTCCCTCTTGATTGCCCATCCCTGGGTTACCTTTTCTTACAAAGAATTTTATTTTCGCACGCCTTTAAGTCGTGCCGGCTTGTGTCGAATAGGCAGATCCTAGTTGAAGCTGTTGTTTGAGCATCAGCAAGTGGGAACCTGCTTCTGTGGTCCACTACACACGCACACATGGGCGCACAAAGCAAGCTTCGTCTCTTGAGGATGGCGGACGAAGTGCTGCAAGTGCCATTTCTCATCACGCCTTAGTGAGCAATAGAAAATAACCGGTGGCATTCTGTCAGCTGTCAATGCATACTACACGTAACCCAGTTTTATTGCGGGTCTCCATAACCTCAGAAAGTGTTCCCATTGTGATATCCTTGAAGGCTCCTTTGTGCCTAATTCTCAAAAATTCTACAGTGTCTTGAAACTTGTGCCCTCGTCCAGCTCTTCTGATTAATCAACGTCACATATAGATGGACTTTAAATGTGCTATCAACCACCATAAAAACAAGGTCAATGTAGATACCATAACCACGCGAGAATGGGACCACCTCGTTTCTTCAACAGTCACCCCCTCAGCTCTACTCGCATTAGTGGGCAATAAAGACGCTCTTACCGAAGGCTTTGTCTACCCCGAAAAATAGAACTCGGTAGGCTCCGTACTCTCCCTCCCTCTCACGCATCACAGCTTACAGCAACTCGCCAGCCGGTGTAGGTGTTCCAAGGGTAGGTAGGGAGTGGGGGGCAAGGTAGGGAGTACTGGTAGACAGACATATCTGTGGTTGCTCCATCGCAGAAGGCCACATTGGGATCCACGAGATAGTTCTGTTTTTCTCCGCCCTCCTTTCCCTCCGCTTTATTGCCGGCCATGAGGTGCGAAATTCGCCAACAGCTGACGCGACTTCACTATTTTCATTGTTGTGAGTCTTCGCAGTTTTAGCCCAGGGCAGTAAAAGCATAATCGCTCTTTGGATTTTTTAAAACACAAATTGGTCGAGCCTTCTTTGAAAAACCAGGAAAATTTGCCACTTTTTATGAAGAGTTAAAGATGAAGTTTTGGGGTGTTCAAGTCGGAGAATAGCCCTTTTTCCTGGAGGGGGAAGACTGATGCCTCAATTGCCACGACCAGGGATTTGTAGCAAGCTTTTAAAGGGGTCCGACTCTTGCGTGTGGCTAGGAAAGTCGACTTGCCTTATACCGGCTTTGGGAGCCCCAACCAACTTAGCGGAGTTGCAATGAAACTTAAGTCAAGCGATGGGCACCAACTAGTGATTTCGCATTGTTAGGCCCTGCCCTACGTTGCGCTGTTGATCGCAATGCTCTTCTTCATCTACGCCGTCATTGGAATGCAACTATTTGGTAAAATTAGTCTTCATCAACCCGGTCTGGCACTCGGCGAAGACGGCGTCATTCATCGTAGCAACAACTTCCGCAACTTCTTCTTCGCCCTCCTCGTTCTTTTCAGGTGAGCTGGGTTCTTCTGTTGACCTTGACAGGACTTTACGAAATCGACCCACAGAGCTGTCTATAAGATCTGAAAATGTTTTGTTGATGTATTCCAGTTGCGTTCATATCAAATCGAGACCTGTTTCGCACAGCAGAAAATGTACTCCCCTTTTGACACTGTCTTCTGCTGCATTTATGCACGAATTCTCTAGCATTGCCGGATTGCCTCGGCATCCAAGTCACCCCGTTTCAGGTCGTCATTGGTGCTGAAATGGTGGTGAATCCACGTGCTTTGACCCCCAAGCACAATGATATGCTCAGGTTTTGACACTAGTACTGATGCCACCCGGAATGTGCCGACCTTCTCTTTCAAAACGCCCCCTTCAACTCATTGCTCCTGTCAGCACTCCTATGCTGGAAAAAAGGGAAAGCTATTCTTGAGTGATTGTTTTCACCAGTTCGAGTCTAGTGCAACTTTACGCTCCCTTACACGCAAATCAGGCATCTAGGGTCGGATGTTCCTCTCGTTGGCCCCATTTTCAGAGTAAGGATTGCCAAGGCTGTGTTAAGAGCGCTAAGATCCACCGGGGTTGAGAGCATCATTGGTGTTCCGACGCTCGACCAGTCGTGTTTTTCAACGATTCATGCACACCGTCCACTTCATTCTGAATGTACTATCCCCGAATTGTGCTTGAAGCTCTTTCATAATCACACATATTGCCACGGTTGTCTGTCATCTTGGCTGACAGTGATGATCCTCAAAACGGGGGATTCCAATCAAGAGAGCTCCGTGTCATGAGGTTCATAGGTGTGTAAGAAACTGCACTGCGCCGAAAGGGTTCATCCGACCTCCTCTCATGGTCCAAAGCTGTAAGTTCTTGTCAATGTCCAAGCGTAGAAAGAGAAGAGACAATATATAGCCCCCATTCATTTGTCACTATTTCCGTTGGTGAAGCTCCTCCAGACTTACCAGACTATCCATTCGCCCAGGATTTTTTTTTCTCCCAAATCAGAAACATTAGCTGTAGTGATTAGAAGCTTTAAGCACAAAAAATTGACAAGTAAAGTGACAAGAATGGCATATCTTTCCTAATGTTAGAAGCTGCATCTTTTTTGCAAAAAAGGTGATAATTCTCAACCACTTTGGACTTTCCAGTCTGTAAGTCCCCCTACGTTATGACAGTCAGAGCTACAGTTAAGGTGCGATTACACCGACTCATTTTTCCCCTCAAATGACATCCAAATTTTACGGATAATCATCACCCCATCTAGTATGGCAAATTATTCACTTCCTCTGTAATGTAAACGAGCAGTTTCCACTTTCTAGTCCATTGGCTCAGCCCCAATTTTTGGTGCCAAGTAGAAGTTGGCACCCCAAACGGAGCTTTTAAAATCGCAAAAGTGAACAGTTTGTGTACTCCTCTTCTGTTTTTTTGCTTGTATCCTGTTAAATCTAGAAGGATTGGAAATAATTACTTTATGCTATCCCACGCTCTGCAAGTCGTAGTCCTCGTCTTGTCCCTTCCTCCTCTTCCTTTTTTTTTTACAATACCCAGCCTGCTTATCTCTCGCACATTATGTGCGATATCTCCAGTGCTAATGTTGTAATCGGATGAATTTTTACCTTTCTACCTTTCGCGTCTCTCGACTAGTCCTCGCCATTTTTTTTCCTTTGCCTCGCAGATCGGCGACTGGCGAATCCTGGCAGGAGATAATGCTCGCCTGCACTCCAGGTAGGTTGAAAAGCGAGCAGTAATGCCTGCAGGCGCTCTTTTTTCAACAACAGAAAATTTACAAGTGAATGACGAGATGTCGACACCGTTAGTCATTTATTCGTTTCAACCAATAGGAGCAGCCGCAGTTAGTGCGCCTTTTTAAATCGGCCAATCAACAACTTCGAAACGGTAGTTAAAGTTAACCCGTTTACTACTTTCACTAGTGTTTTCATCTTTTCCTCATGTCGAAGTAAACATTTCAATAATTTACAACTCATTCTTGAAATTAGCCTAGTTCTATGAGAAATTTGCAGTAGCAATAAATGGCTATGTTAAAGTGAGTCAGCGACATTGTATAATTGTTGTAAAGGAATAAATATTTCATGAGCAATCCTAGCTTAATCATTTACAGCTGAATAGTTTGGAACCAAGAGGAGAAATTACTCCTTAAAATTACCTTGAAGTGAGTTTGAGGCGTTTAATCCGGCAGTGGAATCTGCGTGTCTAATTTGCATGAAGCATGGGGAGAAAAAAACCCACTTTTTCCTGTAATTCCTATTTATAGAAAGATGAATGAACTGAACTAACAAACATTCATTTGAGTATTTTTTGGCATTCGCAAAATCAACACGTGGAGTTGTTTATCTCCTCCATGAGTGGAGAGATTCCCACTACAGAAGGGTCATGGTTTGCATAAGTCATCCGTCTGGTTGGATGAGAAACAAATCGGTCTGGGTGATCAGTCCACTTTAATTTACTTGTTCTTTTCTCCAAAGCTGATTGTGGATCTGATCTGATAGTGGAATGCGAGTCGTGGAGAGGAGGAGGGGAGGGGCAAGAAGGAAATGTGAAGCAAGGGCTCCAACTGATGATGCAAACAGTTAACCAGCCGATCAGTTTGGCTCGCCAGATTACTTGATATGGACGAAAAGTTGAGAAGACAACTCTTTTTTCCTGTTATTAAAGAGTCTGGATTGTTCAGGCCTAACGCGTGAATTATTTCTCCACCTTTCAAGGTCTCAACAGCTAGCGTCACTAAGTGTTTGCGTGAAAAGATGCAGTTTTTTATCGTTGAAAGGAACTTAGCCTTTTGTGACAATTTTGTGCGATGTCTGGGTCACCAGGGTGAAAATAGGAAAAAGGTTATTGCTAATGTGAGCACCTCTGTACCGAAGAGGCCGTTAGTCATTTTTTGCGCCCTAATTACATAAAATCCGAGGGTATTTGCTAGGCTAAAATCTCTCCTTACCGAACCTCTAGATAAGTAAAATAACAGTGACATTACAATCCTTTAATTGGAGGGAAATTGATGAAGTAAAACAATTCTTGTGCCAAATTTAGGTCGAAAATGCGCGGTGGACTCTGAGGATGGAAGCGAAGGCATGAATTGTGGGTCCAACTTGGCATATCCCTACTTCATAACTTTCTACCTCTTCTGCTCTTTCGTGGTGAGTTTTGACAGGATTATTTTGAGTCTATATAATTGGTCTTCTCCCTTGTCCACCTGTTCCCTATTTAGATAATCAATCTCTTCGTCGCGGTTATTATGGACAACTTTGACTACCTTACACGGGATTGGTCAATCCTGGGACCACATCATTTGGATGAATTTGTGACCCGATGGGCTGAGTATGACCCTGAGGCTAAGTAGGCTGACCGGAGTGGTAACTGCCGAGATTTTCTGTTATGAATTAAACCGAATGTCTTTCCATTTTTTTGCGGAAATCAAGGGGCCGTGTTCGACATTTGGACGTAGTGACAATGCTGGGGAAGATCAGTCCTCCTCTAGGCTTCGGAAGCATGTGTCCTCACACTCGAGCCTGTCATGTAGGTTCCCAATTTTACGTACTTTTTACCTCTAATCAAAGAGTACCAAGAATGCTCCGTTTTCCGGACTGACGTAGGAGGACCGAAATCTTTTTCCGAAAAAATAAAAGTATACTGGAACGCCACGAATTTAGGTGCATTCACACGAAACATTTCTGTTCCCGCGATCCCCCGCCAAAATGGATCATTACTAGATTCTTCCAGCTCAGCCAACTCTCCCCCGATAATTCCCGTTACGCATGGGAGGTAACCCAGCCTTCTTATCTATTGTTTAATCACAGGGCTATCCCTGATTTACGTCGCGTCGAGAAGTGAAAAATACGTTGATAAGGTTTCTCCTCTTTGCCCCCTTCAACCACTCCCATGATCGTATTTTTGAGCGCAATTGTGAGGCTCTGTCGTAGGTGTCAAAGAAAGTCTCACTTGGCGTTATCAAAAATCTTGTTTTTCCTGTCAAACGACAGTGAAATGTGCATAATTTTTTTGCTATAATTTGATGAACCCAGCCGTAAAGTAGACTAGATAGGTAAATCAGGGCGTCACATGTATGCAACGTTTGGCTTGGGCGTGCTAAACTTCTCAAGTACTGCTAAATTTTCTGTAATTTTGACCAGTTAATCATACGTGAGTTGTTTATTCGTTTCGTTCTTTGATAAAATCGCATATTTATGGGAAAAATTTTCGGTAATCATTTCTCTTTCGGATTGGATCGCACTAGTCTAACTCTTCTCTCTTTCCTGTTTTTGCCCTCGGTGAAAAACACACCTGATTTTGTGATTTGATTCATTTGCGCTTTTCGTGTTGTGTTGTGCTGCACATCGTCTGGTAGCATTAGAACATTTCTACGCAAAACTAACAAATCTCCATCCACTTTAAACCCCACCGATTGATTGGGGTGGGAGTCATTTTACCAATTATCCAGTTGGTGAGGCGGAGCATCGTAGAACAAAAAATCCTACAAATTAACTCTAGCTAGGATGGTTGTGCAACTTTGTCTATCAAAACACCGATTTGTAACGAACTTCACAAGCGGTTTTACTTCATCGCACTGGTTGAATCGGTGTAGATGGTGACTGTCCTCTTTCCTCTGCTTCAAGTAGACATTGAATCCCTTGGAATTTCGATTACTTGATCAAAATTTTCCTTTGCGAGTTTTCATTAGATCTTTTAAAGAAATGCCGTAACCCCCTTTTATGTGAATTCGATCTTATGCTGAGGTTAGGTTTCACTCCGCGATAAAAGTTATAACGCAGCGGCTTGAGCGTTCCATGGTGTCCCAAGTCATCTATAGACGAAAGCGCTGATAGTGGTAGGAACCGTAAGGTTCGAATGGTTAGCATTAAAGCAGTGAGGTAGAACAATGATTTACCCCAATAACTATTAATGGGTCCACAGTTGCGTCGTCTCTGTGATCTGCGTCGGAGGGATATTCACCAACTCCTTGTTGTCCCAAGTGGGACATTGCTCTACAAAGTGTGCACTTCACCTGCCAATCGCTTTTTGAAGGTGTCAGGGCTGGATGTTCATTCCTTCTCATTACTTTGTTCTTTGTTCACTCGACTATCTGGCTTCCCTTCAGCTACTGGAGCCGAAGACGAGACATCATTTAACTTAACATTAAGTATGGCAGTAACTCCACAATAAAAGCTTTCTATGGCACTCAAGTCTGGTGTTGCTTCAGTTACAGAGCACCAGCTTGGAGTGTGTTCTCGATAACCCTACTGTCGCAAATCTCACTAAATCACAAGCTATCCACAGCCAATTTCGGGGTTGGTATTCATTTGAGCTGTTTGACCACCGCTAAGACCAGTGTAGCTTCTCAAGTGATCTGTGAAGAGGTAATAAGCCACGCCAATACCGAAGGGTCGTTTGTTGTTGACGTGCGGGTCAAATGTTCCTTCGAAACTTAAGTAGAGACATTACCGTCAAGATCCAGTACTTTTTTCATAATCTCATCGGGATGGGGAAACATTCAGTTCATAGCACAGGAAAAGATACTATTTACTAACTTACGGAAGGGCAAGTAGCCCACCCAGCATGATCCCATGGCTACGCCACAAGGTGGCAGTCAGGAAAACGTATTGTAATTGAGGTACCCGCGGTCGTTAAACACCCAAACAAAACTGACCAAATCACTGAACCAATTCTCGATCTCAGCGTTTCCGAGAGCCCTCTTTTGGGTTCCGAAAAAAAAGGTTTACCAAATTATATCTTCTGGTCTTATAAAAAAACACCTCAAAAGTGCATTTTTCCCAAAAAATTGGCTTTAATTTGCTGTCATAGAAATGGCAAAGTACTGTCAGAAGCAATCTTTTCTGCCTATGACAAATGAGCCAATAAATCTGCCCTACTGTCGATTTCTTTACTGATTTGGTGGTATGCAAATCGCTACTGGCTACGGGGAAGGGATAAGCAAGTTAGTTAATTCATAATTGACCTACGATTGTATTTATGGTGCATATTACAGGTTCCGACTTTTTTGTGTGCGAGTGCCTTATGATGCGGGGGAAGGAGGGGGAGACAGAGGAGGGAGGAAGTGAATTTGATGCCTGTTTCGTCTTCATCTTCGCGTCTCACCTCTCTCTCGCCTTCCTCTTGGATGCAGATTCCAACACTACACAAATCGGGACATAGAGGGACAAAGATAGTGGCGAGGAGGCTGCGATATGGCGGAAGCTTGGTTGATGATAAAAACGCAGAGCGAGAGAAAGAATCCGGTGTTACACATGTTTTCTTCCGGCAAGGAACTGCGAGTGAGAGGAAGGGAGGGAAAAAAAGATTAACCGGATGATTTTCGTTGGGGTTTGGCACTATCTGACATGGAGAAGGAGAGGCGATATTCACTTAGGGATGGCAACTGTGTACAGTTCCTACATGATTCATCTTCTCGAGTTGGTCCTGTTGGATATTATCAAGGCATAATAATGCGGTCTCAACGCCTTAAACTCTGAATTTCTCGGAATTCACTTTTCCCCTCATTAGTAAGATTTCAGAACCAGATCACTTCCCAGTGTCTTTTCGTCTCTCAAGATTTTCTAACACGGGATCTGTGTCAGGAAACGGATGTCGAGGAGGTGATTTCCCTTTAAATTTTTTTTCAGAATTGGGGATACAAAAGTGGAGTACTGTGAGAAGAAAAGAATAAATCTAGAATTCTTAGAAGAATAAAGAAGCTGCTCAAGATGGCGTTTTGTTGTCAGCAATTTCGTTTAGTGTGAGAGAGGGAGAGAGCGGATGGCATTTGGGAACAAACAAAGTGTACCGCGTTGTGGGCACCTTTTCGGTGCATTGGGCGACTTATTTAACGGGAACAGAAAGGATAAAAGTAAAACTCGGTCTTCAGGATAAAAGGGGATAAATTCTCCCCGTCAACTAGCTAACTAGTTTTGTTTGATCACTTATGTTGGATTAGTGGATCTGCATCCGCAGACGACTCTACTCTTGTTTTGGCATCTTGGATCAGTTCGGGAAATGCCACGCTCGAATTCAAGATTTGATTGCTGATTCTCTTCCTTTTTCTTCTTAGATGAAGAAACTATGAAGAATCCTTCAATCCTTGATTCCTTATTTGAATGAAAGAGGATGAGTTGAGCCAGCTAATCTCCACTAAGTGGTTCGTTATTCGGCAGCGTTGAGTATCTGTTTCGGTGATTTTTATCAACGCATCAGGATCCATCAAAAAGTGATCTGATAAACAGACTTTATTAAGCCGTTTACCCCACTTTTGTCTGTCTGGCTACATTACTCTAAAACTCCCTCGGCGGTTTCGTTTACGTTAAATGCGCAGTCATCCCCCTTTGGATGAATTGGCAAACGTTCAAGTGATGGCGGGATTGGAGTCCATACCTATTTGTGAGTTCATGCAAGTCTACAGTTTGTACTTAACATCAATTCCCCTGGTTGAAAAGATCTGCAACGGTGCTCAGGATGGATCCACTTTAAAAGAGAGGTGAAAGTCAAAATTTGAGCTCAAAAAAGACTTACAAGCTTCATTGTCATTACAAAATAAGGAGATTGAATCTTTACACAAGAGCTAACAAAGCGCTCGGTACTCACGTTGGAGGATAGCAGCGTTTCACTTTTTCGGCGCCAGGAGCATGAAGTATCGCCTAATCTGGCGGTAGTACAGGTTGCGTGTGTCCATTTACTCTCTATTAGCACATTGCAGAGTGGTGTGATTCAGCACTGTTTACACCTCAATGTGAGGCGGGGGTGTTTGAGCGTACTTACAATAAGACCGCGTTTTTCCTGCCGCCCAAACCGACACACCGTGAGCTTTCAGCTCTTGTAAAATAGGTATATTTAGCCAAATAAATTCTGGGTGTCACATATATGCGACGTACAACAGCAAACGCGGTCTTTTAATTGACCTTGATTTTTAAAAGGAGGAAATAAGGCGGTTTGTTAAAAAAAACTACGGCGATCACTCTTTTTTCTCGAAACTACAGTTTGTGTGCATTTTACCACCTCTCTTTTCGGGCAAATTCTTACTCCCTATCGATAGAGGATTTGCTCCTCTGACGTACACTTTCCACACACAATTGTGTGTTCATTTAAAGAAGCGACAAATGAAGTCTCTTATGTGAGTAGAATAATTACAGATGAGGCACTTGAGCTCGCGCTCCTTACTGGTGTCATATGTTAGACGCCGTTATTTTCTCGCCTGAGTCCGCTGTCTCGACACATAACATGCCTTCTAGTGGTGCCGACTCGTACTCCAAACCTGATTGGTTGCATAACTACATTATTTGGTTGTTTCGGAGCAACACATCTTTACGAAAGAACACAATTTTTGTGGACTGTGGTGGTCGATTCTCCTTCGAGGTCGTCCATTCACCTGATGCGAAGCAAACAAACAAACAAAGTACTTTGGATGGGTTGTTTTTTAAAGCCGAGTAGTAAGAGGGAGGGAGACGATTGAAAGCAATTCAACGCCTCTTATCCCTCTGTTTTTGGTTCTCAGTAGATTGCTGCTTGTTTGGGAAATACTCCGCCCTGCGCACGTCGCACATTTCACGACTCGGACATTTCAACCTTCCATGCCACAACACGAAAGTTTTTTGTGTAGATTTTTTGGAGAACGCTGGTGGGTACTTACTCTGTACCTCAACTGATGTTCATTGTTCATGCGTCGTGCCTTCACACTGCCGCAGACCTATCAAACCTGTCAAGTTAGTGACTAGGATTTGCAAGAGGAGAGCTAAATAATGGACTCTCTCCCAAGTGTCCTGCGTGCTCATTTGTGTGCGATAGCAGCATGTCACGCAAGCAATATGGTAATCAACTGACAAGATGGTGATTGTGGTGAGTAGGCCTTAGCCTCAAACCCGTCTAGACGTCACACTTTTGAAGGAACTTATTTACCGATTGGTCGCGTGATTCGGTCCGTAGGGAATTCCCACCACTGACATCTCGCTCAGGGCTTGTAAAGTATCCCGGTGAAAAAATACAGACTCGTTTAGCACTAGAAGTGAATTTTTCACGTTCAAAAGAAGGAAAAATCGACCAAAATGAATGAGTCAAGCATTTTTTAAAACCATGTCACATATGCTTGACGTGAGACCTCAGGTAAGGATATCGTGGTGTAATATACATGAGGTGGGGCGGTAGACAATACGTTACCATGGAGGATGCAGGAGGACCGGATGACTAGCGGGTTCATCCTGTTTATTTGGATGCTGTCCAGGCAGCTGCATTTCCCCATCACTTTCAAAGCGTATCTCCCAATCCCTCTCTTGATTACCCAATCCTTTCCATAAAGAAGCGTTAACTTCCTCGGATTTCTGGCAACTTTCTGTACAATTGTCAAAAAACCCCGAAAAAGTGACACTTTTCTCTATTATCCCGTAAAATTTGACAGTTTTTAGTCTCTAGGGCTCTAATAGTGCGCAAATTAGTGTTTCCAGTTCCTCCACCCACCGCCTCCGCAACGTGCGCATTTTCTGCAGGGTCCAGAAATCCTACAGTCTGATAGTCGATATTAGTGCGGCACTCAATTAAATATGGCTAGGTTTTTTCTGTAGAAATTGGTGCAAATGAATATGCCCTTGCAAAGCGATGGAACGGTCTTCTTCAACGCCACTCTCTTCGCTTTGGTTCGACGCAATTTACGTATCAAAGTTCCCGAAGGTTTGTTTTTCAAGCTGTCTTTGCATTCTGCTCTGCCTCCTCCCCACTGTCTATATTCCCTCATTCCTGTGATATTTTCTTGCGTGAAAGATCCTCTGCGTCTAGAAAAGTGACTTGAAACAGTCGATTTGGTGGTGTAAAACCCCAACTTGTCTACCGCCGCGTTGTTTTTTGTCTACTTTCGAGGTACCATCAGCTATAGTATTCATTAGCGCATCTTTGTCCAAAGAAAGAATTCTCGAAGACTGGAGGAAGGAGAAACGCCTGCATACCTGTATAGAAACCACTCAATCTACTCGAGTTGCAAATAGGCTGTTGAAAAGTCGGCAACCAGGCACCTTGGCTGAGGCGGTCTGTGGCTGCCTGCAGTGCCCAGGCATATAGGCGCATTCTACAGTGAATCTGTTGTATTACGGCGAAATGCTCAACTTCTTACCTTTAATTCTCTTCCTCCCAGATGACGAGAAAGAAAAGTCATTGGATCAACTGAATGAGGAGCTTCGAATCGTGATCAAGAAGATATGGAAGCGAACCAGTCCCAAGCTTCTGGATCAAATTCTTCCACCCAAAGGTGTGTACTGTCACTTTTTATGCATAATCCTTGTGATTGATGCCTCACTTGAAGGAGGTATGTGCTCTCTTGTCTTTCTGACTACTTAAGAGCTGGACGTAGTGACGGTGGGCAAATTCTACGCTACCTTTCTCATTCAAAATTGGTTCCGTGAATGGCAGAAGAGAAAAATGATTCAAAAGGACACTCGCTATATCCCTCAAATTCTGGTGAGTTCTCCTTTGGCCTTACTTTCCAACATCATAAATATGTGGCAAGTGGAGTCATGTCGTTGACGCCAAAGTAGGGCGTCGCCGTTACGGGCTACGATAGTGGATTGAATTGATTCCTTGAAATGCCCAATTTAATCACTTCTACTGAACCGAAATGATGAGGGAAGATAGAGCCGCGTCATTGTTTTCCAAATGTATCTACTTTACTGAACTAGCACATCAAATTCTGCTATGACTTATTCATTATGCACTCCATGTACCAAAATTTGACTTTACATCACACAATGTGGGTGCACGATGGAGTCTCGGGAGTGAATACATCTTTTTTTACCTTCTCCACGTGATACGAGAGGATATCCACTGAGCTCACTCGGTGAATCAACATGAAAAAAAAAACTTCTCAATTTGAAATGAATAAAGGTAAAAGCAAATGAACTGAGAGCCATCTGTCCTAAATTCAAACTCACCTATTATCCACCATTCCTGATTAATTGTGACAGATTATTTGTTTGACATATGTCATTCCGTCCAGATTAATGTTACATCACTCATTTAGTTGGAATCGCAGTCGTCTTCCTCTCCCATTTTATGTAAATAAGTCCAAAAAAGCAGAAAAATAAAACAACACTAGTGGGTTTTGTTAACTTCTTGTCAGTCATTGTGAAGGTAATGGTTTGTCCTTGCCCCTCTCAAAAAGCCTCAAAATGTACCTGTTCAACAGATTCAAATTGAAGGGGGTGGAAGCATTAGAACCATGGCGGATTTGAGCTACCCCCTCCCCTCCCCCCTGATCCTGAAAGTTTTGTTATGGAGAGCAAGGGGCAAAGTCTTGTTCTAACAGGCTAAACTTTCTCGGTGTGGTAGGGGACCTCAACATCTAAATGTAGGCTGTTTTGTTCTAGTTATCCTTATACCTTTCGGAGGAAAATAGGGGGCAGGATTGACTGGTCTTTTATTTATTCGTCACAGTTTTCTTATGATGAAACTTTGTGAAGCCCATAATTTCCAACAGCAGCAGGTCATTGAGAACAGACTCAAACGTCTCCAACTTGATTTGGGGAATGAAGGAGGAAAGCATCGCCTCCAAGTCTTCCTAGTTGATGAGAATGACATTTCGTTTTAACCGCCTCTCGACTAATTCCGGATCATTGCTATCTCCTCAGGCTTGATACAGGAGCCCATATTATTAGAAAAAGAGTGGCTTAGGGTGAAACATCACGTCCTCAAAATTGCAAATTAACCCCCTCTCCCCTTAACGAGCCTGGAGGTGGATAAATGACTCCTCACCCCATCTCATCTTCCCTTCCTCTTCCTTCTCCTGATATTTTTATGTGCCAATTCTCCTTCCTTCTCGAATGCTTACTTGATTTGGTCTTTTTTTATTTCTCGCTCCTCGTCGCACCACCACTCGCAGGCTGGCGATCGCTCGATGCCGCATCAACCGACAATAGTGGGATTCCCTCGTCGTTGCTCTTCCGATCTCACTGGCGACGATATCCAACGTAGAAAGGGTGAAAAAGTGAGTAATTCTTTGTAATGTTGGTGAAAAATGCAGATACCTTCAGAGGGAGGAATATTTTTCGGTGGTACTCACCGCCCTTGACAATGAGAGTTGGTTTAAATGGAGGAGGCGTGATTTTTTGTCTAAAATAAGAACAGCTCCAGTAAAATTTTTGTATGAGAAAAAGTGTGTACAATCAGTCTCTCCGTATGCTCACTATCAGTGTCACACATGTGTGATATTTGTCCTCCGTCCAGTTATGTCCTGACAGGCTGGATCTAGCTAGAGTTAAAGTAGTAGGCGAGACGTCGGACACTGTTTCAGTTCCAGAGTAATTGCTTTTCTCCCGAGTTTTTGATCAGGATATCTTTAAAAAAAATGGAAAATATCTGCACCATGGTAGTCAATTTCCGGTAGTCGATTGACTTGAGTCGATGTTAGAATAGAAAAACTGTTATCAAGGCCTTGATCCACGGGTTGACAGTTAAAAACAAATGTCTGTCACTTTCTCTGTTTTATGTCTATGTGACCGCTATCCCTTATAAAGCTTCTTTTGTTGATTTCGTTGAGCCATTATATGGGCAAATTTAGTCTTAGAGAGGGTATTGGGGGACGAGAAGGAGGTGGTGATGGTAAAAATGAGTAGGAACGCTTTCCACGATTTTTTGACCAAGGGAAATCCCCACTTTCTGTTCCCTTACCTCCTCCTGACTTCGGCAGGAGACCTGTGAAACTGCGTTTCTTTATGCAATTTTGCTTCCGCTTTTCATATCACTCGTGTCACTTTTGGATTGGTTTCAGGGTAGTGAGAGCTGGTGGATAAAATGTCACTTTTTTGTCCGCCCAACTAGACCCCAATTCAACGGGCACATTTTTCAAGCGATAGGCTTCGTTAGTTACATCGTTGTGTATTGTCACCCACCTCTGGTTCATATCGTTGAACTCTCCTCTGAAGATCGGGGAGTTTGAGCTCGCGGATGGCGACCCTGTGCTGGTGTGGGACACCTTTCCCCATTTTTGGATAAAGCTCAATGAATTTTGGCTAAGATTGAGAAATACAGGCGAGAGTGGAAGGATATATTAGCCGTAATTTCGGTAGATGACGCTTAGAGTCACCTTGCTCTGCCTCCTTTTTCCCTGGGACTAGCTACCCGTTATTTGTCTTCATTCACGTCCATTTGCCTTCACTTCAATACGGATAAAAGTGGTTTCTTCCGCTGTCCCCTTTACAGAAACGGAAGTAGACTTACCGGCCAGCCAGCCAGCCGATTTTGTCCACTCAGGCAGTAGCATTAGAAAACTCTTCTGACACACCCTTTTTGTGCTTGTCACCATCATTGCCAGTACCAGTACCGCGTATGTGACCATTTTAGCACTTCATTTGTCTTCAATTTCGCTTCTTTTTCCTTTTTTTCACTCATAGACAGCTTTTCTAGTCATTCTTAAACTAATTTAACTGTCACCAATGCAGCAGGAGGGCAGAGGTAGGGGCTGACAACTGAAGAGTCGCTTAAACGGCATGAAGTGCTCCTACCGCCAGATACACCTGGAGCTTTCCAGGCGTCTCTTCTGAACTGCACCACTTTGAAATAGCGCGGTTGTATTTGATCTGCAAATACTTTTAAAACCACCGGCCCAACTACAGTCGGTGGGTAGTGGAGGAGAGGAGGGAGAGGGAATGGACTGGGGTTGGGGGGAGAAGAGGTGAGGAGGAAGAACGAAAAACTAAACGCAAATTTGCGCGTGCTGGTGCGTCGTTTCAACAAGCTCAACACATTTGTTGGTGAGTTGCTGTATATTGTGCAGGAGTCTTCAAAACGGGCCAATCCATTGCATAGGCAGCGTTTTGCTATTTTCAAGCAATAGTCTGGAAGCCCTTGAATAGAAATGTATTATGGGGCATCAGGACTGGCCGAATGTAGTTGCATGTGCCTACTGTTTAATTGGCTGACCAAATTCAGTAGGTGTGACACTTTCGTGTCGCGTATTTCTTTTTAGATCTTCTAACTCCTTTTCTTTGTTCACAACGTCACTGTTGGTCTGTTAACCTTAAGACCATTAGCTATCTCTAGTGGTGCTTGAGGTAGTTGGATTGTTCTGGTAAAAAGGAACATTTTTTCTCAAAAAAAGAGACGCAGATAGATGTCCATGCCCCTAATTATCCCTACCTGGGAGCAAGTCGCCAACTTCTGGTGACGGGCTAAGCTGGGTTTCGTGTGGCTCCTGCAGATAAGTTTGGTTTAGAACGGGACGGGGATACTTTCGGTCCGGGAAAAAACTGTGTTTTCTTCTCTACCTTTTGAACAGCCGTTGATTTGCCGCTGAGATCTCGGTGTTTGTAGTGCACTACCGCTCATCCCGAAATTTGCATTTTTTTTTCTTTTTTCATTAACGAAGGACTTTTCCATTGAATCTCGGCCGCAGACATTCTGCGAGAATCCTGACTTTTAGTAACTTTCGGGACGATTTAGAAGTTGGTGGAAATTGGTTAACCCAAAACCTGGACTCTAAACATTCCGCTATACATTATTCACTTTGACGTCCCACGCTCCTGGCAGGTTGGCAGGATGGGTCTTTGAATAGGTCCACCTTCCTCCACGGAAGCATTAGTCAGGCAGTAGTAAGACGTGATCAATTGCCACGGCTAGTTTAGGAGCGCTTCTCGATTCCTTTTTGCCCATTTGGTGGATGGAAAAAAGGAGGAGAGGAAACCGTCCATATATTTCCTTTTTAGGCGGGATCCTTAAATTAAAACGCTGTCCTTCTTTTTTAAATGCCGCGATTTGGTGCTTAGCCTCTGGACTAATAACGTCGTCAAAAATCTCTGTCAGTTATTTTTGAAAGGAGGCCATAATTCATCGATGCGATTGCTTTGAAAAGAAGCAAAACATTGGACTTGTTTGTAACTGGGTGAGGAATCATCCATCAGACATGGGTTTCAAAGATGCCGTGCAACAGATGGGCAATTTTGTGTTGGGCAGGTCCGTTTTCCTTCACCACTGCCTCGGTCAACGGAAAGGGAGCGATGCAATATTCTTCCACTTTTGCACCCCGAATATAAGCCCAAAAAAGTAGAAAAAATCTTCGAATTTTAGGACAAGCAGGCCTCGCTTTTTGACTTTGCGAAAGTAAAAAGACCGACATATTTCCGACCTGTCGAAAATCTCCTTAACTCTGGATATATTTTAAAATTGGTGAATGCTTTGGGGCTCAATTTCCAAGATTGAAAATGCGGCAAAGTTTACCTTCTACTCGATTCTCGATGTTGAAAGGAATTATTTTTCAATTGCAGACACCTGTAAAGTACATTCGCTTGTTTATCTGTGTCAACCTCTTTGTCACGCAAGACAAATTTTATCAAGACCAATCACTCAGAGGTAGAAATTCCCCCTCTTGCAAGACGGCGAAAGACCATGTCAACGAGAAGACTGCACTAGACTTGGAGGTGGGGAAGGGAGGGGAAGAGGAGATACAATCTCATCCGTAAAGTGATTATTATCACCTCTTGGAATTCGATAGTCATATAGAAAGATGACAGTTGTGAAGGCAAAATGAGCTAGAAATGGAGGTAGCTGGGGTGTGGGGTCTATTCTTGATTTCTTGAAACAAAATAGATGTAAAAAATTACCGGCTAGTTTGCACCTCGTTGATTCACAAACCTCTGCCCAATCCTGTTTTAGCTCTTGCTTGAGTCGTCTAGTTACTGTCCTTCATTTCTTCCAGCGCGACGTGATTCCGGGCGGAGGTATTCTCGGTCGAACTCTAACAGACTGGACACGGAAGCGAGGCAAGAAACACATCTCCTCGGGTCATCGAGATATCACTGAGGACGTCAGCGAATTGCGAAAGCGCCAGTTGCAGGCCGGCGGAGGTGCGGGTGGTGCCGGTGCCAGTGTTGGTGGTGGTGGACCCAATGGACTGCCACAACCGGGTGGCCAAATGCCCGCAATTCAAGTGACTGCCGCCCATCCCGCGGTCATTGCAGTAGCCACTCTCGGTGATAAGTGAGCATTCACCCACTCTCTAGCTCGTCCATATGACCTTGCTAAGTTACTGGATGAAAGTGGACCCCAGTTTTTCCTAAAAGCATATCGTTTCTAGGTTACCGATTTTCTAAGAGTGGGTACTAAGGAGGGATAGGTTTGTAGTTCAAATCTTACGATAGAGTTCTCTGTCATTAATTTTAAAAACGACGGAAGAGAAACAGGCTAGTGGCTTCTTCAATCATAACGATGATGCAGGGGAAGTCAACCAGGAACAGTGCTGGATGGGGCGCTTTTTCTTCAACCAGCTTGGCAGATAGTAGCATCTGCAGCTAATTCGTCCACCTTCATCGTTTCCAAACGGAACGAGAGAGGGGGAGGCGTAACAGAGCTGTGAGAAATCCTATTGAATGGGCCGATGGATAGCAAGGCTTTCTACTATGCAATCGTTTCACTAAGTGGCGCTTTCAACTCACCTCATGACCAACATGGCGCACCAGAAAGGACCTTGTCACCTTTATGTTCGTTAGGCATTCACTTCACTGCTTTATCCAGCTCTTCGCAATGCCCTATGTAAAAGCGATTCACTCATGTCCCCAAAATATACTACTTATGCACTACTTAAATAAGGTGAGCATTTCACGCAGACCCACGAGACACGTTCTACCAGATCCACAGAAGAGGCAGATGTTTTAATGCCCTGCTGTGCTCTGACATTTCATCAACTCTCACTACTGAGCTATTTTACTGTTGTTTTCTAATGCACCCAAACCATTTACAACACTATTTGGTCCAATCAGCAATAACTGATACAGAACTCATGCTACGTATCTGTGACGCTGACCTCGGACGTAAAAATCAGGCGTCGAATAGCCGGTATACTGGTAGTACAGAATTGCTAATGGAGCACCGAATTTTTTGCTGAAGAAAATTTGTCTCCGGGTTGTCAACTGTGTGAGTTGACGTTTTTTTCCTCAAAAAGCTCGGTGAAATGTGAACAGGATTAAATAGATCAGTGAGTGTAGAAGTCTGCCTTGACAGCCAGCCTTCACATTTATCAGCGGTTAAGAGGACACGATGACTGTACTTCCTCCAGGAGAAGACGACACCGAAACTCCCTGATTTATTTGAATAAAGTCACCGGAGGGAGCTCCACTTTCACCTTAAATCGCATTGCTACATTCAACTTTCCTTCAGAAGTTATGACATCTGAAAAAGGACTTTGGACTGCTCGTAGCTACCGTCTAATTATGCCTTCTTTTGAAGCAAAATTCATCTTTGATGTAACACTGATTTAGTGTCAGGAGAAGGTGCAACGTAGATGAGGGTGGTGGTGTTGAGATGGCGGAGGGAGGAGGCAGGGACAGGTGATGAAAACATTCCTGTTAAGTGCAGCAACATCTTCTTGTTCTGGGAGAAAATGTACACACGGTCTTGAGCATGTTACTTCCGGCTTTTAAAAGCTCGTCGTATAAACCGAATAATTAGTCATGAAGGAGGGATTGGTGATAGATGAAAAGTCTGATGCAATTTCCTCTTGATCTTGAAGATTTTGTAGTTGCGCCAACATTGGGGAGCCAATATTCTCCCTTGAATTGCTAGCTTACCTCAGCTTGTTAGCGGTGTCGATTGTATGGCGCCTTCCTCAGAGCTCCTTTTGAGTGAAGTTTTGGCAAACCTTTTTGAGGACCGCGTGATATTTTTTTTCATCCCAACAGGAAAGCGTTCCTCTTTCAAAGATTTTGATACGTTCCGTAGATTGTGCTAAACCATTGCATTCATGTTCTCGGTCCAAACTTTACTAGCTCGGGTCGACGGGGAGCTTAAGGGCAGAAGTCGCAGATATTCAGTTCTCCTTACCACTTTGTTGCTACTTTAGCCGCCTATCTGGGTTAATCTCCATTTATGGGGACGTGAGGAAGTTCACCCCAATGATAATGGGGTGGCGACTCACTGGGGCTGTCTGCGAACCCACGAAACGTTCCTTTTTTCCTGTCCAATTGCTAAACCTTCCGGAATGCATTGAAACTTGTGCGCTCGGCCAGTAGAGATAGAGTTGAATTGAACCAATAGTCACTGAAAGGTCAAGGCAAATCTCAAGTGCCCTGCATACCTCATGTCTCCAGCCGTCACGTTCCCCCTAGCAATGGTGGTTGAAAACGGGACAGGATCCAAGCTCTTGCAAACATCGATACACAAGTTAGTGGCATCGTTCAACATTCTTCTGTTGTGAGTTCCTTTAGATCCAAACACCCACAATAAACTTCTTCCTTTGTCTTTTCTTTTCTTTTTTTGGTGGAACTTAACCTATGAACTTGAAGTTTTTTGGGTCTTTTATATTGGTTTTGTTCACCAAGCTTTTTTTGACCTGCCAATCCCAATTTATCAGGCCTATTTGAACTATGCCTCTCCTTTTTCTACCGAGTGGAGTGTTTTCTCCAGTCACTTAGTGACTAGGATATAATGAAGACAAATTGTCATGACTATGACCTGAGCAATGAAGCTCCTTCACCCCCTCCCCCCTCTTGGCCTCCTCATTTCTCCCAGTTATTTGGTATCACGAGAGTCCTCTACTGAAGTTCAATTTCCCTTACGGGGGAGGGGGGGGGAGGAAAATTTTCGCTAGAGTCAAACGGGATTCGTAATTTTCTTTCATTTTCTCATAAGAAGCTAAATTCGGCTTAGCTTTATTCCCTTTGTTTTTGAAGGGAGAGGAAAAGTTTGGCTTCAGAATTGTTCCTCCCATCGATTGTCTGCTTGGATGAGAAATGAACGGCTGGAAATGTCCTTTTTTTCTCTCAATCAAGTGTATTAATTTTGCATAAAAGACGAAGAAGAAGACGACGAGGGAAAAAGCAAGAGAAAAACCAAAAGCCACCAGATATTGCGGCTATACATAATGCATGCAAATTGGCCGCTCTTGCGCCTAGGCAACAGGGCTAATAGTGCATCCATGTCAAACGGTCCATGTTCCTCCCTCTCGAAGTCAAGTCCGCTTTCCACCTCTTTGGGATCAGCAAGTGGCATTGATTTTTACATGTCAGAGGGTTTGTAAATCAACCGCGTAGCCTATCATCTGGGGATGGGTGTCTGGATCCAAGTGACCTTGCGGTGAACCAATTGGGTGCTAATAAGTGTTGTAGCGTTAAAGCAGCTTCAAGAGGAAATTTTTTCCCCATTTTTGAGTAACTTCTGATTATATCTTTGTATTAACGAGGAACTGTTTCTTGATACGATTAACTCCTCATTCGACTGCGGCATTGGTCATACCTGAAGGCATGAGTGGAAGGAGATAAACATCGCGAGAGGCTTGACAATTCCGCATAATTAAGTACCCAGTCAAACCATGCATCGATATCTTACATAGTCCTCTTCACCTCTTGAATATTGTCATCAATGATCGCTCCCCTCTCCCTCCTTTGGGTCGCTCTTCTGACTCAAGCACAAGTCGGTGATGGATTGGAAGATTTTTCACAGTATTTCAACGCTATTTTATCAATCAGCTAGGTTTGGAATATTTTCTTTGTATGTTTTGGAGAACTATGGAATTTCATTCTGTTTTTTCTCTTAGAAAAATCAAAACCACAATTCCGGCACCCAGTGCAGAGGAGAAGGGTGGTGGAGGAATCATGGGTCTTATTCGACGTGGCAGTTCCTACCTAGTAAGCCCTCTTCTCTCCTACTAGTCAACTTTCGAGGGATTGGAAGACTCCTTCTCTTTAATTTAACTTCAAACTGTGGTTAACAAAAAGATAGTAAAATAGAAGTAGTTGGCGCAATTCTAGAAGGATAAAATTGCAAGATAGGCTTGCGTGACCGATCAAAACTTCACCGTGCCTTCTTTCACAGCGTCGAAAAGGGGCGGAAGAACAGCAACAAAGGCAAAAGGAGGAGAGGAAAGAGGATTTGGAAATCGCTCGATCGATGTTTGCTGCTGCTCGCAGAGAATCCTACTATGCCCATCGGGCCGACTAGGGTACGTGCTCGCTACTTATTTGTCCATTTCAGTAGCATACGGAAGGCCTTGCCTTCTACTCATTTTGACAGTTAAGAAACTAACCTTTGATTCGGTTAAACTAAGATTAGAAGCGACTTTTGCAAATTTGCTGTACCTCGTGTGGTTGAAAATGCTGTGCGTGGCTAGTAAAAGTGCAGATAACTGTTTGGCCGAGCCAGTAGGCAAGGCAGTCAATCCAAAGTATGTTAACGCGGCGATTTTCTACTTTACTTCTCTTTTCCCTTTTCAGATGTATTTATCAAGGCTTGGTGTGTCGACGTTGGCGTCGTGAATTATTTCTGCTACCTACCAATGCTGTTATATGGCTTTCTTCCCCATGGCCGGCCGAGATATACATATATATTCTCTCGCCCACACAAATTAGTCAGATGTACATATCATTATCCGTCGTCAAAGCTTAGTGAACAGGAGGATAGAGAATAAGACAAGTCCTTGGCTCAGCTTTTCCCTAAGACTTCGAAAGCTTGTCACCCACACCCCCCTCCCTGCTTACGCAACCTGTCTGACATCCGAGATTTCCCACTTTCCCTCTTTCTTTCCTTTTGGGGTGGTGGTTAATGGTCAGACCCATTTGTATTAGTAGCTCTACATAACGCCGTGGTCCAAACAACTGGAAAGTGGACAATATTTGTCTTTCAGCTGTTGATTGCTCAGGTAACCAATCAGAGATTTTGTACGGTCAGCACTACTGTCAATCGTCACGCCCTAGATGGGAACGTAGGTGAGCCAACTGTGGCGGTGTCAGTTGTGCTATTGACTGAGGTGAACTGTCCCCCCTCCACCGGTGAAACTATAGAGGATTTAGCCCGTTATTGCCCATGTGATGGGAGAAATTTCTTGCGCACTTTTAAGCGTGTTCTAAATTTCCTACTACCGGATCACCATCGTGAGCTTGGATGAGGGAAATGATGCATTACAGAAATACCACCGGCCAGAGCTCACTGCAGTTCTTTAAAGCAGCCCTTTCAAAATACTATCCTTCTAATGTGTTCTTTCAGGGGAGTGATTTGCCACTAAAGCTGTTTTTCCTGATTTTGAAGTTTTGATCAGGTCAAGTTCATTTTCTGAGGTCAGTCTGATGGCGGATCTTCTGCTAATTCAAATCATAGTTGACCATTAGTTGATCAAGCTCCTCCAAGCGTTCGAAGGTCTAAACACTTGAGGCTCTCTCCATTACCCACCCACTCACTACTCCCATCCTTACTACTTGTGTTAATGGCACACGATTTATATGGATGCTTCTGCCAACGACTTGATTGCATTCACTCTTGACTAAGTGCTGTACCGTTGCTATGCCGGTCAAGTTCTCTCCGTCAGCCACCACACTAAATTAGACTTATCGACGCTTTCAGTTTCTTTTCCTGAAGAAGAGGTTGTTCCGACTAGAGCTTACTTTAAAATCTTCATGATATGCTTCAGCCGCCGGATTAAGAAGACTCATAATTGGTAATTAGCACAGGGTCACACCTCAAGTGGGTAGCAAAGGGTTGTGGGTCTATCCATCTAAAGCAACACTACAGTAGTGAATAAGGCGTTCTCCTCTTGACAGGTAAAAGTTGATGTAGTAGGCCTCTCTCTGATTCAAACTCCACTTGACCCATCGGGAATTCCCTCCACACCACCTTCATTCCCTTAAACACTGTCAAGGGCTGGGAACGAGAGCGAGCCGAAATTTATTGTAGCGCTTTTGCGCACGAAGTAAAATGTCCCATTATCCTTTAGAAAATTTCATTGCTTCCCAACATTACCACACCTTACGATTGAAGGAGGTCAATGTTTCGCTATTTTTTTGAGGGGAGAAAAATTGAACGAGAAAGGGGACTAATCTTTGATTTAGCACTTATTTTTAGGGGGAATTCCGCAGTCAGATATTTGCCTTGTAACCGATAGAGACGAGATTAGAGTGGCCTTGAGGCACTCTCAAAGGCAAGCAACTTAGCATTTTGGCAAAAGAACTGTCGCAGAGGAATAGGATAAAGGCGACTGCGCAATTTATGCGCAAATTGCATCAAAGGGGAAGAGCACTCTGTCGTCTGCTTTATTGTAGTAGGCAAAAGGTGGGCCGGGCGCATAGATTCATCGCCGTCGGCAGGTGCATTCGGGGGTGGAGAGGGAAATTAAGGCCTACTTTCATAGAATTGTCGACTTAAGGACGGCAAGTTAGCTACTAACCAGCTGCAGCGGCGAGCATAAATTGCACTCCAGAAAAGTATTAGGGGAAGAAAATAGGGGACTCGAGAATTGATTTACTAGAGTCTCAAGGGTGGAAATGTGGGAGCTAGGAAGAAAATCGACAGCCAAAACTACAAGGAGGTGAGATTATTTTCAAAACAAAGAGATTCCCCCTCCCTTATTGCCGCATGCCAAACTAACCCGTTTTTAAGGTGAGTCTAAGCAACCGTTCGCCGTGATCTGGTGAAGAACGACTGCTGCGCGTACCTGACAGCATTAACTATATCACTTCAAAAGCACTTTTTTTAATGAAGTTTTATTACTTATTCTTGCTTACAATTAACCTTTCTTGTGTGTGTATGCGTGCGTAACTTTTTCCTCACCCCTCCCTCAGTACGTGACTCCTGGATGGGGTAGGACAGGTATCGTTCCAGTGGCCTTCTGCAGGATGCAAGTTAAATCAGGCAGCAGCAATATCACAGACATTGTTTTTAACTGCTCTCAACGAATGTGTCTGTTTCTTGAAATTTTTTTCTTTTGTAAAAGAGACATTGGTTAGAAGAAGACGCCCAAGCTGGTCTACCGATTTGAGAGGCCTGTTCGATGCGGCAGTCTGTTAAAACGATGGTGTTAAAGCAATGAATGATATCCAAGTAAGGTGAGCTCATTATAAAAAATGCAGCATGTTTTTATTTTTGCTGACAAACTCAAAAAACTAAAAATAATTTTATTCTTGCTACCAGAAGGTTCCGACTACATCTGTTCTGATGGCATCAGCACATGAACTACTAAGTAGACCAATCACTGGAAAGTGTAAACGAATGTGCGTAATGATATGTTGACAGCAGGAGTAATAAACCGGGTAAGACGTAAACCGTTTTACGTTTACTGTGGTCTCTAGGAGGCCGTGCTGGGTGAGGATATGGAGCAGCACTTGTAGCGTCACGGTAACCACATTGCAAATGCATTTACCAAAACAAGGTTAGAGACGACATTGAGTAAGCCAGCAAGGCCAATATGGAGACATGGCTTGGGCTTCTCTGTCTGAAGCCAAAGTAGTGGTGGGAATTCTGAAGATCCTTCGCCTCCCGTTGGGGATGCCAAAAAATCGGTGATACTTTCTTCCATGCGTAGTCAGTGAACAAGATTGTTCGGCGATACAGAGTGTGTGAAATATTTGGTTTGAGGTCGTTGATGAGTAGGAAAGCAAAGGGGCCATGTAGTCCTAAAGGGGTGCATTGTCTTGTCGGACCTTGTTGCCTCTTGAGGTTCAGAGACGGGCATTGGGAGGGCCCAACCAGCATAAATGAGGTGATGCGTGGTGGTATCCTCAGTACAAAACGCTATCACGACTTCTTTAGTCGATTGGGTGCGACAGAGGGTCAGCACGATCCAAATGTTCTGTCCTTTAGAATACAGTTGGCTCTGCCTCTTTTGACAATACCTGCTTGTTTGAATACACCACCTAGATGACAAGCAGTTTGACTATTCAAACTCCGTGACTGAGCCGATCCTTTCGATCCTCAAAGTGGAGAGGGAGCCAAACTCCCAGCTTTCACAGAACTTTGAATACTTGAAAGATCTCACACTACCACGACACGAAGTGTCTTTTTCCAGTCCACCTACTAGATCCAGGAGACCAAAACTGGGGGCAACGGTCACCTGTTTTGGGACATTATCTCATTGCTTTTTCCAAAAAAATTGTTCAATTTGGAAGGGAAATAAAAAGGATTTCAAGCCCTGTAAGATGACCCTTTGGGATAAATTTAATGAAATTTTACTCGTTTTAACAGTTCAGAATTGGGGTTAGTTTTGTTGGCAAAGCAGCGGCAACGTAGTGATCGCTACGGAGCGGGAAATTTCGTGCTACTCACGACAAATGACAGGAAGGGAGAAAGAGAGGGTAAAAAAGACGAGTCACCGCAACGGTGGTGGCGGATGTAAGTACGGCTGCGAGTTGATGAGACCCAACCTACCGCACATACCCACGCAAATGCCTAAATTCATTTTTTTAAATTAGTGTGGGATAACAGATTACCCTTGAAACGGTGGTTTAGAGGATAATTTCCGTGTTTAGTACATGCTACTTGCTACTGCAAATATAAGTAGTAAATGGGAGGTGTTTTGCGTTAAGTAACTCACCAACCTGGCCATTCACTTGACTACTTTGTCCCCCTCTCCCACTTCCCCATGGTGAAGCCATTCCCCGGCATTAATGACTTCACTGTGAAGTTGCAAAATCTGAGCAGGTATTTTAGATAGGGACCTGTAAATACCCAAGTCCCCTTTCAGCCAGCGGCAACAAAAGGCAGGAAGGGTTTCATCTGCATCGTACTGAATCATGTGCACCAGTGAATGAGTTTTTGACTTTGTCCGCCATCTGATCCAAAAGATGCGATAACTTGGCCCAAAACGCATAAATTCGTGTGAGTGGTAGAGAGCTCCCACGTGAAGTGGACTTCCAGCATGTCTGTTATGCCTCATGAAGGTAGTGACGGTGACAATGCCTTTCTTTCTCACCTTTTTCTTCTTCTGTGGGTGACTTTGATCTCACGGCAGTTAGACGGGGTGCTTTGATGCCTCTATTTTAAGGCAACAATGAATAGCTAATTTAAGGCTTTCTGATAAATTCTGTACATTCAGCTAGCGAACTGATATTATGCGGTGACGGGAGGCATTTATCACAGTCCCAAGTGGGCCTGCAATATTTACGCAACCGAATTTGTGTCACAGACAGTTGGCGTTTACCGTTCATTGCGGAGAAATGAGTCATGGCAGCGGTGAACAACTGTGCGGGATTCACATTACATGGTAAGGGCGGACACATCAAGGGTGAGTGCCTTGTCAGGGTGACAGGGGTAACCGAAACCGCACACACCCCCGCCCCCTCACCCCCTCCTCCCTCTTACCTATGGCATGACCATTTGACCAGCTGCTGGTGTGACTGCTACTTCTGTAGCAGTGCCAGCGGTGCTGGAGGAGACACCACCCATTCCTCTCATTAATGAGTAGATGTTCAGGCAGTATTAATCTGTGGGATAGCCTAGGAGCCTCAAGTCTTCAATAAAAGTGATCAGTTAATAAAACAAATTTGGCGTCACTTTGTTTTTTCCTTTTGGAGACAAAAAGAAGTACTTTCATTCACATAAATGGTAAAGTAATGTTTGTTTTGATGGATACTTAATCACACAGGCTATCAAATCTCTGCCGTATACCGAACATATCGAATAGCCTTTAAATGGTCCATCTTTGGTGCAAAGGATGGCTGAGAGGCTGTGGAGACTGGAAAGCCCACATCGTCAAAAGCCTGGGGAACCACTGTATGGTTTCAGGGAGGACGGACTAACATGTATCTGTAAACATGCGCATAATTTCATGACAGAGTGATAGATGCGATCATGTAATTTTGACCAGGATGCAAACTTTACTATCTCTCCAATGGAGTTCTCAGAGTTAACTTATATGCGCGCATAAATGACAGCTTATCTTCGAAATGCTCCGACCAATACAAAGAATGGGGTCGCTTTCGTCAATACCACCAGAAAGATTTCTACTTACAGAAGGAAAAAAGAAACCCCTTAATTTTAGTTGTGGAACTCGGAAAAACCTTCATCTTTCCTTTCTACACCTAAATTAAACGGCTCAGAATGGTTGGTGAAAAAGTCGTCATCAAGACTCTGGTAGAGGGCTAGAGAGCATATAAATGCCAATGAGTTGAAGGTGAGACAGACAACCAAGAGGCAAAGCCGAGGAAATGTGAGCCTGATTGAGTCGACACACGAAATCAGCTCTAGAAAGGACATAATGCAGCAGCAGGAGGGAATTTTCCAGAGGTGGACGAATATTTATGTGCTTCGAAAACATTCAGGAGTGATCAAGTAATCACAGAAAAGAAGGTCCCGTTCTCTGCCTTTCAAGACAGTTTATCACTGAACTCGAGTTAAGTTGAGAGGGGACGACTCTGCTTCACCTCCTCCTCTGTATGCCCCTGATAACACTTTGTCAGACTCATAGTGATTACCACCTTGTAGAGGCGTTGCCACTTGGCACACATGGTCATACGTGAAGTGGAGCAGACAATCAGAAAGTGAGTGACATATAAAGGGAGTTGGTTGACTCCCAACAGCTTGAAAATCCATTATCTGTTCAATTGCTTAACAGGGGGCATGACATTTGTATCTTCAAACCAAATCTATGAGGTGAAACGCACTACCGATGAGTTGGGAGTTCTACATGCCTGGTAATCGTTCTTGCCCTGTATCGTGGCCGACTTTGGCTCGTCCCAAGTCGATCCGCTTGACCGTGTGTAGCTACAACTTTTACCTCCACACCAGCGACAAGGAAATTCTTTTTCCTGCCCTATGTGCAGCCAGAATTCCAGACTTTGCGGTCCTCCTAAAAAATTCATAATTAAAATGCCTTCGGGATTCATAACCGCTGTTTCTAGGGTCCAAGTCAGGAGGCTACGTTATAAGGAAATCACATTTTACCTTAGTTACTTCAGATTGGGACGATATTTTCAGGCTGATGACCTGAAAAAAAAACTGTTCGAGGGGGTAGCTGAGACCTCAAGGCACTTGTAAGGATAAAAGAGCTAGATATTTGCTGTGACATCAGCATGACAGGCAATCAGCTTGCCGATAACTTTGCGGTGAAAAGCGAATCCATTGAGTGCTTTAAGGGTTTGCAATGCCTGCTCGGAGTTGAAAAGTTGTCAAATGAATCTGTTGAGGGACCAAATATGCTCGTATCTAGCGATGTGAGCTGAATAAATCCATGAGTTGTGGAGACGTGTGAGTCCACTTTGGCTGAGTCAGTGTGTTATCACCACGTACCAACCTACTTACCTAATTCTGCCGTAGTGATGATTCACTAGTGTGCGTGTGTACGTCGTAGAAGGCTGTCCAGATAGGTATCTTTCACTCGACTTTATGACGGCAATTCACGCCACGCTCAATGGAGAAGCTACCGATTCAACTTTGGTCTAAGAACTCGTGGTGGGTGAATGATGGACTGAGGTCGTTAAAGTTAAGTACATCAGACACTTCGTGCGTGTTTGGCTGTGCTAGGGGTGGACACAATTTGGGAACTTTAAATTGGCGGTTGAAGTCAAGTTCGAGCCTATTTCCACTCACAATCCGTAGGTAGGAGGCAATTACCTTTCCGGAACAGTGGAAAGCTGGCTTTGCACTTAGGGTGGACAAAACTTTTCGAGCTTGGAGACGTCCGCGAATGACTGTACTCGGTGCCTTCACCGACAGACTCGGCAGCATGTGTCGATCAAGCAGCTCACCCTTCTGGCTAAATTTAAACAAAGAGGACCAATGTGTCTAAAAACAGATTATCACTGCGATAGTAACTCACTTCCAGACATTTCTTGTGGCTACGAGTAGCGATGGTTGGGTTTGGCTGGCTTGACAGGACGCGTCGTCAATCATCACATGCTGCTGCAGGCACCCACTCACTGCCAACCCTCGCTACCGGCATCAACGTCGATGAATGGTTTTGGGCTAGACTTACCCCAGCCGACATATGTGTGGGCTATTAACATGTAATGACACCCACCACCACTTAGTTCTGCACCCAGTGCAGCCACAACAGCGTTGCGTTTTATTGGGGTGATGATTCCTCTTTATCCTTCTCTGTGGGTTGCAATCTTAAAATTTTTTCCTCAAACAACCAAAATATATGAGGATTAGAACAATAGAAATTGTTTTGCTTGACGTTTTGGCTTTCTAAGGTAAAAACGGAGCACAGTTCACCAGTCATTTATTCTGGCCTTTTAGGTCTTCTGTAGACTATGTAATCCAGCCAAAGGTTGGAAGAATGCGCCTCTCCTGCATTGCCTTTCTAGCCAAATCTGGCTTCACAGCTAATAGACAAGTGTAGTTTAATTCGGCCGCTAGGTCGTCTCATCAGATACCCATTGCTCTTCATGTTGATCCCTCATAACAAGCCATTTATGAACTAACAGAGGAATGGAGGACACGGATAGGCATCTGCTCCTCCTGGCAGTCCAATATGTGACAACCACTTGGAAGGAATCAAAAAAAGCGGAAAAAGTGTTCTGACTTCCAATGAGTCCTCAAAACACCTTCCCGCAGGCAGACTAGATCCAATTTTTGGATTTACTCCAATCGTTACGTCCAAAGGCAGCACAGAATTCATTTGATCCTTCTAATAGCTTTTGACTAAATAACCAATCAATCTGGTTTACGACTTCTTTGTCACTTAAAAGCCAATCAACAGTTGCCTTTTCGCAGAATCTCCTACAAACCTTTGGACTTAACACGTCCATTACCAGCGTCGCATATACGTGGCGAGCCTAACAGTAGGTGTAACATTAGGAAAGATGAAATTCCTGTGTTGTGGTAATCACTTATTTCTGAGAGCATGGCAGCGGACGCACTTGAGAATGACATTCTGACGACTTGAATTTATAGGAAGAATGTACCGATGTATTCGAGTGTTGCCGAGTCATCGATGGAGTTCTGGCACGAATTGAAATTTGGACAGAAGAACGCAAGAGAGAGTGAAAGCTACCCGGAGGCAGAGGGGGAGGGAGAGACATCGGCAGAGGGGTGGAGAGGAAGGCGAAAGAAAAGTGACGGAAGTGGTGATTAAGTCGTGAAAGCTGTCACCTTCTCTCAGTGTCTCCGAATGCTGATTCATACCATCCCATTTTAGACTTTGAAATTTTGCATTTTTGAATGAAAAAAAATACCTATTAAGGAATTTTCACCAGAGGTGGGTTTGTTTCATTAAATGGAAACTTACGGCGCTTTTTTAAATGTCCATTACAACAGGCCTTCTCGAGACTAAAGAAAATTGGAGTGGTGGCGGGTAGAGAGGGGTACTCGGTGTCGAGAACCAAGGACGACCCGCAGACCAATCACTCCATCAATCATTGAGGATACGAAGCTCTAGCCACATCAGCCCACACGTGTGTTTGACCTAAATGTCAAAGGGTGCTTCAGTCTCCTCGTTCGCACAACCATCCATACCCTAAGCCTCCCACTGACTTGGACAGCGGTAATAAACGTACCTTCTGTGGTAGTATGGCGATAACTCAGAGCGGGGTAGGTAAAAGCCGTGGTGCTTTTACATGTGGCATAAAAAAACTAAAAGCTCGCCGTGGATTGTAGATTATTTGTTTGCCTAAGTGGGCGTGTGGTGAGAAATGGCCTTGTTATTTTACTACATGGCTGGCTACATGTTTGATTACGTTTATTGCCAAATGATCCACTAACCACGCACTTCACATAACTGGGGCAGGAGCAACTTCATCACCCATCCATAAAAGACTCATTTTCTTCTCTCTGCCTGTGGTGGACCCTACACTACTCTGTTCACACCCCGAAGGGCAAACCGCACTTACAAGTGACATTCAAATGAGAACTCGACTACTCGAAGGTTGCAGGACAACTACTTTGACCACTTCAGATACAGACAGGGTTGGTGATACAAGAAAACGCAAGACTCCCGTGCATCGTAATGGCCTCTCCCCAGATCCCCATTTTCTTTGGAGGACAGTTCTCTAGGAGGCAGATGATAACCACCATTCAATAATTACATGATCGCATGGGAAGGTGAATGAACAGTAGGAAATCGAGGTAAGGTAGAAAATATGTTGATTAGTTCTACATTTTGGGAACTGCATAGACCGCCATTAGATAGCTTAAACATCAAATTAAAAAGTTGTTTAATTTTACGAATAGCTTTAAAGGTTGCAGTAAAGAGGGTGCACCGATGCAAGGAGACCTGCGCCAGAAGGAAACGAAGGCATGGTCCCATTCACCAACTGTGTCCAATTGCCTGCTAAGATTTTGAGTAAATACCGAGCCAAGCCTAGTGTGAGATGGAGGCAAATAACCCCACAAATGACTGCATCATTCGCCTAGCCTTCCGAGGCACTTCCAGACCAATTCCTCCCCCCCCCCCGAATGCATTAACAGTAGGTAAAAAGGAGAAAGAAAAGCTGGACCAATTTACTTCCTAAGCGTAGCAGAAGAAACATTCTTTGTTCCGGTGAAACAGGTGCTTGCCTGAGTGCTGCATCAACAGCGAGAATTACGGGTGGATATGCCTGGGTTATGACTTAATATGTGACCCCCTTTTTAGGGGAAAGCGCTCCCTCCACCCGCCTCCTCAAGTCTCCTTCAAAAACTTAAATATGGGAGAAAAAAAGGGGAAATTTTGGTTAATTTTTCCGACTGAGGTCACTAAGTGGTTGATTCTGTCACTCCGCCTCACTCTGTTGAGATTCTTCGGAAAAAATTTGCCCAATATGCCTCTGGATATCATCGTCCACCCATTTGTTCCATATTTGTGACACTAGGTCAAGACAAGGTGCTCCCGGTTCCTGTTCTGACATGGGTTCCCAAGTATTGGCCATTTTTGATGTTTTCGTTATTTCCTTCATTTGGACAGACAACTGGGAGGGAGGGAGGAGGGGAACACACTGGCTGTACCGAGTTTACCCTGTCGGAAGCTTCAAAAGGGATAAGCGTAAATTTCATGGGTATTTGATCTACTAAATCATTAGCCAGATGGGAATTCTACTCGTCCATAGCCGGGAAAAACCTAGAGCTAACGGGCTTCCCTTTTCTACGTCACTTTTATTTCACTACTGCCTTCTCTACCTCATATAAGGGATCGTGTGATTGTCTGAGGACTACGTTAAGACGAGATGGCAACCATCTTGAATGTTGCGAGGTATCATCATGGGAGGATGTGAGACAATGACTTTTTCCTCTCCCCTCTTCTACGCTATAGTAGGGTACAGATTCCTCTTAAGGATAAGTTTTGAGCTTGTTTGTTGTAAGAGAAATCCTGCGTTGCCTAAAAATGGGCCTCATCCCAGTTACTAGTTCTGACACTTCTCTACTTAAAACGCAACTTTTCTGCCTACAATAGCGTTGTACCCACTTACATGGAAGTGCATCGAGTTAGTAAATAAACAATTTACCAAGGGTGTCTTCAGCTGACCACCAAACCGTGGGTGCATGAAGTGATCTAGTGTAGTAGTAAATTTCCTTATCACTCGAATCGGATATCACCACAAGGTGTCCCTGACACACCGATATATACCCACACGTAATTCACTATTTGTACCAAAATTAGGGGGCCCTCCTAAACATGGTGCATCGGCACCTTGGTGACCCGTCACCGAAAGCTTTTGGAGCTGTGGAACCAAGCTAAATTGGCTCCATGAGACAGACCAACCCGGGTTGCATTTACGATGCTTAATCGGCAATAAAGACATCACCAGAGACTGCCACACTAATAGACCGAGACATATCAGAAAACGCTTGTGCATCGGACAAGTATCTACCGAAGGCCGCATGAATGTTTCGGTCAACAGAAATTGCGGGAGTAAAGTGCAATTACGACAGCTAAGGTATGACATTAAAACGTCAAAGCAGTCATTTTTTGAGGCAAAAAAGAAATACGGGATTAATCA